AGTCGCATTGTGAAATCGTTTTTTTTATCTAATTTCAATTTTAACTCATCGAATGTCAGTCGCAAAAATATATGCATAAAAAATTCTTGCAAGCAATTTAAACAAAATTATTATCAAACCAGGTTGAGTAAAGGTTAATATACACTTGAGTATTAAAAATACACTTCCACATTCCGAAAATATGAAAATATCAAAAAAATATCGTGTTCTTGAAAAAGAACTAGATGAAAGAGATCCGAATTCATTAGCAACTTTCAAAATCATAGTACCAGGGTTACAAATTTTTCGAAAAAGTTTAAATCAGCGGACAATGTTGATCGTATTACTTCCAGTAATTTACAATATCTACTTCGAAGTCGTTTTAATTTATTCGACTGGTCATGCGCAACTAAACGCATCTTGGTGTTCTATTCACAAAATAACTGCCCTCGGACGATGAACAACCCTCGCACCATTCTACCCTATGGCAGCAATTAATTACCCTAGAGCAGAGATCTGTTCACCGAATTAGCGAGGACACGCACTTCTTTAATGCTCGCCATGCAGGCCATACAAGGCCAAGGATCATGCGAACAGCTAGTTTACTCTGCAACAAGAAGGTCTAAAAGTACCGTAACAGAGATCTCTTTGATGAGATGCATAAGATCCTTCATATATATGCCAACTTCATCTCTCGCATAATCTTGCCTGCATACATAAATCAGGTTCGTTTAGTGCTGTCACAAGACTCATCACTGATAAAAAATGTATGTTTGAGATTCAATTACATTCATGAAGTAGATCAATGCAAAAAAAAAAAACTTAACAGATGATTTTATTTGGACCATGCGGCATCGCTCTGAACTCCACATCGCTTTTTAAATGCCTCGGTACCATCAATGACACGCAATTCGCCACCTTCCAATGGTCGCCGTCTTCCAGTCGAATGATCAATTTGATGGAAAGCATTGTGCAATAACTATCTAGTATCTACATAGTAACACCCCAATAGTTTTGAAATTATAATGGATAAATTGACAATTACAAATCCGTTTGTAACCAGCATTATACCATCTTCATTGACAAGCAGCGAGTCAAGTACATTTTTCGATTCGTGTGTCATTATCGGTATTTATCGATTCATTCCATTTAGTATGCAAATTTAATTAAACCACTCTGACTCGACGCGTACGTATCTACTTGGTGATGTATACTATTGGTCGTTGATATTGCTTAAGAATGTTTACTCATAGCAATTAGAAGCTCTTATTTCTTAATTCATGACAAATAATATACATGTCGGTAATGCGAAAAGGTTAGCTCTCAAGAAGCTTGGATTGAGCTGCATAAACTTCACCGTTCTCACCTTGGTTTGAAGCCATTTTACTATAGTGGCTATTCCCGTTATTGTTATCTTTACGGAAATAATACGTCAAGTCACGTACTGAGTATTAACTGGATTACTTGAAAAGACTCCGACAAATCCTTCAGTACTTAGCTCCTAAAGCTCACAAATCGGTGAGTTAGCAATAATGTTATTCCTACGTAAATTGTTGGTAAATGAGTAGAGCAGTGAAGTGCTGAGGAAAGATTGAGTATGCCGCTGAGTGGAAATCAGACATGAAAGCTGCCATGTGAACCAGGAAGATTCCGACTTCATTTTTGGTGAAGCTAATTGTTTTAAGGCGACGCAAACCATTCGTTAACATGTCATAGAAGTCTTTCTTCTTGCTACTCGTTTGTTACAAGTGGGTTTTCGATTTTTCTTCTGACAAGGTCAGTACATACATTCAGACCGACACCCCTACGAACACTGCGAACGTGAATACACGGGACGAAATAAATGGATAATTATCGGCGTCATTTATATGGCAGAGAAGGCTTCCGTTGCCTACGCCACTGAGCAAACGTTATTTTCCTTGTATGATACAGCCGAAAATAGCTTACATGAAAATAATTCGGATGTAGTAAAATGCAGGAACAGTTACATAATGCAGCCTTTTAATCTAAGGCTGCACTTTAAATTTCACATCAGGCTTTATTGGTTATAGTTACAGTATATATAGGTTTAAACCACTCCAAATTCACTAGAGGGACGGTACTGGACACTTGCAGGACATGACGTAACATTCGGAGATCAAGTATCTCTGAATGTATAGTAAAATTTTTGGCACATTATTGGATACAACTTGTAATATTCGTTGCTCACATTGAACAGCAGTTCACATCAAGTAGTAGACATTCAACTCAACTCGGAGATGATGTTTGGTTTTTATTAACGGCGAGGTTTGTGGCAAGTAAAATCTAAATAAAGCAAAGTGAGCCAAGAAGTCGCCCAGAGCATATCTTGTCTGAGGTATCAAAACACCGGCAACATGAAACCTTCATCCGAGCTAGTATTTAACGGACTAGCAATTAAGTTTTCGAATTTAAAATTACTATACAATCTAAAAATAAATTGCCGAACTGAATGCATGGGTAGGCACACAATTAAATCACACATGTTATTCAGCTCGGGACCAACCTCAGTTTAAACTTCAGTTCTATAATCGACGAGTTCTTGCCAAATCTAATACAGACTAATTATTGCTAAACCAACATAATTCAGATGTATTCTTGCAGAACCAAAATTCCTCTCGACTATTCTTAGGTATCCAACCTTCGATTATTTGACAGTCGGTAGCACGCACCTAAATGCCAAAAAATCATTTCGTTTCAAAATACATGCTGAGAACATAACCACCCTCGCAAATTACCTTACGTCAGAACAGACAAGAGCAGAAAGATGCGAACAGAACGGGACCTGCGTAAAGACTTCCTCATTAAGAAGAAACCGCAACCATTGTTTCAATCCAAGTTGACCTTGGTAGGCAAACCTAACCTCGGATCCCTTCGTCCATGGTCTGTGTGCTAAACAAGAGCCTCAAGTTTGAAAATATTCAAAAATGCAAGGAGCCTCCACCTTTACAACTCACGTTTGCCATAAAAAATTATATTTTACCAACGTTTAACTCGGGATACATTTAGGAAATATCTCAATGTAAATAAGCACAAATTTTCTATGCAAAACTTTCCTAATTTGAGAAAGTTCATCAATAACAACCTTTAATTAAGTAACAGATGAAATCTTCATATATGGGCCATTAAACTCTAGCACAGCAGCGCCTTTAACTCTAGCACAGCAGCGCCCGTTGTTTGCAGCTTCAACTATCATCTATAACTTATCATTACTATTATTCGAATCGTAATCTCGTTCTCAGTGCTTGCACACAAATCACTGAAATCAGAATTATCATCCAAAAAATAAGCCGGAGCAGCAATAGCTATCTGCTACCACAGTGTTTCATCAACATTATGGTGCATTGAGCGTTTTTAGAATTTGTACGACTTACTTTGTTGGCAAGTGCTTAAACGATAAGTTTTAGCTACATTCGAGCCTAACCCCTCCAAATCAGAACCAATCTCGATAAGTTCAAGCAATACCGCCACGGCAAGTCTTCTACAACTTGCAGGGCGGAATTCAGTAAGGGTTATTATATGAACAATGACACTTAAAATATCAAATTGGATCTGAAAATTGGATGCTAGATTTTCCTTCCAAATTATAGCTAATATTTTGGAACCGATTAGTTACCAGAATTTATCGATTTTGAGTACTACATGAACCTTATTCCTAGAATATCACCTTCACCCTCTGTTAAATAAGAAGCTTCTAACATGAAAAGTAAAGAAATGGAAATTCTGGAAACTCACTTGGCAGCGTAGTGTTGACAAAAAGCATTGCTGCTATTTACCCCAATGCCGGCTTTCTTCTCATTAAGTTTGGCGTGGGGAGGCTACTGAAAAGTGCGCTATAAAATTTCAGCGCGGCAAAACTCGTGCACAATGTTATGCCAAAAATGTAACACTAACGGTGCCGAGATCGCACTACTCCACTCCGAGCAGTCTTGTCATGCAAGTATTCTCGTCTTAGCTGATCTTCATGAAATTTTTCCAGTACTCACTCACAGCGTGCACCAGAAACCGCTAATGCCATATATAACTATAAATCGCTACTCAGTAGCTAATGCACTAAACCCCCGGCTCTTCAATAAAAACCGCATAATACTGGTCAGATATACGAATTATAGCGTTTGATTGTCACATAATAACAAGATGCTTTTTCAATAGCGCCAGCAAGTTATGGCTCAGTTTAATAAACAAAATAGATCGTTTCTTTTGAACTCCAGCAATATCAGAGCTGCGGTGACCGCGACTCCGATCCCGCTGCTATGAGATAGTGAACCCAACTGCACAGAGTCCGCTTTGACCTGAAAATTCTCGGTACATACAAAAAAAAAAAAGATAGTTACTAATTTACTAGAAACACACTTCAGGAACTGGAATGTACCGTTATTACACTTATCCCACTGACAATGCGAAATTGAAATTAGTTACACGCCAGGCAAAGCCACTTCTTTAAATCGCTCGTCCCTGAAATACTTTTTTTTACATTTACCTCGATTCCCACCGGAAGAGATAGGATATATGCGAACAGCAAGCCAACTGAAGTACGTGGGAATCTGTGGGCAATTGGAGGCATTTTTCCGCTGTGGGTTGTCTGACTGAGGTTAAGACAAGGCTGTGGGTTTGTCTGGCATAACCTCAGTTCTAGAAGCAGCCGATACGGGCTCGTCAGGTGGGACAACGGAACGAACAGGACACGTGTCTATAATAAATAAAATGTCTGAGTTCAAAACTATTGTTCTGATGAGAAGATTAACAATGAGAAGTAATTCAAGGAAATTTCCCGATTGAGTGGTTCGCTTCCCGTAACACGTACTAGAAATTTTTATTTTGATCCTAATTTGATGATTACTATTCAGAAAACCAAATAAATAGTACTTGTGTACCCTGCCCTGAGTCACAGTTCAACTGTAATCATACCTTACTAGATGAGCATGCTCATTGTACAATTGTACATTAAACGCATTTGAGTAAGTTGGGTTGGCACCATTCACAGGGTACAAAAAGACCGCGAGTCCTTAACTCCATTATTAGGTTTATTATTGAATATGATACAGCTAAGGTGAATGCTATCAGTTACAATAGAGCACAAATGCATTAGGAATCCTTCGAGCTCTTGTCTGCGTTAAGATGCGTACAAGAGAAACGAGCGGATTCGTGCATCAGGAATAGATGAACAAAATGCAGTGACTTTTGACACTTCATCTTTTGCAAGGGAAATGAATTATTCAACGACATATCTCCTAAGTAAGATTTTCTCCTCTCTTCGGTAAAATCAAGATTTTCGGAACTAAACCTCATGTTCACTTCCTTATTAACGCATAAACGTTCAACATTTTCCAAGAAATTATTTCACAGCTTCGTGCTCTCAGTTGACTAGAAATAAGTTCTGCTATCGAATATTTAATCAATATACATTAGAATGAAAGATTCACCGGAACTGAATACACTGGTCGATAATAACAATTTTAGTTCCGCGGTGCAAAAGTCGTTAGGCGTGACTACCAACAGCGTACATCGGAAGATAAAGATACTGACAATGAAGCGTACGGCACTATTATTTCAGTAACTAACGTACAGCAGAGGTAGCAACATAACTCAATGGAGAACAGCAACTCGTTATATCTAAGCACTCTACCTACACACGAGATGAATGATTCATGACAAATATTATTTAACCTTCAACTTTTCTTAATACGCACAATGTTCGAACAAGACTAGGATAGGCATTCACAATCAAAATAATGGATATTCCTTCTTTATTAACATTGTACTCCCCAACTCAAAAGGGACTTTACCTTGACATTGAAAATCAAGCTTTATGGTAGAAATAACACCATTTGATCATCATTATGGGAATCAATTACCGCCCATCCGCGTGACGTAAGTCTCTAACAGAACACCATCTGTTCGACCAGAGTTACTTCTTTAAACTAACACGATAAAAGAACAGCACAATGCGGCCACCGTTGGAATACCAGGAACTTAGTACTGATGGTTCTTGACATAGAGATCGGCGGAGGCGGCAAAACCTGTGCAGGAGCCGCGTTCGTACTTGCCGAGGGCAGCCTCACTGTTAGCCTGCAAAATGACATCAGTATAAGTGCGAGTTATGGCTAGAATAACATTGGAACTCTTATCGTGGCGTCAGTAAAAACTCGCTTCTTTGTAGTCTGGGGGCACAGATTCGACAGTTAGCGTTTCTTACAATAAATTCGTCATAAAAACATTCCGTCATGGCTATGATTTTTGTATATTTTTATTTTACAAGAAAGGCCTGCCTATTATGTGAAAACGTAACACCAATATTAATGATTCTTCTTGATCTCAATACACTACCATGTTTAGTAGACCTCAAGCGTAAAAATTTCAAGCATCTGAACTTCTCTCAACTCATTCCGAGCACCGACCCCATCTTAGCCTTATCATTGGCCTCACCTTTGCCCTCTTGATGAGCTCTTCTTGGCCAGCCTTGATCTGGTCATCTTTGCCTCCCCAGGCCTTCAGTACGGAGGCCTGCAGGGCGCGGCCATAGCTGAAGGTGAGTGCCCAGGGCTTCTTAGCGACGGTGCATCTGTTGATAGCATCCAAGTGCACGGTGGCGTCCTCCTCAGTCTGGCCACCTGACAGGAACGTCACGCCAGGCACAGCCGAGGGCATCGTGCGCGACAGCGCCGTGACAGTCGCCGCGGCAACCTGTAATGTTGGCGATCAGAAGAAATAAAGATAAGAAATAATTGGAGAGATGGGAGGGAAAAATTAAATGGAAACCACGCCATGCATATAAATTATTCCTTACCGTTTTAGTTCTTAATTCTATTTCAAGAATGTGAAGAAGCAAACGGCTCATATGAAAGGAAATTTGTGAGAGAACAACTTCAGAAAGACAAATAAAGGACCTGCATACGTACAAGTAGCTCCAAAAAGTCACGTACAAGTACGGCATCTACAGTTGACGAGTCAAGAAATGCACCTGCTCAGGAGTGTACTTGGTGGAGCACTGCTGGCCGGCGGTGACCATGTTGGGCTTGAGCAGCGTGCCCTCGAGGAAGACGTGGTGGTCGTTCAGAGCTTTGTACACGAACGCCAGCACAGTCTCTGTTACCTTCTGGGCCCGGTCCAAGTTGTGGTCGCCGTCAGGGAGCACCTGCAACAGGGTATTGCTGTCAACTTAAGAGCTAAATAATTTTAGTATAACTAACATTCCTTCGCATTGCCCGATGGGACAAATAATCAACGATTCTTGCAAGTGCTCACGTATTATTGACATTTTAAACTCGTTATCGGCCAAGTAAGTAGGAGAGTTATAACGAAAATATTGATCCAGTAGATTGATGGAGATGGTGGGGGCACTAAATCGCTCAATCCAATTATCCAAAAGATATATTCAATCAAGCAACGTTTATTGTCTACTTGCATGTCCAACAGGAAATAGATAGCACGAGCAAAATATATACATATTCTAATTTTTACCATTTAATGTTTATCTAACCGCACTATTAATTGGTATCCACGTACTGACCAATTTATGGAAACGACAAAAATTCTTGGTATGGAACATGAATTCAAGACAATAGAAACAAAGCCATAGATCAAGAAATGTCTAGCGGGAAATATCAGTACCACATTCTCACAATAGGGTGAAATTATAACCCCACACCGAACCTCAGGTTCAACAATGGGCACGAGGCCATTCATCTGGCAGATGGAGGCGTAGCGAGCCAGGACGTTAGCGTTCTCGAGCATGGCTTGGTAGCTGGGCGTGTTCTTGCCGATCTTGAGGACGCAGCGCCACTTAGCGAAGTCACAGCCATCCTTCTTGTACTGGGCGCAGCGCTTTGATAGATCGTCCAGGCCCTGGGTCGTGCACTCGTCTTCAGAACCCATCAGCGGCACCACGCCACTGTCAACCTGATCAATTTATGACGTTGGACAGTTCGACCATGTAGGGCATATGTATTTATATTGATAAATATGAAGGTATAATCCCTCAAAAGCTTACTAAGAACGTAATACATTGATTTAAATTACTACATTTAGTTCTCTGAGGATAATATGATTCCACCATCGAGTTGAGAAACTTACAAGAAATTGTTATGTAAAGGTTACGTGAATACCTTGATACCGCACAAAATTCCCTTCTTCTTGATGAGGTCAGAGAAGGGAGTGCCGTCATCGGACTTCTGGTAGAGAGTCTCGTGGAAGAGGATCACGCCTGAGATGTAATTGGCGATGCTCTGTAAGTACAGTGTATTTAATCAGAGGAGCATGGGGTTTTATGAAACATCAATTAGAAAAGCGATGCCGTAATTAATATACTTTTTAGTAGCTTGAAAAATAGGGCTTTCTTAACCATGCATTGCGAAATGACACCGACAACATTATTCTCTCATTTCAAGTTTTAAGAGCTTGTTTTCTAGAACCAAGTGTTTAAGAATTTCGTTAATATTTAATATTTAGCGTTGCTAGATAAATGCATAACTAGGCTTAGAACGGTGCGTCATAAATAGGTATGTTTAAAAATTGAGAAGTCCAAAGATTTTTCCATCTGTTAACAAAAATAAAAATATAATACTAAACGCATCTGATTAGCAGCTGAAATTATGAGAAACTGAGGAAAGAGATACCAACATTGTCTGTGCACAGATACCAACATCGTCTGTACACAGCGGCAACTACTGAAAAAAACGAATGACACTCACGCGTCGTGGGTAACGTGACAAAACCAGGAATGAAACAACCATGAAAACCAGATTACAACAGCAATCAGCATTAAAGAGCATCAGCTCTCCAGAGCTGAAAGATAACCCAGAGCCACTCACGTCATCGGTGGTGAAGAGAAGTTGTCTGTACTTCCTCCTGTTCTCTTCGCTGTTCTCGACATCGATGTCAGCGAAACGCTTGCCGACAGTGCCCACGGATTCGTCAGCGGCGAGGATGCCCTTGCCGGGAGCCGTGATGAAGTTGGCGATGCGGCGGAGCTCGGTCTGCAGCTCAGCGGAGGGGTACTCGAAGTATGTCGTCATGTTGCCGGCGCTGAAACGATCATGCAGCGATAAGGATTGGCTCAATTTATTATTGAATTGTAGTTCAATTACGAAGTTGGTAATATCCAGCGCTGAAAAGCAGCACCCGGTGATCAGGATTACGCTGAATTGATCAGTTTCATTAATGTTTAATAATGACAAGGGTTAAATCCGGAGCTGGAATTGAGCAATCATGATTACGCTCAATTTATGAATTTCGCTGTTGTTAAACAAAGATGATGGTTATATCCGGCGCTGAAACGATACTCATGAATTAGGATCACGCTGAATTGATTAACTTCATTGTAGTTCAACAATGATGACGGTTATCTTAGTGATGGTATTAATCAACAATGTGCAGCACAAGGAAATGAAAAAAGAATAATTCAACCCTTTAACATGAATCTGTATGGAAATCAAAGGACAGGTTATTAGCGATTCATCAGTATTAATTCTGCTAATCACTATCATGTACGACGACTATTTCAATCGTTGTGTTGTGAAGTACCGTACAGCCATTTATTAGCAATAGCGGATGTGGAATGTATTGGTACTAAAAGGTTTGCACAGGAAAATAAAATCATTGCCTTGAGGCCCTATACGTAATTTATCCGAAATTTAATCGTGTGCATACAATATCAGTTTATCAATAATAATATGATATTAATCAAATTTTTAGTAAGAATTAGTCTCTAAAAGTCTCACCAAAAAACCTGCATTCAATTTTTTTACCAGTCTACAACAATGTAATATAAAACGTACATTTTCCATAAGTACAATATTTTTTCCTACATTCAAGGCATAATTAATTCATTAAAACCATTTCAGCCCAATTGAAAATGAACGCACCATATGTTAGCGAAAATTTTTCGAGTTTTAAAGTATTCCCGCTCCCCTTTGTTCTTTAAATGTAGATAAGTGAGCAGTAACGTGTAGCGGGCGATGGCTTCAAGCATTCTATAAACCCGGCTACCAGTTGGCATGAACGACCGATGTTGGTACACAGCCAACATTCTACCGAGGAGAGGCACCCTGCAGAACCTTCGGAGCCGCCGCAAGTCACGTGAAAGAAGATAGCAACCATTTACATATACAAGTGGTGGCGCACCTTCAAAATTTTTATATATTGTGAAGAATACGTGAAAACTCTTCTATTCCACCCTAAAAGTTTCGTGATAAGGTACGGATTTGTGTTTAGCGACAGTAGTCTCAACAGCGTTTTACAAATAAAACTTAAAATAATTTTCGTTAATTGCAGACTAACCGCAAATGTCTCAGATTGTCTCAATACACCGATACATCAGAATATTATACGTAGCCAAATCAACTGCTCATATCATAAGAACCATAGGTGAAATATTGAGAATAGGCGAAGTAACCCAGCGTAGCTCAGGATGTTGCTATCGTAGTTCACTACGCAAGAAAGTAATGCTATGGTACTAGTATATACGATATTCGAAGGGGCATAAAACGCGTTGTAGTAAGATAAAATAGAATTGAGTTGCAAACGAACAGTGACCTCGGTGAATAAACCAACGATCTGAACTTTTTTTCAGTGATAATACATTGAGCAACGTTGTAAAGAAAATGAGATAATTTTGAATATAGCTTCAGCCTAATTATCGTATTAAGGCGATCAGAAATAATTCTCAAGTATGAAGTATCTTACATTAACTGGTATTACAACTGTCTTCATTCTTACGTGTTGATACCAAAGAATTCAATTAGGGATAACTCAACAGGGGATAGATAACTCAACATAACCTTATCAATTCAAGTTCACGCTGCGTTGAAGAATAAAAGATATGGAGTAAACTTTGAGCACTAGATAAGAATTCGGGCTTACAAGCGAAGATATAGTAGGTCGGGCTTACAAGCGAAGATATCTTTCATCACTGAGAGAGCTCTGTGAAGTGTGAACATCATGCCAAATGATACTGAAATATATTAAAAAGCTAGTATTTTCGAATCGAGAATAGCTTTTAAGATTCAAAACTTTAGGAATCCAGGTGCCGTCGATTCATAAAGTTAGCTTTTTGATTTTGTAGACCAAATCAGGTTGTATGGAAATTATTCCATCACGTTAGTTGTAAGCCTTCGGCATCTTCCTGAACTTCAGAAGAAAAATGTAAATGTTGTGGCAAGTTAGGTAGCACAAATTTAGCACTTCTCAAAAACTTCCAATTCCAATACTAATTACATTGTCTTGCGTAACTAAATAAATAAAATTTTCAAATTAATCGAAAATGGTGTCTCAATTTAAGTAAAATTTGTTTAATTCGCCGAGTTACAAGTTAATTTAATGATTCGAAGCAAGGAGGGGCTATTGTATACGTGCAACAAGCACCGGTCAGCCGGTGAAGGGTCATCACAAGGTCACGTGATCAGCTGACGCCTTTCAAAGTTTTTCGTTTCAGTTAGAGCTTAATGAATGTAAAATAAACACATTTCAATCGTATTGACACAAATCGTTCCGTTTCTAGAATTGGCTAGTATTATTTTCATCAAATCTCAAATACCTAATAGGCTAATATGGACAGTAAATTTCTCCATGTTTGGTAGGTACTCGTAACTCGTAATCTTGACAAGATTATCAGACACAAGACTGAATAACGGAATTCCTCGTTTTAGCCAGCTAAGCTAAGCCAGGAAGCATCATTTCAAAATTTAATTGAGATTTACGCTTGCAAAAACTACAAATATATTAGTTTTCTATCAACAGAAAATTACAGTCGGGAAAGCCGAGAGTTAAAGTCGGGAACTGAATCGATAAGTTACTACACCTTTATGAGAATAAGAAATCTTAGCATTTAACGAATCATGCTCAGATTATAAAGATTTTAATTAATTTACTTCACATTAATTTGAGTCGTATTACTCTGATACGAAAAACTTACCGGTTTTTTAAAGAACGAGGAGGTTGAAGAGCACGAGTAGCGCACACACAAGCTCAAGTAGCGTCTGTCACTGACTGAAGAGTGGCACTGCGCAGGCTCGAATATAAGACACAATTTTCTCCTCCAAACGCCCTTGGTTCTCCCCTCTATGAAACCTTTGGTCTTCGTCGAAAAGCACTCTTTCAAATGACTGTACCATAGAATAAAAAAATCCACATTCTCATTTATGTATTTTACTAGTTCTGCTACACCGAACACACGTTGTTTTCCATTGTTGAAGATCTAAAATCACAACATTGCCTCTTCGGTCAGTTGACGGCGCATGCTCATTACGCTCTTTTGAAAACGAGTATTGATTCGGCCGTGCGCTCACGGTCAAGGTCAAACAAAGAGACCGACTACGAAATTTGAAATTGTTTATTCAAATTTATGAGGTGTATGCACATAACAACGCTGTTCATGAGTGGAAAATGCAAATTTTCGACTAATTGGCATTATGCAGGCAAGCAACGCCTTCGGAGAATTGTTATATATATCCATATATATAACTATTTGAATTCTGAATGATAATTTAATGGAAATTATAGTAACTTCAGTCTCCATAAATATGTTCAAAATATTAAACAGAATGTGTTTTACTTGTGAAGAGTCAATCCAGGGAATCTCAAACCGATCTCAAAGCCGTAAGTATTACGTTGCGAAAAGCAATGAACATCTCTCAAAACCTAACCTACCCAAGTGCTTCCCATCTAAAAGCCGCGAATCCTAGAACGTTTGAATATAAGGTTGAATTTGTACATTTACGCTTCATTCTTTCTAAAATAGCTTGACTACACCATTTGTATATCTAATTTAAGATATATTAGACATATTTTCGCTTTCTACAGTTTTCAAACTTTACACCAAAACTTCATAGGCGACAGGAGCTAGTGATTTCAGCTTGCAAGAATTTTAAACAAAGCATCAAAAGTGTAACGAATCAGGCATCAATGAGCTCTTACACGAATATCATGATTACAAATTGGCAATTGTTGACTGAAAGTGGTCCTGAGAGTCAAAGAGAGAATTTTTCTATAACTGTCCTCAAACATGAAGCAGCCAAATGAAATATGTCGCGTTTGCTAGGCTACGTGCCTACGTCACATGATCGTAAATAGAACAATTGATTTTAATGTTTTTCTCCAATAATAACATTGATTCGTCCGACAAAAAAACTGGTGCACAATTCTCTTCGGGAATTCAAATTATATAGAATTTCAAAAATAAACAATTTCATCAAACGATTATCAGCCCAAGATTCTGCTGTGAAATAGCTTACGAATTGCAAAGATCATGATTTAGGTATAAAATTACTTCTCTCATCAGTAAATCAAAAATGAAAAGGACAATGAAGAGCAATCAACACGCGAAGTTTATTAATACTATAGTGTTGAACCTGAGACAACTCCAAGTATGCATGGGGAATGTTAAGTCTACACTGGCTACGATCATAATACGCCAACGATGCACAAATTCATGTCTGGAGAATGAATGATCTACTTTGGCTGCGATCACGATTCCCAAACCAAGTATGGGGAGTGACGCTTCCACTTTGGCTCAAATGAAAATGCCCCAACCATGCAATGCTATTTGAACATCACCTTTTTCAAGGTGTCATTGCTACAGAAATCGTGCGAATGACAACGTTACGTCTACTTTAACGTCATTCATGTTATTTCAACGTATAGTTTTGATGCATGCATAACCTAAATTTTCTATCAGCAATGACACTTGCGTTTCCATCCACACAACAAAATTTGAACATAAAGATGCAATTCTGTATTATGTACATGTGCAGTAGTGGGTCCCAATTACAGAAAATGCCTCCTCTTGAAATGTATTTCATGTGTTCACAATTCTTTAGGAGGCTAGGCTTGACAGTACACCTGCGTAGTGACAAAGTCGTATGACTGCAAGGAAATTTTATGTCCCTTCACACACACACATTAAAGGCTGAGCAAAAATATTCTACGTACGTGAGAAGACTAGATAGACTTTCCTCCAAGGTTCTGAAGTAGATGAAGCCGCCAGAAGCACAAGTAGGTTTAACTAAAGTTTTACTGATACCCTTACAGTCACTAGAATTTTTTATTACTTTTCTGGTCACGAAAGAATATCGATAATGTTCCACCGACGATAAAGAAATCAAGCAACGTATTTGAACAAATGTTCAAACGTAAAGAACCGACATAGAACTTTACCTCCAACACATTTATTCTACATCGTCAAACTCTCAAAGCTGGAAATTTCGATCAACTGGAAATGTTGTTTTTAGATCGTTCAGAATTATCCAACAGAATTGGTTATCGCTAAAACTATGTACTCTTATATTTCATTATTTGACGTTCAGTGCATGGCCGAGTTTATTATTTACAAGTCTTATTAAGCCTTTAAACTTGATCGTGCAGGAGTAAATTTTGTTAAGTCTTAGAACGCAAAACTCGACCTAGCGAAAGATTAGTCTGAAACTAGGTATATCTTACAAATTTCTAACCCTATAGACAAAAACCTTGCACAGGAAAAGTATAATGAACAACTAAAAACAATGAAAAATCATACCAAAACCGAATGTACTTCGAACAACATCAAGAACTCAGCTCTAATAAAGACAAATTAATCAAACGAAAGTGAAGGAAAAGAAAGCTGATAATGGCGTTATAATTTAATCACAAAACAATCGCAATCGCACAACCGTCGTACATCTGAGTGAAGCACACAGAATTTCGTTCGTCATTGAGACTTTTCAGCCGGCAAGTTCACACAAAAGCGGCACACGGTTAAATGAGTTACCATGAAAATGAACATTGCGCCAAACTGCTTCACCAAAATTAAGTGATCTCAAAACTCGGTCGTTGATGCAGTTAATAACTGAAAGATGAAGGAAGACAGGCAGTCATACAAAGAAGAGGATTACTCAAATAGTTTTAGATAAATAAACAACATCTCTAGATAGGATATTAGTCTGTGAAAGATAACAAAATTCCCAAGAGGGTATTAATAAAAAACGCAGAATATTGTTAATACTACCAAGTTTTAACGCAATTGTTCAAGGTTCCAATAGTTAAGAGTTAAGGATTACTTAAAATGATGACGGAACTCGAGTCCGCTAACATCAGCACCCCAATTGACCACAATAAATGTTTCAGGTGATCAGATCCAAGCCGAAACTCGGTATAATTTCTGCCTAAACTGGAACGATTTTATCTCCATTTAGAATATGAATAAGTATCAAAATCAAACGACACACTTTGACCAAAATTTCAATGGTTATTTTCTTAGAAGACAAAATAGCATTAGCCAACTTTGAAGATAAAGTAACACGTTACAAAACATTTTCGACAAATCCCAAATCTTCATTTATCGAACAATGACTAAGAGCCAGTAGGTTTTGTTCACAGGCACAGTTCCCTTGCAACTATGGAGATATTGCAGCACCACATCAATTAGCTTTATAACATCGATACTATTAATGTCTAATAATTATTAGCATGTTATGAATGACAGAAAAGAACCATCCAGAGAAACAGTAACATGTTCCTAATTCCACAGTATTTTATTACTAACGAATTTTAATGACGTAAACTCAGTCATTCACGCAAAAAACTACCAGTTAAATAATCACGGTACAAGCAACCACTTAAATAAAAAAATCCATGCACTCCATGATAATCGCACACAGGACTTTAATTGAGCTGCTAAAAATTCGTTAGTAGCAAGATAGTAAAATTATTGTATTGCCAAATGAAGCGAGAACGATGGAGTAACTAACTTCCTCAATATATCATTTATTTATGCACTCAAAGCATCGTAATTAACATTCCATTCCTAATCATGGCCTTAAATATTAAATGCTGAGATAAATGATACACAACAGGAGCTCCATTTCTTAATAGGACGTCTCCAAAAAGTTGTTGAGGTGTTAGCTTATCTTCGTCCTTCAATGACACAAATTTGTTCGTTAAGATACATGAAAACAATTTTTTTGTTCATGGTTGTTTGTCAAGATGCATTAAAAAACTTCATTCAATCCTTCCAACACAAAGTTCCAAACTTTAGGTATTTATATCTCAGAGTGTTCGTGGTTAATTAATTTTTTAGGAAGTTTTGGGTTTCGCTTCATTTTTACAAGATACGCTATACATAACATTATCAACGACAACAACATTCTCTATAATTACTGAACACAATAATCATATTCAATATATATCATCAAAAAAATGTACGCTGCTTGAAGTTCAATGGCCTACCACAAACGTTAGTCTTGCCGACCACAACCGAGCAATGATTACAGGCATCAATTTTCAATCAATGTTCACAAAGAAGCCAGCAGAATACAATGGTTAGTCCCAAAAGTTTTGTCTTTGAACGAGGAATGAAGAACATTTCATATGGACAATGTAAAGTCTCATTATAATAAAAATTTCAGTGACAGGCGAGAAAAAGCCCTTGTACTGCAGTGGTCGGAAGACGCGAATGAAAAAAAAAAACAATGGCTGAATATTTTGGATAGGTAAACAGAAAAAAAACACATTCATCGCATAGAATCCGTGAATTAAGATAAAAATAAACACGTTTTTGATACCTACACTAATTGGGGACTCGAATAGGCCACAATAATAGCTTATCATGAGCAGAGATCAACGGAAGAAACTAGTTACTAATCGCTTGATAGGCTATCAATACAACCATTGCGTTGTCTAAGGAACATAAGGCTATGTTACCAAAGTAATACAGTGACACCAATCCAACGTTGAATAACAAAACCTAGGCAATTATTGCGATGTTCTTTTACTAAATATACGAGAGGAGCTTCCAGGCATTGAATTCCAACTAAACGCTTAACATTGAAATAAACAGAGAGCAGCAATTTAAACCCGACTTCGGGATAACGGTTATGCAGTTTCATACGCAATCAAGAAACAATGGGAACTGAGCTACAAATAAACTATATTACTTAATGTACAACTTTATCAATTTACCATGAAGAAAACATTAACTTTTCTGAAAGCGATTCACGCTCAGCTAACGTTATCGCCTAGAGTCGGTTCTTACTTTCTACGATGCTAATTGATTTTTTTGGGAAGAGAAAATTAAATTCTTTTTTTACTAGATTTTTAGTAGTTGTATGAAATCAATAAATATAATCAGCAAAATGCAATATTTCTCCTTCAGACCAGACAAAATTCCACTATTTTTCAACACGAATAATCAATCAGGTTTCTTTACGAGAGTTTTATATTCCATTGGTTACGACGGATAGCAAATGACAATATGGGTAGCGATGGTAAGCTGGGACATGCATATTCGAGTTATCAAAGTTTTGTCACTCTAAATTGACAATACTTTAGACTCTAATATAATAAATGACCTCAAAAAGTATGCAAATTGTAGAACTTTCATACAATGATTTTAATTAGATGGCCAACAGTACCATTGTACTTATTTTCAAACTTATTTTAATTACTCATTGCTTAAGAGAGGAATATTCCTGGAGCCAACGAGTGAACGGCAGAGAACAAGGTTAGAGCTATGACTCTCCTCCAAAATATATAAGTTCATAACAATTTACTTGGCAAGCAACCTGCAAAATACAGAACTTATATACATAAAAATTACAGACGCCAGTATGAAAAATATTTCGAATAACTTGAGGTAGTAAGACGAGGAAAACCAGAGGAAAAGCAATATGAAGCGCGACTCTACTGAAAAAATATAGACTCCTTTTAATGATATGCAATACGGAGTTACGCGAGACTCGCGGTATGGAAGCAACAGCAATTAATCAAATAGAACTTCTGTCTAGTAAAAATATATTTCTACAGTTAGCTCATATTTTTGTTCCATTGCAGATAAACGATGCAAGGTAACATCTTCGAGAATAAGCACATATGATGATATTTGGCAGCATTGCATCTCGATCAGAGCCAGTTAAAACAATTAAATAACGCTAAAGCTTCTATTTGCAACGATGATCAATCGTTTGAATTATACTCAGACAACTCGAAGCACTCAGGGCTACAATTACGAGCTAAATAATAATTAAATTCATAGCTCAGGCAACAAAATGAAAACGTGCGTTGTTACATTCAATGCTTCTGTCATTCTGATAAGCGCATAGAACGATTATTGATATTTTTATTCGTGCATATATTCCCCCGTTGGGTAAACATTGTCGATATACAGCACCTAATCTGATCTACACATAGAACAACTTGCTCCACCTAGTGCGATCAGTTATCACACAATGAACCGTTATGCATCAGAGATTATCGCAGAACACATAAAAAAAATTATCGCAGAAAAATCATGAACCGATAAATTTTTTCAAACAAGAACAAAGGAAACCACTCTGAACTACTACAAAAAATAGCCCTTAAGGAATGAGGAACTAAACATTCCAATCACTGAGGAGAGAAAGATAAAATTCAAGACTAGGCACTATACTTTTTCATAAGAAATTCTTCCTAAAACCAATAAGTGCATAAAATGATATAAGGGCAATCTTCCCAAACTGCGGTTGTAGAGATTACATTAAAAGATTCTTTCGTTAGATCATTTGTTACGGCCAACATAAATGCCGTTTTTTTCAGGGAAGGGCCAAAAAAAAAAAAAAACAATGTGCCACCATTAGCTGGAAACGCTCCAGCATCCATAAATATTTAAGTTATGGAATTCATCAAATCGAGACTACTTCCAATGACAAACTTAACAATATGACGTTAAAATTGCCGTTAATTGTTCTTGAACTTGTTTGGTGGTACTCGCAAATAAACTTCATGAAATCTGGAAACGTATCTTTTCATTTTGAAGCTTCCTAGCTGCATGAATAGAAAAGGCCAAAAAATTACCAATATAGATACGAGGTGAAACAAAAAACTGGTTAATGAATAACTTTGAGACTGACGCGAGGTAAGGGAACACTATCAATGAGCGCGAAAATGTAAAACTGGCTGCAAAGTATTTTAAATAATGCGACTAGAAAATAAGACTATATCAATACAAATACGTTGAGAAGACATGCTTATTTAGGCCAAGCATTTAACTCAACTTAAAAATGAAAGCATTAGACTATAGAGCCATGAGCCTGTGGTGCAACGGGAGAAATGCAGCCAAATTTCATTTACAAGACTACGAGATCTTACACATGAATATAATATCTCAATTCAAATTTATTGGGAAAGCATATTTAATTTAGATGAGAGCAATAGACTACAAGATACGATAGATGAACGACCATTAGTTTGACGAGGCATAGTATAGAACCGGTACAATTTAGCAAGTCTTCACTAGTAGTTCGTAACTAAAGCAACAAAATCTCAATAACCTAATCACTGGCGGGATGGATACATTTAACACGATGGCCAGTACATCAGGCAGGCACTTAAAGCAAATAAAAAAAACGATTCAACACAAGGTGTACAGGACTATATTTTTAATTCAGAGACAACCCAGATGAGGTAGCGCAGCATTATTTCAATTATTCAAGTCTAGACCCAGACGTGGTAGCACAGTAACGCAGCGATTACTACTAAAGACTTAACCCAGACGTGGCAGCACAGTAACGCTGCGATTACCAAAGACTTAACCCAGACGTAGTAGCACAGCAGCACTTCAATTAAACATGTTTAAACTTTAAACCCAGACGTGGTAGGGCAAGAAAGCTCAGAATACTTAACCAAGTGTCGCAGGTCAATTTACTAACACTAGAGAGGTGATGAGGTACGGTAATCTCACTTCCAGTCTACATTCCACGCTGAAAGGAAAATGAAAGGAATTCGGCAAAAAATCCCAACTTATGAACAAATGAAGAACTAAAAAGATATGTAATTCAGAACATAGCAAACTAAAAACTTTCCATCTCATCACAAAAATTTTTCACCTGTCGGGTCCAGTCTGAGTGCAGTGAACACAAGGATTCAATCACGTCAACACATGACCCAGAAATTTGCCTGAAACTAAGCAGCATTTACTCACGAACCTTAGCGCTGTAAATAAAGTTAACAATGACAATAAAGTTGAATAATTCCAAAACTTTGGCAAAAAAAATTCACACTGGAAGTGATGGACATGCTAAACACTAATTGACTAATAACAAACGTGGTAGGAAATACATCGTGAACAAATTATCTACACGGGACACTGGCGCAAACAATTTCTTCTTGCTTTCCATCAATCACTTTGTGAGCAGCTCGCAAATGTTAGGTAAATCCTTTTTTTAATTGATTATATATGATACCGGAAATGCAGAGGATTGAATATCAATATTAAAATGTACAGAGATTGAATAGTACAACAGTATTTTATCATAGGTGGTATTTGTTGCAATCATGAAAATTGTACATCAATCACTACATGGTTCATGAGATAACTTGAAGTTCATTTCTCGGGACTGAGATATACGGTATGCCTTCAAGGTACGAATGACACTAGTACATAAGGGAAGCAAGATATCCAACATACTACGCAACAGTTTGTAAAATGAATAAGAGTACCTAAAAAAAGCACACATCAAGCACTATTCTGACGGGGCATTAGAGCAGACAGGTGATTGGTCCTCAAAAATAAATTTCTGCTGAATCATTGGACTAGAATTGAAGGGTATGTTCGAGACTATTGTACCAATAGGTTATATTATTGTAACTATGGAGAACTTTTACAAGACGACGAGAAGTATATGTGCCACTGCTAATGCTTTAGTTGCGCATTAAGCGACTGACGTGCTGCATGGTCGCTCAAATGCCGAACATCAATGACGCCTGAAGGCAGAGGCCAATGAAGAGGCCAGGTTTTCAAGTGGCGCACCGCAATGCAGGGAGGGCGCCGCCTTAGTAGGGTTGCTGCTGCTGTTGTTGAGGGTCTGAGGAAATAATGGCTTTAGAATCAGGACACTTAAGTAAGTACCTATTTCAAAAGTTGTTCTGGCTTGGAGATTTTATTCATGAAGAACTCGTCACATATATTAACAAAACAGCGTGATCTTGCCACGATCAATTCCATTGAAAATACCTCAGGATAAAAAGGGGGTAACAGATAAGTAATTAGGTAAAAAAGAAGGAAACGTTCTATAACAGGATATTAAAAAAAGAGAACATTATAGTTTCCTTTAACGAGGCTAATTAAAAAAAAATCCAAAAATATCTTCAAATAGCCTCAAAGAATAAATAAGAAAATTTTCTCACAGAATTTGTTATAAAGGTAAAATAAAAGCTTGCTAAAAACGCATAGAAGAACAGACCAATTTGTTGGAGCCCCCCAAAAGGTGGTTGAGCATAGCCACCCTGAGGGTCTGTAGCATCAGGGTAGCTTGTATAGCCACTCTCTGCCGCAGCCACAGCAGCGTTAGGGTCCACTTCATAGCTGGGGGCAAATGCCTGAGCAGAGCCTTGCTTGAACCGCAAGAAAGCGAGGTAACCCAGACCAGCCTGAACACAAACGCATAAGAAAATCATGGATGTAAAAACATTAGTAAAACCTATCTAATGCTTTACAACCAAGACCAGCAAGGTTAACTGAAACCAGCCTGAACACAAATGAACAATAAAAATACATGGATAACAAAAAAAAAATGCAGTGCAGTGAGTGACAGAGAGCACATTTTCTCGTCGATGAAAACTTGAGGTCACAGACAGACGGGCGGACAGACAAACAGACAGACAAACATGGCGAGCACAATACAGACAGACAGACAGACAGACATGGCGAGCACAATAGTGCATTTTTTCAATAAATGAGAAAATGCGCTAAAAAGGCAAATATTGAAATGCCTGGTGATTGAGACTACAGAATTCAAGAAAAAAGGGCACTGAACACAGAAGTGAAAAATGTAACAAATTAACCTACAGATGTCACCAATGTACAAGGTGCTTGAGGAACAAAGTCTTCAGTTGCAAAATCATGAGTTGCCAAAGTTTACTTGGTCTCAACAAACTGGCACATCAAAATAAGTTTGGTTATGCCACACAGTTCTTTCTTGAGCATCCACAGTGAAAATATTATTTTTTCCAAGTTTTGCATGAGGAGGCGAATGTACATGAATGATACCAGATAAAAAATAAAGGCATTTGTGCAGATATGTAAAAAAATGTAGAAAATTTGTACTTTATAGCTTGGCTTACAATAAATTCATCTTGAAATATTAAAGAATCTTTAAACAATTAAACAAGGTTTCCCAACCCAAAATTTTAGGAAAAATTCAAAATTCTCCCGATTTTTTTTAATTTGTAATATTTTGAGAAAAAATCTAGTTATTAGTAAATGTAGTTCCTCTGTTTTTGTGCTAGAAATCAATAATTACATAGATCTTAAGCTCATGAATAAAATGTTTCATCACTAATATTCAATATAAACACAAACAATGTGCATTAAAACTTGTCTCAATACTCTTTAAAAAAATGCTAGACCAACAAAAACACTGCATAATAATACAAGAATGAAAAAAATGGGACACAAGCAAGACAAAAAATTTCTCACCCAAGTGAAGATAGAGAAGAAGCAAAAGGCTATGGCAGCCTGCATGTTGCTGACGCCTATGTTACCAGGAGGTGCATCAGACTTGCTCCACTGGTTGGTGAGGTAGCAGAAACCAATGAAGTACAGCAGTGACCAGAAGCCTAAGAAAAATTTAAATAAATTTACATATTCTCTGAATGAAATAAAATGACTCATGAAACAGTTTCAGCAATGTTAGGTATGACTTTTGATTAATCTGAAGAAATATTGAACAAACTCCAGCATTTATGAATATTTTTTTTAAGTAAATAGAAGTGCAAAACCAATTTTTTAATTTTCATTGCGTAAGTGAAAGTACAATTATTTATCCTCACAGTCAATTTTAACCAGGCTCATCATTTCTTACATTGCACCAAGTAAATTATACTTGGGTTTGATTTGTGCCTGCTAATCCACGAACACTAGGAACAAATTAGTAGGCTTAGGTGCAGAGGAAAGTGCTGAATTTAAAAGTTTGAACATAAACTGCCTTTGACAAACCTAGATTATGACCTCTTGGTTTAACAACAATCCTTTGATATTATGACCAAAATAGGTATAAAACCAAAACTAGGATATATACTTTTGCACCTATCCCATGATATTATATACAAGCAGTTTTCATGATATTAGCAAGACATGAGTAATATTTAATGGTTATTCAGATTGTATAGTACAGATTTCCTTCAATCCAAATAATATAAAGGATAAAAGACAAAAATTTGAGAAAAATAAGACTAGAGGCCACATAAAAATTAAGACTAGATTCCCATGTCATGAAGTTTATGAACTAAGCAAACAAAATTAAATATTCATACAAATAGGATTTAAAATCAATTAGAAATATACACCCATTCACACTATCAATGCCTTACTTAGGCTTATGACATTTCATTAATCATGCAGAAAGAACTGGTGATCAGCCAGAAACAATGTTGAAAATCACTTACTTGAGAAGCCAAGGTCAGCCAAGACATAGCGCTTGCGGGTCTTGATGGAAGACATTTGTTCGAAGAGAAATTCTCCAACCAGGAAGCCAATGCAAGCCAAGAAAGCAATAACTGAGATGCCAGTTCCATAATTGCAAGCATTGCCATCTCCATTGTAGAGGCAGACCTCATTGCCTTTCTCATTGTTAGTCCAACCTTGTGATGAGATGCAACCAAAGATGATGATAGAAAACAGCTGAAATATGAGAAGAGATCAGGTTAAAAAATACACCCACTAAACACATTTCTGGCATGTCAAGGAACTACCTACAGTTGGAAGAGAATAGGAAAACATAAGAAAAAATCAGAGATCAATCAAAATTTTGTAAAATTAGAGATAAAATTCTAAGAATATCAGTTTAATTCCATACAAAGTCACAAGATTTTAAGAACCAGAATTCCAGTTATAGAGAGACATTCAATGTGCAAGACAATTTTTTCTAGTTATTTCAACAAATGCAGGCATTAGTTTTAAATGGATACAAGAAAAAGATCAACCTTTAGTTAAGAATAGTTTGTTGATTGGACAAACAGGTCAAATTTAATGCAAAAAAAAAAAATATTCGGTTTGTAATATTTACTATTATTTGATTCCTATCCAGTTTGCAACATTGAAGGCAATGACAAATTTTGCAAGCAATGTTTGAATGCTAAACTTTAGATACCAAGAAAACCAAGATAAAAGGCAAGATTCTGTGAGAAACTTGTTAGGAGTCCAGTGTTGAATTTGAGGGTTGTAACTTATAACATATGAAATGATTTATATATTGATAAAATTAGACAAAGGAGCCTTCCCTTTTGTACTCGGCCAATAATCTGATGAACTTGAATCAAGCATGTGGCAAAAGGCAAGGTTCAGCTGGATTTTTATTCAATAAATAAATCAAAATTCCTAAAATTCCACTCTAGTTATTATGCCATGTGCCATGTAGCCAGCAGAGACATACAAGAAAATGCGCTCTCTGTCACTCACTGCTGTGAGTACTGAGTTATATTTTTTTGTTTTAGTGAAAACAGATATAAGGAAATGTTTACTGAAGCAGAATTTTTGTTTTTTCTTCTTTAAGCGAATTGATGATACTAGCGATTGGCGAGTAAGGTGGTACCGGTAGCTAGCTGGTTAAACTCGCATCAAAGGATCAAGCTATTTTTTACAGCCAAATAATTACGGTAATCGTCAAGTTGAGATTAATCCGATGCGAACAGAAAATAATAAGTTATGTAAATAGACTCATGAGTCATGCTGGCGAAAAAATGTTGAATAAATCAGACGTCAACTTAGTATATTAGAACACTTACCCAACAAACGGCTCTTAATATTACTTGAGGTCTTTGAACGAACGTTATAGGATCGAACGCAGCTCCAGCTTTACCGACACCGTACGCACCCTCCATGATTGCGTCTGTGTATGACTTCAGAGACTCCCAGTTTCAAGAATCAAGGCAAACACAGCTGAGGTCATGTTCTCATAAAAGCGTGTAAACAATAATGAGAATTCGTATTTTAGACTGTCAAATACATCATCATAAGCTAAGCATAAACAGTGTTCGGCAGGAATATGCTACTCAAGTTTCAAGAACAATTTTCTTCTTTTAGCTTGGGAGTTAAATTGATCTGATTGCGTTTCCGAGATTGCTGGAAATGATGCAGACGACCTCAGTTTGCGCATGACTTCAGTCTTAATCAATCGCAAGGTAGAAACGCCTTCGTATCATACACGCCAAACCCAAAATTCGTATTTAAAAAATCAATTTTAAACGTAAGACGATTTAAATTTGCACGAACCGTTAGATTTTTGAGTTCAGATAATGGAATGAGCGCAGTTATCTGTGAGCGGCCTGATCCATCTAGCGCAATTTATTATACATTTAGTTCAAAATGTGAAGTTGTCGTGGAAAATTTTCAACTATTTCTCCGGAGTTTTACCATATTGAAAATAAATCAATCATAACCGATTCAAAAGATTTATTGTTAAGCTACTCGCACACAGAGCGTGGAGGGCTGGCTGGAGTCACGTGCATAAAGGAAGAAATTAAACAAATGGGAGATGGAATTTAAATTTTCATTGAAAATGTGCTGGTGACGTTACAGAGTTTTATACTATATAGAATCTTTATACGAAACATTACAGTTTTATTTTTTTCGAACAGGAAAGCATGTATGGACATATTAGTTCAAATAATCAGACTGTTAATGATCTTTAATTAAATCATTGCAAATAAGTTTAAGTTATGCTTATCGTGAAAACACATTACAAAAACGACTTTCCTGAAACGCATGAGCAATCTTGTCCTTGTAGATAATTCTTTACTTAGATAATAATAGTTGAGACCTATTCGTAGTTATTCATCGCTACCGAAATACTTTCCCTGCATATTTTAAATCTTGAATTCGACACCTCCAAAATTAAAAAATACGCGATGAGGTGAACTTACAACTTTGAATTGTTAATCCTCGTGAAATGATTTACTGTGAAAATGGCATTAAAAGAAGCCAATCAATTTGTGACTTCCTAAATATTCCAGAAAATATTTAAAAGGCAGATATTTCGGTGGGGACTCATGAAATTTAGAATTATCTTTTACTGCTTGATAACCAATTTTCATATGAATATTATAATGGACTAAAGATAACATTGTTCTCATTGCGGTCCCAAGTTTATGAGTTTTTCTTTCGAAAAATAATTTAGTGACTTTAACCCAAGCCAAGATTCAATTTACAAATCGTTTAATTAGTTTCATTTAATAACGATCGCGATTGTTTTGATTTGATATTTAGCTATAATTTATTATAATTTGCATACATTCGGACGGTAGGCTGATTTCTGCAGTAGCGGTCGACCTTCACGACAGCGGCAGCTGTTCCTTGATGAGCTGAAATAACAAAGGTAAATGAAAACGAAACAATAAATGAAGAATTGAAGTGCATGAAATAAATTTGATTACGAACAAATAAATAGGTATATTACGTGCACGAACTACCTTAAATACGAACAAATAAATAGGGATATTACGTGCACGAAATACCTTAAATACGAACAAATAAATAGGGATATTACGTGTACGAACTACATTTAAATACGAACAAATAAATAGGGATATTACGTGTACGAACTACATTTAAATACGAACAAAATAAATATAGATATTCCATACACAAACTAATTTCGATTAAGGTTTTAATGATTGGTTTATTACCAAATTAGTATGGTAGCACATCTTGATTGACGTAAGCAACATATTCTAGAGGAAAATCCCTCCGTATTGTAATAACAAGACACGTCTATCAACTGAGTTAGTTTGCATTCAATTAACACAGTGACTTGAATTACATCGAAAACTAAATGGAGCAAGACAACCTACCACACGTATTAGATTTATAGACTTGATCACGAAATATATTATTATGACGAGACATAAGACAATATGATGCAGATATAATTTTTGATACAATAATACAAATTTGTTCTAAAAAATGTCACAGCCGAAATATCGGTGGCTGCTGATATTTCGTAGCCGGACGTTCCTATTGCATTTACTGAACAGTTGAATTTACGAGGCTACGTAAATTTTAAAATTTTCAAATTCCTCGTAAAAAAATTTACGAGGCTACGTAAATTCAACTCGTATTGCAACAGTTAAATTTATTGCAGCAATCACTTTAATTCATTTATTTATTAAAACAGTTGAAATCACAGAACAAACAGCCAACGGTCCTATAAATATGGAGATCATGAAGAACTTAAGAGGTCAAACGGTTAGTATTTACAAAATAATTTAAATTACGTTATTTCGTTTCGTTATTTACTTTCGTTTTTTTATCAGCCTTGATACGCTGTTATGACCAAAATCTATTCTCTCAATCGAAGACTTATAACTTATTTTGTCCACTTCGATCTGCCTCTATCCTACCAAATTGACCATTTAAAACGTTATTTTTTTAGGCTTTATCCCTCCTAAGGATCGGGCTTTATCCCTCCTAAGGACCATATTTTATCCCTTAAGGACCGGGCTTTATCCCTCCTAAGGACCAGATTATATCCCTTAAGGATCGGGCTTTATCCCTCTTAAGGACCGGGCTTTATCCCCCCTAAGGACCGGGCTTTATCCTTCCTAAGGACCGGGCTTTATCCCTCCTAAGGACTGGCCTTTATCCCTCCTAAGGACCAATTTTATGGTCATGGCGTTATTTAGTCCACCTTAATGAGCTTATCCCTGTAGAGCTTCTCGGACTCCCAGCGGCGGACGGGTACGGCCTTTCCGTTGCGGCGGAGGCAGACGCGCAGGTCCGCCTCGTCGAAGATGATCACCGGGTCGAGGTGGTGCGAATTGATCTTCTCGACCAGATACTCGACGTAGTGCAGTCTGCCGCCCCACATTATGTCCAGAACACTCATTATGTACCGCTATTAATGCCGCATATACATATATTATGAATCACCATATCGACATGTTATGCCGAGCATGCCGAGCCTGCCGAGTATGCACAACCGGTTATGCCGAGCATGCTTAGTATGCACGGCCGGTTATATCGAGAAAACTGAGTATGCACGACTGGTTATATCAAGAATAGTGTATTAATGCGACCAATAATATCATAAACATTAAATGGTCACGGAAAATGTGCTACAAAACAATGCCTGGATACAACTGGTATGATATAAAAAGCATCGAAACGATGCAGCTTAGAGCGGGTTGCAGTTTAGTTCGTTAACAGCTAACAGCGAGTTTGGTCGTAAATACGAGTGACAATAATAATATTTAGTACAACGTGAGTGGAGTGTTTTACTTTGAATGTCTTGTCTTTCGCGAGTGATCGAGTAATAATTAATGCTAAGCGATTTTTGTGTACGTAGCTTATTACCTTATATTCAAGCCTGGCATTTTTGCGAAATTATAGATATTGTCTTGCGGGTCTCGACGAACTGAACCCCCACAAAAAATTAGCCTTTGAGCTACTTAATGCCTTGTAATTCGTGAGAAAATGTAAGGTCCTATAAACTGTCAATAGAAATGACTCGTTGCAAATACAGAAGTAAGTTCAAATTATTTTAAGATGAAAATCACCAACTTTAAGCCAAAAATGAAATTTTTTCCTTTGTGACGAATGTTCCTTATTATGTGCTGGAAGTCACGAAAGTTGAGCCAAATAATGAATTTTCACTTATGACAAATATATGAGTGAGCATGTTATAAGCTTTTCGCTTGGAAAAAATTCATTAATTTTCGTACTGATCAATTAAATGAAGAATTACATATGCAACGGGCGACATGAAGGATGGAAGTTAAGGCGAAGAGAATGGAACAGAAAAGACGCATTTCGAACTATTATTAAAAACCATGCAAAGCTTTATAGAAATTAGTTACAAAATCGCGCTAAAAGAGCAAGCCAAGCTCAAAACAGGTAATTAAATCAGAAGGTAATCAGCTTTAACGATAAAGTATACAAGCCTTATTTGCCAAACAACACAACCTTGTTAAGAGGATGCAAAATAAATCAAACGATGTAATCTTCCTCACTCAAAGTTCTTTCCTCAAAAATAGTACAATTTCTCAAATAAGTAATTTAGTGTATTTAATCTTATTCTTATTTCAGTTGTGTACTGTTTTGTCATCGGCCCCTCCTTTCCTTCCTTCATCACGTACATTCATTAAAATAATTTCCGTTTTTTAATTTCTGTTCCATACATCGAACCCTTTCCTTCCTTTGAATAATCCTTCCCAAAATCAAGTCATTACATCGTTTGACTAAATACTCCTTAAAACCAAGTGTCATTAACTTAATTTCAATAAATCCTCCCATTGACTAAGTAATTTCCTTTATTTGAATAGATCTTACCTTAAAAAATTAATTTCATTCGTTTAAATAGATCCTGTCCAATTCAACCAAGTCTTGCCTCTACTTCATAAGTCCCTCCTCCTCTCCTTAAGTCCTCACTGTTCTTAGAACCGAGACCTCACCATTCCAATTAACTCTCCGGCAGGCCAGCTCCTCACCGTTGCAATTAACTCTCCGGCAGACCAGCTCCTCGATCACTGTTGCAATTTACATTCCTACAAATTAATCCTTGCTCCTTACCTTCCTGACGCGGTCTTGAAAGCTGGCTTTGGTCTCGCCCTCGAGCTTGCGCGGTCCGTCGAGATTTTCTCGGCGAAGTAAGTAGTGTAAATCCTCCTCGTCGAGCAATGAGATAGGGTCTAGTTTGTATTGATTTATAAGCCGCACCAGTTGTTCAGTGAAGTGTATTCTGTAAAGAAGGAGTCTATTCAAATTTCCCGCGTTGAGAAATTTTGTTCTTATTTTATGCAGCAAGTAATCGTAAAAAATTTTGAGCGTGAAAAAGTTATTCTCCAAGAAAACGAACATTGTCTGGATTCATGAAAAAATTATTTTCGCTTATAGAACGAATTCAGAAGTTTAGACTCCATGAGAAACGATTCGCTGGAATTGCATGAGCAAAACATTATTTTTCTATCGAGATATAGAAACAAATTAGGCTTCAGCATTCGTTAGCAATTTTGATGCGTTTCTTATACCGACATTTTTTAACGTTACTAACACTGGTGTGCGGTGTTATGAAATATCAATGTTAGCTCAGTGCTCGCAGAGGGGATCTGGACTCACCTGTAACTCATGTCCGAGTTGATGAGTGACGCACTCAGTAGCCAAGTTGTTAATTAATTCTTTGTACATTCACTCATTAGTTATATGGTAATCATTAATAATTAGTTTCAGTAATCTACTTCATCAAGGACTGAACTATGGCTAGTAATGTATTTAAAGTAAGGAATTTGAATCCTTTTTGAATATTTTATGATTCACTTCGTTGATAAAGCTTTAATGATAGCTGAGAACGCCGCTTTCAAACTATGTAAAGAAATTTTAGGCATAGAGGACATTGGTCAAGGGATGCGTTAGAGCGGTTATTTTTAGGCAAAGATCTTTAAAAACCATAGATTAAGTGTTTCATGGTTTGAAAACCATAGAATAAAGGTTTTTCGGTTTAATCTTAGTAATTTCTTACTCTTTGTCATCGCATTTGGAAAAGTATAAGGGAAAAACGTGGGTTAATAGGTAAGGGTATAAGTACATGAAACTTTCTAAGATATTTGTATAGCATTAAATTAACTGGGTTAAGTCAAACTGGTTAAGCTGTGCATAAGATGAAACCAGGGGCATGATGAGAAAACTAATGAAAAAGTACAAGTCATTGTCTCTTCTGTTTGAATTTTATGATGTGAGTGAATCGAACGGCGCATTAATCCAAACAACAATTTTATTAAATTTCCATCTCCTTAATATTTTTATAGATACGCAAAATTGAATAAAGTGCAGTTGCGCTTGCGCATCTGAAAAAGCAAACTTCGTCATTTATTTGTTTTTTTTTTTATTTTGACACTTAACTCATGGCCTTCCTTAAACAATAAAAATCAAAACAACAAAGTATAACGGGTGAAGAGCAAGAATTCTGTAATTGCTTCAGTCGGTTTTATATGATTAAATAGAAATTCTGTTAATTTTGTCATGACGTTAATTTCACGTTGTAACTCTCGACATGTGACGTGAGTGACGGTAAATCCAGCTTTGTTTCCATTAGTTACCCCGCCAATGTATTTCGAGTGGGAAACAAATTTTAGATTCGTCGGTATAACCCAAGAAGCTCTTGAACTATCAAAACGTCTTCCTAAGTCATCCAAAGTGATGATAATTTATATCAAATATCCTAAATATGGAGCAGGATGAAAGGTTACCTGCAGAGTCCTGCGTTTCCTTGAAGTACGGATCGCCCACAAATGTCATCCACGAGACCGTCCGGGGTTTCTTTTTGCTCCGGAACCTGACACTGCCTGCGTTGTGTGTCCGCGCCGCCGTGCGTGTCATCATCGCGAGGCTCCGTGTCAAACGGAATATTATTCTCCTGACGAAGAAACAAATGTAGAACCGATTTAAAGTAAGCATTGGCTTTACGATCGATACTTAATTCCAAAATCATTATTATTAGAAGTCAAAATTTATCGTGTATATTGAAAAGATGCAATAATTTTTTCTATAATTAAAAATCTCACGATAAACACCTCTATTTATAAGTTTCTCAATACAATATTAAAAAGCAATTAACAACTAGTGAACTACATGTGGCAATAGCTGACTTTGACTTGAACTTCTCTATAAAATACCAGACCCTAATGTTCTATAATAAGCACCTTAAGCAGCTGCTGCAGCTGCGGAGGCTCCTTATCCCGCAGGTAGAAGAGGCAGTTGCGGGGGTGGTGGGCGTGTAGGCCCAGGCGCTCGCAGTAGGGTCCAACTGGGCACCTGGAGCGTCAAAAATCATCATTAAATTAAATTTAAGTATGCCTGAAGGGCCCCTCACCTCGCGCCCTGCCTGAAGGGCGCCTCACCTCGCGCCTTGCCTGAAGGGCCCTCACCTCGCACCCTGCCTGAAGGGCTGGCCACAGCCCGAGCAGAACTCGTACTTGCACTCAGAGCAGGTGAAGTGCATGCAGCCGCCCTTGGCGAGGCTGTACTGGAACCTGCGGTGATTGCGTGAAATGATTAGCCGTTATCATTACCGGTGATATTTTTCTTTTACCATATCATTAAATTAATAATAACTAATTTAATTATTAAATATATATTTATTGAACTTAATAACTGAATACGTTTAATTACCGTACCATTAAATTAATGATAATAGATCATAATCATTGCAGTTGGAGATCGGTTCCATTTATGGAGTGAATAATTACAATAATTCTTGATTAAAAATTATGTAGTGAAGCACATAGAAGTGAACCTTTCACCATGCAGCCATAATGTCGTAATCTGATGAGTATAGCATTAATTTATTGGAGTCATTAATATATTGGAACTATTAGTCTATTAGACCAGTTGGCTGGTTGCCGGTTTTTAACCACACAGTAATTTTTCTGATTGCGACTAGAATTTTCACAGCTAAATGTGAATTTCGAACATCTAACTAATCATTCCAATTTTTTGTGATCTTAACGAGTCATCCACTCAGAGCATTCAAAGAGTATGAAATAAACTCTAATTCACGGACGAGTGGCTTTGACTAATACATTTCCATAAATGCTTGATTCGGCCTGATAACAATCCATGTAATTCTTAATAGCTTGCATGGACTCCCTCCAAGACATGGTAATCCATCATAGAATTGTTTTCAAGTTACCAAATACTCATATTATTCTTTAAATCTCACAATCCTTTTCATCATATCTCCATGCGAGTCTAACGATAGTTACAGTTATTTCCAGTGGGTTGTGTCTACTCGTTCCAAATTCAACAAATACGTTCAACTGACCTCCAATTCGTGTGCCAAATTACGATATAACTGTTATTTTAGAGAGGCTCAGGATGTGATCAATCAATCTAAGATTTAGAACAGAAGTTTCAGATTAATAAAATGTTCAAATTTCTTACTTACTAGGTCCTTGGAAAATAATTCTGAACTGTACTCCACAACTGTACGTCAAACATTTTCTATTTAGGAAACTGTAGTTCCAAGATTTTCAGCCCTTGGGACGAATCATCTGACCTAGACTTTGGACAGAAGTTCTGATCTACAGTCAAAAGTTGAGGTCTAACCAGCACTTAACGGTCTCAGTTCTGACTTACACTTAAGACTCAGTTCCGACCTGCATTTAGGACTCAGTTCTGACCTTCGTTTATGACTTAGTTCTGACCTAGGTTTATGACTCAGTTCTGCCCTGCGTTTATGACTCAGTTCTGACCTACGTTTATGACTCAGTTCTGACCTGCGTTTATGACTGAGTTCTGACCTGCGTTTATGACTGAGTTCTGACCTGCGTTTATGACTGAGTTCTGACCTACGTTTATGACTCAGTTTTGACCTGCGTCTCAGTTTTGACCTGCGTTTATGACTCAGTTCAGACCCATGTTTATGACTCAGTTCTGACCTGCACTTGGGGCAGGTGATGCCGTTCTCAGCGAGGTGCTTAGCAACGCCTTGGGCCTGCGCCTCAGGGTCGTTCTCATGCTTCCATTTGGCGAAGGCGTCGCAGCTGATGCCCTCGTGTTGCTCTTCCCACTAGACATACAAGTCATGGTTATTATTCAGCGTAGTTTTTCAATATATCTTCTACTTATGTGTTTTTCCAAAGCAGTTCATTTTACCTCTGATAAAAAGTTCAAGTTAGTGCAGACAAAAGAGACGTTTCAAGTACACCAATCTGAATACAATTCTCTCCTCTAAATTTTTTCAATATTTTTTCTACTTATGTCTTTTTACGAAGCAGTTCATTTTACCTCTGATAAAAAGTTCAAGTTAGTGCAGACAAAAGAGACGTTTCAAGTACACAAATCTTAGAATGAAATTCTTTCTCTTCAAGGCGCGTACCATTAAAAGGATTTACGATTTTTGGCACACCGTCAGTCAATCACTGACGGCTTTCCAAGCTAAACCAAACAATCACAGACGAGAAATCAGCCGTATTTGTGTACTTCAGCAAGATTTGGGAGAGTGACTTCAGAAAAAATGAACGAGGATTTTATTTGGTATTTTTTTACTAAAATTGATTATTCAATGTAGCCATTATGCATTATGTTTTATGTATTTTGAAAGCCAGGATTCCGATTAATAATAATCGTTTCTTTAATGAAATAATATAATATTTTCTGCCAGGGGAATAGAGCATAAATTATTTGAAAATCTTAAGGCTGAAATCATACAACAATTTGAGTTGTAAATCATCGGCATTTGTGAGGCTAAGCGAATAACTCGAAATTGAGGCTGGCTGATTGATTAGTATCATTTTTACTAATTAAGTGACATTAAGAGCATTCAATTTCATTAAGGAATGTAAAACTGAAACAGAAATTACCGTAATGCTGAGTGGCAGACACTGCATTTAATTCCTAGAATTAAGAGACATGGTTCAATTAATTCGGTTACTATTGTTTCAGTTCTAAAAAAAGTTAAGTTATGTTCAGTGTTTGAACAATTACTGCCATGCAGACGCAATTAGTGAATTTATAAACAATTTATAACTTGGAACTGATGAGAAATTTTTTTGGGTAAAAATTAATTCCACGAAAATAACTTGATTAAAATCAGTAATAAAAAGCTTTACTAAACTCGAGTTAATAGAGCAAAATTGACTCAGTAAAATCAATCAAGGGGAACAAATTATGCGAAACTTGGAAACCAGATCTTACCTCAACACTAATAAACGGAAAAATTCATGAGCAAAAACTATATAAATGCAACCACTCTGAACTTAAACTATAATTAAATCCGACCACTTTACATTTACGCTTAGACTTTGAGTTCCAACCCCACAGTGAACATTACCAAACGTAAACTCAGCTAGAGTTTGAAAAAAATTTGAAAAATAATATGAAAATTCTAAAAATAAGAAATAAACTGACCGGCAGGCGGCAGTGGGCGCACGTCACGTCGCGGCAGTCCGGACAAATCAGCTTCCGCGCTCTAGGGTTTGCGATGAACCCAGAGGAGCACTGAAAGAAGTAGCGGGATAGTGTGCATTACTAGCGTCACACCTGAGACCATGTGGATGTTATTTTGGCGATGTGATAAAAGATGTTAGCAATATACCTATAACCATCTACATTCTACAGAGCTATTCGATCATATTATATAGCAAGGATCATCCAATAGGTTGTTATGGTTACCGGGGCACCGGGATGCTTAGAAGAATATTAATGCAAAATGAGATAATTATGACAGCACGATGTTGGCATCGAGCATAAAAAGTAAAATAGCGCTTCAACTAGAAAGCGATTTCGAACAGGCAGTCGCAAACAATCTGTTACCAACATCAGTGGAATGTTTCGAAGTCCAGAAATGATCTTTTTTATCAAAAGTTGTCGGCTACACAAGACAGGGAGCGAAGCTCAAGATATTCTGCCTGGATATCTTGAGCTTCGCCTGGCAAGGTATCCTTCCGTCAAGGGAGGTATCCTTCTGTCTTAAGGTATCCTCCCGTCTACTAAACCCAACAACTGAGACCCAAAGTAGGAAATCTCGGACGGTGGCTCAGTAACACTGCCCCTGGTAACGCCAAATCCTATGCTTCTGCTAACGAGCACATGGATGCGACCGAGGTTTTTATAACAGATTAGAAGCGATGCGTCTCATTCACCTTATTGCACCATCTGAAGTTTGGGTCACTCATGAGTGACAAGTCGCGCAGTTTGCGCTGGAAGAGCTCGTGAGTGTCAGCGTCCACGATGCTTTTTAGGAGGATGTCGAGGTGGTTGAAGTACTCGGTCGCCGACTCCTGCGAAAGGGTTAACAATGAAGGCACGACATTTTCTTAAACATCACTTCTGAACCTTCTAATTTATTCTCAGTTATCCATTTTGAAACCAATCATTTATTTTAAATAAACTTGCTTTATATCTCAAAAATAGTTTTGTATTAACCGTTCGCAAAATTTAGCCCAAAAATTTCCAGTATGCATGTCTAAAATCCATTTCTATTAACCAAAGCTCTTCTCAAATTAATTAAAAATTAGAAGGAAATTCAGTCCCAAAAATTAAATTTGAATAAAATTCAAAAACTCAATTTACAATCATTCAATTTTCTGTAAATTATTTAATCTCAACATATATTATTGACCAAACAACAAGTTCTCGCTCTGACCTCGACCGTATCCAGGTTGGGCTCGTTGCAAAACGGACATCGTAGCTCGCGGATATTCTTGGTTTTTATTTGGTAGGTAAAGTACGTCTTGGCGCAGTCCATACAGCAGCGATGTGTGCAGTATAGCATCGAGACCATCTGTGTTAGGTGAATATTTGAGTCATCGACACCATATGATTAACATTCATACCTCAATGCCTTCTGCGTTGTTAGTATTGGGTCAACATTAATGCCATCAAAACCCTTTGTGTTTAATGAACATTCTGGGCATCGACAATCTGATTGACATGTGCAGACTATAATGTTACCAGAGTTGTTGGTTTCACGTTAGCATCCGTGTAATATTAACATCACTTACTTTTTTGTGTCACGTCAACTCATGTTATCAAAGAAATCAACCCTTTGAAACCGATAGCATTTGTTATCACTTAGGTCCTTAGCATTACTCCTCTTTAACCCTGTCAGTAGGCAGTCTTGCATTCGTTCTACTGATCAAAGTCGTGAGGGTATTGTCAGTAATGGTGAATAAGTAATGAATGTATAAACATGCAGTACTTCCTCCGTCTGATTGTGATCATACGGTCATCTAGGGGTTGTAGTTGGGCGATTATATTTATATTGTGACACAATCGACACGAAAGTAGGTACAGAATTCCATGTAAAAATTTTCCGTCTAATTTTATGTAATCACGCGAAAACAATCAAATCAATGACTTATTATTTAATCTTGGATTATTGAAAAAAATGTGGTCGATTTCTTTCAACAGTTTTGTTGGAAAAAATAAAACAAATGATATCGTATCAAACTTTAGTGCCCATATCTTTGCCTTTGAATTTTATCCCCAATAGCTGCATCGAGAACTTTTTGCGGCATGACATTAATTCGTAGGACTTACCTCAAATATGAGTTACTTGAACTCAAAGACCTCGCACTCCTGCTGCAGGAAGTGCAGGACGCTACCTGCAGCACTCACCTTCCTCATAGGATACTTCTCAGCGCAGAGCTCGCACTCCTGCTGCAGGAAGTGCAGGACGCTACAGCACTCACCTTCCTCATAGGATACATCTCAACGCAGAATTCACACTCCTGCTGTAGCAAGTGCAAGACGCTACAGCACTCACCTTCCTCATAGGATACTTCTCAGCGCCGAGTTCGCACTCCTGCTTTAGCAAGTGCAAGACGCTACAGCACTCACCTTCCTCATAGGATACTTCTCAGCGCAGAGCTCGCACTCCTGCTGTAGGAAGTGTAGTGCGCCATATATGGAGGAGCATTCCTGGGCAGCGGCTATGGAGTCTTCCTCATCGAAGCTGAAAGTCAGGAGCTGGGCGGCGAGCTCGGCCTTTTCGTAGCTGCCAGCCTGCCCCTCTGCCAGCAGCCGTCGCACGGTCCGCTGTCAATTGTATTTAGTTACTTGATATTATTTGTCACTTGTAATGTATTACATTACTTTGTAAGAGTTGTTCATGTTTAATACGTTCGGGTGTGCAAAATATAGGTTTAGCAATAACGTAAACGGTTTAAGTAAGGCTCAACCGTTCCTGCACCAAAAGCTAATCAAGGTGCGCGTATATATCCTGACCATGGCACAAAATCTTTCTCCCTCCTTTAATAAAATTATTTCCGAAATATTACATCATCGCAACTCCAAGAACTTTGAATTTGGGCATCACAATTTTTCCTACTTCTTAGCACTATAAAAATGTTTAGTGTAAATTGAACAATTAAAAATTCTTCATTACGATTATATCACAATATCTACTATTAAAGTTTGGTGCTACTGAAACCTAAGGATGCATTGTTTGCCTTCAACATTCGAATTTAAGGGCCGGAAATATAACTTGTACGACTCCTATTCCGGCGCCAAATATTTAGTAGCATCTTTAATGTTTTCAAGAAGACATGAATTAAAAACCATGGTTGAACTAGTATAAGGTTGACCCATGAGATGCTCATTTTTGCGGATGTAGTATGTTTTTCGCCTGTGACGTCACTGATCTCAGTGACGTCACGGGCGTCAACCAATCACCGAAACGCGATCAAACCAGTCAACCAATCAGTCGTGAGAATGACGGGATTGTTTATGTTTCTCGATATGTGACGTAACAAAAAAGCTGAGCTGAAAGACGGAACTTCTCGTGGGTCAACCTTATATAGTTCAACAATGTTAAAAACTATGTAAATGAGACTCACGTCGAAGCGGAGCTGCTCGTACTCAGAGGTCTCTTCCGCAGTCCGCGGAGTAGCGATCGCAGTGGCTGCGCCTCCGTCGTCGGCGGCCTCCACAGTGATGGTCGGTGTTCCCTGCAACAGGTAACTGTGTTACTGTCTTTCCTACTCCATTTTTTGACCATGTTTATTATGTTAGTTACTTGCTGTGACTATATTTTTGTTCAAGAAGTGCTAAAGTATTCTCCATAATCATACTGATACCCGTTTCTCCATACCGAAAAAATCATTTGAAAATGCACTGTTATTTTCATTGTTGTATTATAAAAACTATTTTTTTTATCAGCCAAGAGGTTTCTATACACTGTATTATCTTATTTGTCCAAATAATTACCCGAAATACCCATTCATGCCCCGGTTAGCGTCCTCACCTCTTGCTGCATTTTTTGGGCATCAGTAGTTTGTTCTAAACCCTCGCCCTCTTGCAGCTGTGACTGCAAACTCTTTTTGATGTCACTAACTTGCTGCTTCAGCGCCTGCACCTCCAAGTGGTCAGGCTCACGTCCTCGCAGGTCCTCAAGCTGGTCAAAATTGCATTACATTATCAAGGTATCCATACTCTGTTTATCATCAGCTATTTAGCCCAAGTAGAAACTAAACAATCCTAGTCGGGTTAATTAGTGTCGAAAGTCATCTAAAATGAAAAATAATTGCATTCGGTTCCTACTTACGTAACTATTTATTTTTTATCGTGGCTTATTATACATTGGATCTTCATGGTTACACTTAATTGTGCTGCAGGCGTTAGAATGTTGAAAGACAACTCTTAAGAGCCAATTTTTTTTCTAAAAATTGCACGAAATGAGTTTTTGAATATCAAACTGTAAAAAAACGTTGCAAAAATCTATTCAAATATGCTGAACGAAACGCTTTTCTTGCAATAATTGGAGTGAAAAAAGCAAGATAGTAAAATAAGAGCACAGTTTCATTTATAAGCAAAATATTTGGAAAGAAAAGAGAAACTGGGGGAAGGGAAAGAAGATTGTCGTCAACGAGGCAAAAATACAGTTTTGATTTGATCAAACAATAAAATATTAAGATAAGTCGAACGAAATTGCTTGAATCATGCAATGTTTTATAACACTCTTTGCCGGTCAACATACGTGATTTCGCACGACGTTTAATGTCAATGACTCATACATAGCACGGTTCTTTAAAAGCTAATGAGCCACAAGTAGAATATTTTTGTTCACATTACAGACAAAACGACAGACATAAAAAATTATGTTTTTTTAGTTTTCCTCGCACAATCTCCGTGACCTAATGAATGCTGAAAAGTGCAAGTGCGCAACAAAACAGTGTACATGATAGTCTCAAACATTAGATAGGTCTATTCTCAACTGGAACATAAAACGATAAAGATTGTAAAACGAGATGTTTAAATTGTCTGGACCAACTTTCATGCACTTTCAGTCGAAAGGGTGAAAAAATCTAAAAAAATAAGGAAAACCCGACGAAATTACCTTGTCAAGCAAATTAGAGAGCAGCTGGTGTCTTTGTACGCTCACCCCTTGCGCCGGAGCCAAATTCTCGTCCTCATCCGATTCCTCTGATGAGGCGATCTTCACCTGCACCTGACTTGAGTGTTGCTCGTTCGACGGCGCCGGTGTAGAAAACGCCGATGTTTCGCTTTCCTGAAGACTGACTTGAGGCCTATTTCCCAACGATACCCCGGGTGTTTTAGCTTTAACAGTTGGAATACTTGCACTTTCGTTTGAATCTGATGCTGAAGATTCTTTAGAAGTTCTTTTTGCTAAAACTTTTGGAGAACGAATGATGTTAGATGTTCTCGTCAAATTTGACGGGTCTCCATTTAAAGGCTGAGTCTCATTTACAGTGTCTGACAATTTCTTATTTTGAGCTGCTTTACCATCTGTGATAACTTTGGGTTTAGTAGAAACCGGGCCGTATATTTTTCTCTCCCTGACACTTATTGATATTTTTTCCACTTCTTCAGGTCCATTTGGACTCTTACTTTGAGACGTTTCTTCGGTTTTCTTAGACTTATTTGCGTTTTTAGGAGATCGCTTCACTGTGTTAATATTTTCTTCAGCCAGGAGTTGTGCTCCGCTTGTCGATGCTTCTCTGTCTTCTGAATTAAGTTCTTCAGGTGTTGTTTCTGGTTTTTTAACAGACGCTGGTGATGAAGGAACTTTCGGGGACGATTTTTTTAGGTCCTTAAATGCTGACGGGTCTTTTAACGGTCCTGTGGTGGGTTAAAGTGTAGATAAACGTACACAAATAAATAAGAGAAAGTCGTCAACGGCCAATCAAGGTCTTCCTACCTTTAATTGGTCAACTGATGCAACACTAAATGCCATACTAAGGTACATATGTATTACATTAACGTTTGTTAATCTATCCGAATATAAAGTAAACAAGCACATGCTCAGGCTTCATGTTACAAATAAATTTTGCAGAAAAGTTATAGTTATTTCAATTTTTAACAAATGATAACAAATATTCAGTATAACGCACATATATCATTAGACTGTTTTTAACTCTAGCTTCATTCAAATAATACTTATTGGCTCACTGGAAAGCAAACACTCTTAGTTCAAGACCAAATTAGTTGAATCAACTATATTGATGAACTAGGAAAAACCTACTGACAAATTTAAGTAAATATAGAAAAAGAAGAGAATGAAGACATACACGGATGTGTTCCACCTCACTCACCGGGCTCAGTTTTTCTCACCCCTAAAGATTCAATTTTTAATGAAACTTGAGAGCTGGATTTGAGTAAACTGTCCAGCTCTCTCCTAATGGAGTACATAGACTCGTAGTCGTTCTGATCCACTTTGATGGTCTCGGCATGAGCCTCAGTATTGGCTTTTATTGCCGTGTCGTTATAATAAACATTAACATCTGGTCTACCTCCTCCACCAGCTGCAGTTTTCTTTGGTTCTTCATCAGCAGGCGGAAGTTCAGCACCGGCTTTTCCGTTGGGTGACATATTAGCATCAACATCTGCAGACGCCCTATCAAAGACACTTGACGATGTGCACCCCGTACCATCTATCCCATCTGAAGAAGTCCATCCCAAGCCTTCTATTATGTACGAACTTGACGGTTGAATTAGAGAAGAACTTTCGTCGTATCCTTCAGCTTCAAGCACTCGAGGAGTGGAAGAGTCGCTACCATCGCTTCTATCAGTCAATTTGGTATCCTTATAGCTTTCGGAATCACCGTCAGGCATGACAATATCGCCAGATGTTCGACTTTCGTAAGTAGTATCCTGGTGATGGTTGGTGAATTTTTGCTCCTGATGTAGCGCGGGTTCTTTCCGAGAAGGCTCAGGGCTCGGGAGAGGTTTAGGGGTTTTGTCTTTGGTTCTTAGAATCGAAGGCGTAAGCAGACGGACTATTGAAGTAGCACTGAAGGGGAGCTTGAAGTCTTTGTGCGGAAAAATTGTTCAAGAATCTAAATAAGTTACACAAGAATACGGGAGCCCCTGATCGAGATGCTAAATCCAAAAAAGTAGTAAGGAAATAAATTATTGAAAGTAATAAGGTTAACAGAAAACCAGATGAATACTAAATCATTAGATAATGGACTGAGTATGCTGATTATTGATTATGGAAAGAATAAGATTATTTCTAAGCATCAACCGACTATGGAATTCAATTCTAAAACACAATATAAGCAATAAAAAATTTAGCAAACATAATGAAGAAGCAGTACAAGCACAAGAAAATTAAATGCAAGAATTTCATATGGATGGAAAAATAATTATTTGGTTCAGCAAGTCAGTGAAATATTTTCAGGAATATTAAATAAAAAAATTGCAAAATTTTCTCAGCGTTGAGGTCTGCCAAATATCTCGCGGCTTTCATGAATTTATACAATTTGTACTACTACTTAACATACTATATCCACGTGCAATTTATTTTAGAGTAAGCATTTCAATTATTAGCAGGAATCGTGCAACAAAATGTCTGTGCAAATATGTTTTTGTCTATGACAAAAACTTGCTGCAGAATTTTAAATTTCTTCACACAAAAAATTCGCTACCACATTAAGGCTCTTAAATTTTCGTACTAGCATATCGGCTGCTGGATAAGCAAAGCTAAGCTGGGAAGAATGCCTAAAAAGAGGTGAATGCTAGAGATGCGATTAAGTTGAAATAAAGTTTGAACTAAAACTCACTTCTGGCTGATGACCGCGACTGAACGCGTCCAGATTCTGTTCGTTCGCTCATCTCCTCTGAGTAAATGACAATAAACGAAATATATGGAAAAAAAATTGTAGCAAAATACATAATAATTATGTTACTATGAACAAAATAAATACATTACAAGCTCACTGAAGATTATAAATTGATTAATTAGCAAGAACAAAACTACAGCATCTGCTTTGCAACCGCAACGCGTTGTAGGAACTGTGGATGGCATTGCCCAGGGTTAGCATCCGTGATTAACACAGCACATCAGTGAACCAAATATAACACCACTGCGGAACAAAGCGTAAAATGAAATAAAAATTGACTAGCCGATAGAGAATTATACCGTGGATAAATAGGCACGTTACATATTAGGGAAGTTGTTGACGCAAAAATTAATGGAATTGTCGGAGTAATATTTTAACTGCCTCTCACTTATGAATATAAGTTTGTTTAGCTAAAAACTGCAAGTAAATTGAGGTTCTACGTTCAATTGTAGGAAGAAATTAGCAACAAAATGGTTAGAGAAATAAATAAAAATATTACTGGCATATTTTACCATTTTTTTGCAGCTCATTCTAGTTTTACAAAATATAGCGTTAAAATCGTTTTTTTTACAAAATTACAATTAATGAAAGGTCTGAATTTGGCCACACTTCTCACCTTCTTCAGGTATGGTGTCCAGTGATCGCAAAAGGTCGTCGTCTTCTGAGTCAACCTCGCCTATGATCGTGGAGGCGGGCGTCGAACCTCTGGACGACTCTTCGGGCTCGGGGGAGTAAACTGCAGCCAAAAGAATTCCGATCACTATTAATGAACAGAGTTAGGCAGCGAAAATAATTTTGCTTCCTGTTTAGAAATGTTGTCTGCATCGAAAGAATATCCGATCTCTCTAAACGATATCATATCATAATGATGTCGGCGCTCAAGAATAGGCCTGGTGTGGCCTGTCGCCGATTCTTGTACTTTTCGCGACACAGATCTAAAAACAGGTCATTTGTCCAGATCTTTTCAAAACAGACGATAGTTTGAAATCGCTACTAGATTAGTCAGAACATATTCTCCAAGAACACATATTCTCCAAGCTTTATATAGTCTTTTCTTGAGCGCGTTAATACTCGGGGCGTCAACGATGTAATCAGGGAGGCTGTCGGTGACTCAAAGCGAGAAGAAGTTTTGTCGCGTGGATGAGTTGCCGCAGTTTTTTTTAGTTTCTAGCCGTGGCCCCTGGTGTTGGTTCTTGCTTCAAATTCTAGTAATCCTTCAGGGACCTTGTATAGACCATGAGTATACTTGAATACTTCAATGAGGTCACCATGCAGAAGTCGATGACAGTGGCTTGGCAGCTAGATAATCTTCAATCTTTCTTCATAAGACTTGCCCTTCAAACCTGGAATCATTTTTATTGCACGTCTTTGAACACTCTCTACAAAATTTTTTAATTTTCAAGTTTCGGTGACACCATGGCGTTTCCAAACTCTAGGTTATCAGCATAAAAAAATTATTGTCTCAGTCTTAAATTTCAAATTTATCAAAATTGTGAAATGTGCAGGCTTCGGGATTTAAAAGTGTGATTAAAAAAAGGTAATGCCATCGATTTCAAACGGAATCTTAGGTCAATAACAGCATTTTGTCATTATAATTTAAACCAAATGCAGGATAATTCAGCGATCGATTATTTGAATGCTGAGGTTAGCATCTGTGACTAACACTGCATATCAGTGAACCAAATACCACACCACGTCCGAACAAAGCGTAACATTAAATAAAAATGAACTAAGTGATAGAGTAAATATAGCGTGGATAAAGAGGCACGCTACATATTAAGGAAGTTGCTGACTAACAAAAATTATTGGGATTGTCGAAGTAATATTTTGACTGCCTTTCACGTGGGAATATAAGTTTTTTAGCTAAAAACTGCAGGTAAATTGAGGTTCTACGTTAAATTGTTGGGAGAAATTGGCGATTTACAGCGTTAGAGCAATAAATAAAAATTAAACTGGCATTTTTAATTTTTTTTCCAGCTCATTCTAGATTTACAAAATGTAGCGTTAAAATCATGGTTATTTGTACAAAATTACAATTAATAAAAATTCTGAATTTTATCACATTTCTAACCTTCTTCAGGTATGGTGTCCAGTGATCGCAAAAGGTCGTCGTCTTCTGAGTCAACCTCGCCTATGGAAGAGAGAAAAGCCTTCTTGAAAAAACTACAAAAAAGTCAAGTTTTTTCATAAACAAAAATTTTTTTCAAATCTTCTTGAAAAAAAACTAGAAAATACACACTAAATCATATTGCCAGTTCGAATGAGCTCCCTCTATATTATTAATTAATATAATACGAAGATATCATTGGAAAATTTTGGGATGGAAATTTTGTGGATTTTTGAAATGTGGGGATTTTTTTTCATGGTTCGGAAACAATAGCACGTTAAAAAATTATCAGCAATTGATATAGATACTGAACGCTTCCGATTCTGCATAAAATGCTGAAAAAAAAACACAAATTCTGTAATTATTAATTTGAAGAACGCAACTGAATAAATTTCTAAATTAACCACCACATTACAATGCACGATGCGGCTCAAGCAGCGGGTTTACATTGAACTGTATTTCATATAACAAGTTATTCATGACTAACCTGCGGCAGCAGCCCGCGTCGCCTCCTCCTGCAGGTCCGGAGTGCTGCGAGGACTGACGGAGATGGGCGTGGAGCCTCCCGACTCCAGGAACGACGAGGCGATCGTCGACTCCAGCGTCGTGGAGGCGGGCGTCGAACCTCTGGACGACTCTTCGGGCTCGGGGGAGTAAACTGCAGCCAAAAGAATTCCGATCACTATTAATGAACAGAGTACTGGTGTTGGTTCTTGTTTCAATTTCTAGTAATCCTTCGGGGACCTTGTATAAACCATGAGTATACTTGAATACCTCAATGAGGTCACCATGCAGACGTCGATAACAGAGGCTTGGCACCGTGATAAATCTTTAATCATTCTTCATAGGACTTGCCCTTCAAACCTGGAATTATCTTTGTTGCACGTCTTTGAACACTCTCTACTAAAATTTTGTCATTTTCAAGTTTCGGTGACCACATGGCGTTTCCAAACTCTAGGTTAGGGCAAACAACAGCTCCATCACTTCTGCATCTAGGAGCTCGCAAGATCGTTGGATCAGTCCAAGCAGTTTATTGGATGAGTCCAAGCAGTCCTTGTCTACATAAACTCGGGCTAATTTCCGCTCCCTATTAAAGGATACTGTTTACCGTCAAATAAATACTGCACCCTATCAATGATAAAATTTGCAGCTAATTGCAATTAATCTATGAAATTATATTGTTGAGATCATATATACAGAAAGTAGCAAATATTTGTGAACTTTTATGGAAATAAATTGTTACAAAATTGTACTCTTCATGAGTCGAAATGCAAAAAGATCACTAATGGAGCACACGACTCCCTGGAAATTAATAACTCTTTTCATGGTATCAGCATAAAAAAATTATTGTCTCAGTCTTAAATTTCAAATTTATCAAAATTGTGAAATGTGCAGGCTTCGGGATTTAAAAGTGTGATTAAAAAAAGGTATTGCCATCGATTTCAAACGGAATCTTAGGTCAATAACAGCATTTTGTCATTATAATTTAAACCAAATGCAGGATAATTCAGCGATCGATTATTTGAGTCATGAGAAATCACAATTCATCTACAAGATGCGCCTACCTGTAAGATGTGCTGCAATTTTTATTTAAAAAACTCACGTCAATATATTTGTATGCAACACATATTGTAAAAGCAACAAAACTCTCCTGTCATCATTCAAAACCACGAATGTAGAAGAAAAGTGTACCTGCTTCTCTAACGCTGGACTCCCGAGCCATGGCTTTGGCAATAGCTTTGCCAATGATGGATGAAGCTTTCTTCACGGGTGCTGGCTTCGTCTGTGACGCTGTAAGAGAAGAAGAATCTCCTGCTATGGGAGAAGATGGGAGTTCTTCAACGACAGACGAGTTGTTTTCTCCAATGTTAGAAGAATTGCCTTCCTCAACGTGAGACTGGATACCTTCTTCAATAAGGGGAGAAGTACCTTCAATAATGGGCGATATTTCGGCACCTTTAACGGAAGAAGGAAGATCTCCTTCAACTGGTATTGAAGAGGCATCATCAACGGCAGTAGAGCGGCTTCCATCGGCGATTGAAGAATAATTTTTTTCGCCGACAGAAATTTTACCTTTACCAGCGGAATATGAAGTGGATTTCATCGCAGCAGCCTGAGTAGCAGCCATATTGTTCTCTCGTTCTTCCAGTTGCGCAATGTGTCGTATATCTATGGATCAGATACCACACATAAAGTGCATGAATATTCAAATTGTTAACACCCACTTCCACATCTAACACTGAAAACTACAAATTAAATCACGAGAATCGGCTGATGAATGATATAAAAAAATATCAGTAATAAAATTTGACTAACATAAGCTTTCCAAATGAATGTCTAATCTCAAAATACCATACGTAGCAGAATCGCCCAATATTATTCAATTTAAATACTGTGGCCGCAAACATTATGAACATTTTCGCTAAAAAATACTCTTCCTTGCGGATAATCTACTAAATCGCTTTGAGCAACAACAATGCTCACCTGATTTCCGGATGTTTGCAATATTGAGCTTGGTGGCCGTTTTAGTTGCCGGTAATTTCGACTTCAAATTCAAGTCAGTTGTAACTTCCTCTTTTTCGACAGTGGCTGCCATAACGTCGATTGCTCTATCTTTGCCTGAACTGTGACTGAGAGTTAGACTGAGTCTGCCAGTGGTTACACTCACCGACTCGTCTTCTTCACTTGATGAAGTTTCGAACGTCAGGGACGATCGCGCTTCCGTTGGCTGTTTTGTTAGATTTTCTGATTTTTCAGGTAAAATTTGATTCCCATTGTTATCGTTGTTTCCTTTATTTTCTGATAATTCTGATGGCGGTTGTTTCTTCTTCCGGTAAGTGACTGCTGGAGACGACCTATCCTTGAGACCAGACTCGACACTGGGAATAAAGTTTTCAGGGACCGGCTGCTGATAAGGAGTCGGTCCTAGCGACGTAGTAGGAATTTTGGGTGCAATTTTCTTATCAAGGGACGATTTTGGAGAATAGGATGCAGCAGCGGTAAGATTTACAGCCTTTCCGATTTCCATGTGATTGTTTTCTACAGCTTCTTGGAATTTTGATCCACTTAAGCTGCTTTGTGGTGAAATAGTTTCAATAGAATGAACTGTCACATCTGTAAGAAAAATTAAAAAAGGTTTGAATAAAGGCAGAGGCTAAAAGGGCTGATATTTTTTAACTTCTTGGCGACTGATGGCAGACTTTCAATCATTAAATAATTTTTGAAACAATTAAATTTTTCGATTAAATATGACATAAGGATTAATTTCCACGGTTTATTCCTTTCAGCCATTTCAATTAGAATACTTAACGGGAAAGAGCATCTTACAAATTCGAGGACGGAACGCAAACTGTCCATGGATTTAGTATTGAATATTCCACACATGTAAGACGAATTTACAGCGACACCTTCATTCGAAATGTGATGTCAGTAAATTGACAACGGATGACCGAAAAATTACATGTCCATTCAAGACCAGTGAATATTTTCTGGTTTTCAATCGAACTTGTATAAGGGGATAATGTCTGCCAAACTGTACGTTATTTAAAGTCATTATCAACTGTACATTCATTATCAGTGAACAAATGCGTTTCGTAATCTTGTACTAAGACGTTGATAAAAAACGTTACCTTGTCTCATAGAGCCGTAAAATGCCAAAATTATCCACTTGAATTCAGTAACTCTAATATCACGAGTAAAAATTATTGATATTAGTAAGCATACAGCACTGCAAAATTGTTCACCTTCTTTCCTGACGTATAGCATTTCCTCAGCAGCCATAGTCTGGGTAGAGTTTATTTGCTCTGCACTGAGTGTCGTGGCGTCTCCAACCTCGCCGTGGTCTGGTGCTGTCACTAGCTGAGTAGTGGTCGTCGAATTTGCGGTCTCTAGTAAATTTAACGAAAAATATGTTGGAATATAATTTAAAATTTTTCAATTGAATATGGAATGGCATTGTGCAAAAATGAAGGTAGAATCGATATCAAGAAACTAAGAGAAAGTTTAATTTAAAAATGATTGATAGGAGCGGTCAAACAGTTTTCAAATGCCTTAGACATATTTACATCTATTGAACCCTCTTTGGTGGGAAAAATTATTTGTGGCAAAATATTTTCAATATTTGGAAAGATTTACATACGAAGCAGATATTCAATTCAAAGGTAGATTCATTTTGATGCACGTACATAGATTTCATGAAATTCGTTCATGAGAAACGCTTGGAATTACGCTGATTGGTCGTTGATAGCTGCCAAACTAATATATGATTACGAAACCTTTATTAAGCTGTGACAGTAGAAATAAGAAATAACAAATCTATCGACATGAGCACAAATCTCCACGTATTAAACCCACAATCTATATAACAAGCACGAGTAACGACAATCTACACGAATTTCCGTAGTGAGCAAAACATGTCATTATTGAATTGAACTTGAAATAGCTAAGTAGCTAAGTTTCTAAAGTTTTTATGCCAAGTACTGTACCACATTTTTAATTTAATTAATTTAATTTTTTGATGCCTGAAAATGAGACTTTAGTAAGGAAAAACTCGGATCACAAAATTTTGGAGTTTAGATTACTTTTTCTGAAATTTATTAAACTTAAAAATATTACAACTTAAATTAACGAAAATCATACGCAAATTTAACCCTTTAGAAGGCAGTGAAGTGGTAACGAAAGATGCATTGAGGTATCAAAAACTGCAAATGATTTGTATCATCTAAACTTTGTAGTAATAAATGAAAGTAAATGTTTAAAAATGTTAAATTAGTTGGTTATCAAGATTGTTATAAGTTACCGCTTTCTAAAATAACGTCCTTGTTCGTCAGTCAAATAGCACACGTGAACGGCATAAAAGAAATTTACCTTACAATAAAACTTTTATAAGAGCGTATAAACTGTTAGGGAAACTTCAATTCATGCGTCCACAATGGTATTCAATGGTAGCATGAGTTCTAAAAAATCATAGCTTCGTTGCTTTAAAGAAATTCAGGATAAATCAAATAAAACACAGGAGCATGGACTGGACTGGAGAGTGAACTGGAAAGGACAGTGGATTAAACTGGACAGTTGTACCGGACTGGGGAGTGGACTGATTACAAGACTTCTCTATTAATTCCAAGACGAGTCACTGCTCTTGATTAATTCAACCAGAGATCCTGGTTGGATCTAAAGTTGAAGTGAACAAGCTAGCCTCGCACCGAAGAATAGCTCCGAAGCTTCGTCCGCCGGAACGCCGGAGCGATCGTCTCCGGAATCCTCCTCTGGAGTTCGTTGCTCTTCGCCATATTCGTCCAAATCTAGTGGACAGTTCGTGACAGAGTCAAGGATTATTCGGCGACGAGAAATTTCTACGGCGATGCACTTCGCGAATGATTATTTCAAGGATTTTCTTATTTTAAATTCTATTTGTGAACATTTTAACGATTAATAAACTAGATCCCAGATTATCTACATTCCATTATTTATCGTATAAAATTATAAATATAATTTTGAAGTTTATCATCCCAAAAATCTCTTTTCTCAGCTGGTAAATAAATTGGCTTTAAAAACCATATGGAACTGAACGATTATTGACGGCGTCAATAATTTCTTTAGTGTAGTGTTTTCTATTGTCATTTTTTAATCATCATAATCATAATTTTCTATTTAGTCAACATTATTTTCAAATAAAAGTTATATTAAATTCGAATGGTTATCACTGAAGATAGAGAGACCACGGCCTACCGACTGCTGTAAAGTACTCGTAGAACGTCGGATTTTGTTCCCGGGCCAGAAGTTCTTCTATTGTTGATTCTAAAAACGACAGAAAATAATAAGTTGTGTCAATATTGTAGTAACGAGGGTATTTTCGGGCTAACAATCGCCCTAAAAAGTAAACAAGCAAAATATAGACGAATCTCATTATCCACTATATAAATATGTGCCTTAATTAATGGTTCTATATCGCCGATACAGAGTACATTAGAACAAGAGATAAGGGATTACTTGTATATTTTATAATTTTATTCAGTTCATCGCTCACTCTCACATTTCGCCCAAAAATAGAAGCTAAAAAAATTTTGAAAATTACCGTGTTATGATTCCCAAAGTTTCAACATGAGTATTTCTACAGTGTCTTTTATAATATTGTTCTTACGTTATTGATAATATATTTGTGCTGATAAAACGATTTTCTGGCTATAAAAAATTATTTATTTCTAAAAACTAAGAAACACATTTTCTCGCTATAATCCGATAACTGCCCACCGTCTTCTGAGTCGATTTGATGGCGCTCAGAATTTTCCAAGTCTGGTTCCTCGTCCAATATGGCGCGAACAATCTTCAATTTAAGTTCTTTTGAGAGCAATGGCGCCTCATTTTCTATTTCCTGTAGCAGGGCTTCAGTTTTGGAGACGAGGTCGGAATTGGCGGTTGAGACGATATTCGAGTAGATGCTTGCGTCCTCGTCATGCTTATTACGAGCAAGTTGGTATTCACCAAGAGGTATGTCTTGATGACTTATATTGGAGTACATCTCAGAAGGACCTTCATCAATTTCTGCGTCGTCATTTTCTTCTTCGTTGTCGCCGTCTAAAATTATACGAGTTCATCCAAAATTTGTGTGAGTAAAAATCATATGTTACGCAAAAAAACTTAAATGTTACCAGAAGCATGAAAATATAGGTTCAAAAATTAATAAGCATTTATAATATGATTATTACTTCGGAAAATTCAAAGAAAAGGAGAAATGAATTAATGCAGGCATGATAAGTTAACCAGCTCACTGCCTTTTAACATCTCAAACTACAAGGTCATTGTAATGCTCTATTCCCAGACGCGAATGTTCTCTCACCCAGTAATAAAAGATCTTTCTTAATATCGAAAATGTCATCGTTGAGATACTGCCAAGCCAGTCACAAAGTATCGATTTCTTTTATTAATCTAATGAAACCTTTTTCTAAAATTTACTAGACTCACTTTTTATGATACGATCAAAACTTAAATGCGACTGCAATATCCAAGAACAGAATAAAAAATTCGTGTTTCCGTGCCTTTTACTGTACAATCACTCTCATGAGCTTCCAGTGAAATATGCTTAGTTTCATTATCTCTCAAAAAATTATATAATTCCAGAAACTAGAATGCAATTTCCATAATTCCGATGAACATCACACAAAAAATTATTGTGATACGCAAGCTGGCAGAAAATTGCACGATATTAGTACAAATAAATGCGTGTAATTTCAAAGCAGCATAGTACCAGCTTTTGAATTCCAAAATAATAGATTAATAAGGTTAACCGTTTATTAATGCGGACATAGGTGTAGCCATGGTTGAATTAATACATGTATTAATTCAACCATGGGTGTAGCAAAGTGTGCTCACCCACGGCAGCGGCATCACCGCGCATGCGCAGAAGCTCCGCGTAGGCCGCCTCCAGATCACCTGCGTTGGCTTGCAAGGCGCTCGCCACGTCTTGGGCGGAGAAGTTACCTCTCGCGGTCAGCTCAGCAAACTGGTCGTAAAAATAAATCATTTTTAGTGAGAGAATAACGGAAATAAAATTGAAATCATGGAAATATAAGGCACTTGAAACTTTAAAACTTTATTTTTTGAATTTATCAAGAAAGACAATTTGGCATAATGAAGATGATGTGAGTTTTCCATTTCGAATTCGAGGAAGAATGAAATTCTAAGGTTATGAACAGTAATGCGCTGCGAGGAAAAGGTAAAAAGGTGAAAAGGACCGACGAACCATACGACCGGAAACCAAAACAGGAATACAGACTGGTAGACAGGCCAGTGGAAAGACTGTAAAGTAAGGTGGATTAATTGGATTAATTTGCATTACTCATAAATTCATCACCTTGTGTTGGCGTTGCTCGAGACTCTCTGTGACGGCTGCCCAAATGTTGCCCTTGTGCGCCCTGAGCGCGGCTCTGGCCTCTTCTTCTGAGATCTGCCCGATGTTGTTTTCCTTCTTCTCTCTGATTAAGAGATCAAAAACAAAATAACATACAAATATATGCCCACTGTATATTCCTAATTTCATACTTTGAAAATATTAGGGATATACACAGTACACTGTCCACAGTCACCAGAGCAAATCAACGAATTCAAAATAACTAAACCCTGTAGATCAGTTGGGCCTTTCATTATTTGGCATTCCCCGCATGGGCACCAAAGGTGAGAGCACCCAAACAGTTCTAACAACATCGAGTAGATCTTTTTCTATTAATTTAAAGAGCTTAATTTGATCTTATAACTACTGCCTCGGGACACACCCATGCAATCTAACGTGGAATTATCATAATTTGGATGCTGTAATATTTTATTATTAGTCCACAAAAAATTCAGCTGGATCATTATTATTTTAATTTAGTATTTTCATTAGTATCTCTACATTAATTCTCCGTATAATTAGACGGTGAAATTGCCTGGTGAAATTATATGTTGGTTATCAAAACATTTGCCGTGGAAATAACAATACTTTAAGCAGAAATGCACATGCTACAAGTATACTGAACACAAGAAAAGAAATACGCTTGCCCACAGTAGACACACAACATTCGAAGCAAGCGTCTACCTGCCATATGTAGAAGCAAGTGACACGACCGTGTGCACCATGTGCCACCAGATCATGGTCCACGCACCTGCCATATGTAGAAGCAAATGACACGACCGTGTGCACCATGTGCCACCAGATCATGGCCCACGCACCTGCCATATGTAGAAGCAAGTGACACGACCGTGTGCACCATGTGCCACCAGTTTTCCATAAGCCAAGCGAGCGGCCCTTTGTCCCCGCACACCGGCAGCGCCGCTGACACCTCCTCTGCCCGGTAGCCTGCGCGCTCCGCCTCCTGAAGGCGGGCCAAATCGAATTTAGTGAAGAGAAGAATTTTAAATTTATTGATATTAAAAATATTATAGGGGTTGGTTGGGCCAAGTCATGTTTAATCTTGCTTGTGCTTTGAACATACTTCTTAAATCCTGCTCTTCTAAGCCACCAGATTACCTCCCTTTTTAAACCGGAATTTCCACTTTTAGCTGTGATTAAGACTGCGAATCACTGTTCACAATTTTGTACTCTCAACTTCGACCATTTGACTCATGATCGAGAGCAGCAACGCCGTCAAAAGTATAGTTTTTTCGTTTTAAAGAATTCTAGCTGATTCTTCTATAGACATTCTAGACATATTTCGCTGAAAAATCCCTGAAAAACCATGCATGTCAGTGTCAATATGCTGCCAAGGGAGAGAAATATTCATTTATTATTTTTAGTGATCGTTAGGACTCGCGTCGTGCGTAAACTAGGCAACGTTGAGATTCAGTAAATTAAGAAAGTTATATTACGTGTCATTGCTTTACCCTTAAGACCTGGACGAGCTCGAGCCCATCCTTCTTCATGGCCTCCTGCTTCCTCTTGGTGATGAGTTCCTCCACAGTCAGGTAGCGGTCCTCGATGTCGCCCACCGCCCGTCGAGGAGCCTGAGAAAATAGACAAAACTTACAAATATTCTTTAAACGAGCCGATTGCATCAATATAGGCTTATTCCGTTGAATAACATTCAGGCTAACAAGAATTTATAAACACTAAAAAAAAAAAAAAATAATTTAAAAATTTTCTAGCTAGCGAAAATTAAAAATAAAGGTGGAAGTGATTAGATGGATCATTATTATTTGCCTCTGATGAACTGTTGCTGCTCTGATGAAGTCCTCAAAAATTGCACCGCTTTTCACTTATAAATTCCTTTTTAACTGATAATGGCCTAAATTGTTCGAGTCTGCCAATGATAAACGAAATGATTAGATTTATCATTGGCCTCCTTTTAATGATTATATTAGCGAATCATGCAGAGCTTAAAATGGTTGAGTCTGTCAGTGATTATTATGGTTCCATCTCAATTATAAGATTTGCGTTTCTTCATAACCATAAAAGTCTTCAAATTTTTTAACCTGCCTTCGGAAGACAATATTCCCTCTCAACAAGATGGTTTGCGAACATTACCGGAACAAACAAGAGTTGAATGCATTAAAAAATTCAATCAAATCGGTTCATAAATCCAAAAAGCTCTAAACTTAGACACATGCGCTTACATGTAAAATGCAAAACATTACAGACAGAATGATAAAAGGCAATCTCATTCAGATACACATGTATAAATCATTAATGGTTTGAGATTATATGTTTCAGGCTGTGTTTTTCTTCATACATTCTCAACGTTGCTATTACACGATATATTTCTTCATTTCTCAACTGGATCACATGTCAACTCGTGACATTCGCTTATTTATAAGTTTAGGGGGCAATCAGCCGGGCCCCTGCATTCCCTATATCCTACCTTGGGACTGGGCTCTTCAGCTGGCTTCTTCGCGCCTCTAAGCAGCATCTGTTCATAAGAATATTTTTCAAGACAATGATTCATGGGAAAGTGTTAAGAATTAAAGGCAAAAATTATTATTAAATGGTATGCATCATTATATTATTGTTTTTTAATCAATATCATATTAAAAGCCTTAGTGAATCATTCGAGGCCAAAAGTAGATTTTTAGAAAATGCCAGCGGATAGATTAGAAAGAATTAACGTTAACGGCAAAATTGTAAATGAAAAACTATGTTTTACGTTCTGTTTTATGGATTATCGTAGGTAAATTGTGAATGCGTAAACGATATAATTGAGTGATCAGTAAAAATTTTAAACTGAGATGTGAAATTTCAATTTTTTTAGCCGGTGAACTTGACCGCGCGGATGCTATTTAATTTGTAGGAACAAATGATAAACTTAATCAGAGGCTGAAATCTGAATTCAGGCTTTAAAGATGAAATTTCAGTCAGGGAGGAAACTTAACAGCCTGGATAATATTAAATTTTGTAATTTTGGACAAACAGAGCATGGACCTGATCAGAGGCGGACTTCTGAAGGGGACGAACGTCATTGTGCCCCGATAGTGCGTCTTGAAAGGTAAGTCCTTCGTAGACGTCCGACGAGACGTAGCCTCCTTCAGGAGATTTGGTCCTGAATCCTGCGGAGACGTCTTGATCTTCATGGTCCTCCTCGGAATGACGTAACGTCTTGTCCAAAGGCGACGCTGCGCTCACGTCGCTCGTCTATAAAATGACGTTAAAGTTAAAAGTTAAGTATGAGTTACCCATGTCAGACTGCATAATTTCAGGTAATAATCGTGCCAATAGTAGGTCTCAGTTAGAAAAAATCGTAAGATGATGGATCTTTCTGTTCTGTTCTATTGCTTTAAAAACATTAGTAACGAAAGGTTTTTCCTTATACAGAGTTACTGAATGAGTTAATTAGAGAAGTAAAAAAACTAGGCGACTAAGTGACTACTAGCGAGCTAATTACACTCAACGCGCAAAAATATTGTCAGTAAGCAATGTCTCTATCAAAGTCCCACTTTTAGTCGCTACGAGAATTCTGACCGAAACCTCTGATCTGATAATTACCAAGAGTTAAATTAATTCAAGTTCTAGGAGATCCAATTGATGAGTTGGGAAGAGGTTCTAATTCCCTTAGTTCGATCATCAATTTGGAATCTAGTAACTTCAGAAAAAAATCATGTAATTGTGTTCCTAATGGTTTGTCCTTATTTTTACCCAATAAAATAAAGATCTAGCTTAAAATGTCTTCTTCTCTGTTCACCGAATGCAATAACTGTGCTGAACGTTATGTCTCTACCTCTTCTAAGGGCTCTTCAGATGAAAAAGGTAAGTCATCGACTGAAGATTTGATTGTTTCGCGTGACGCTCGCCGCTGGTCAGTAGCAGCTTTAAGAGACTCAAGAGCTGTGACGAGCTCTTCGTCGCCCACAGCAACGACTAAGGTCTGTAGGAGCAACAAACTGCCGTCTATATCGAGGAAACGGCAACCTGATACTTTGGAATGAGCAATTACAAAATTCTAACCAAAACAGAAAATAAATTTAGTTTGCAACTATATAAGTTCAAAATTAGAATTCACATAGGGAGTACAAATAAAATACATTAAGCGGTCAATTGATATCAACTTCAATTTTTGCAAGTGCGGTCTTTTAAAATAGTGCAGAGTGCTCCAGCAATACAAATAATACGTAATAGTTCAACACCAATTGAATCAAAATTATCGTTAATCGATCGCTTTTTTTCAACGCCAGGTTAATATGAGATACAATTATGTTTTTTTCTGAACTGATTTCATGAGTTGGACCCTTAATTTTACCGCGGATGTAACAAAAAAAACTATAACTCAGTACTCAGTATAATATGATGTCACGGACGGACAGACAGACGGAGGTGGAAGGTGGACAGACGGACATCACGAGCACAATAGTGCATTTTTTTCATCAATGAGAAAATGCGCTAAAAAGCCTGTCTTCAAATCTGTTAGTAATATCTCCGAGAAAATTTAATGAGCAGGAAGAGCAGGAATAAAATTCTAACTCTTTTAACAGTGCCAAGTTCTATATGAAATATATTTTTATACATTTTAGTGTAAAGTAAAAGCAGGAAAATCTACGAGGTATGTTTGTAAAGTTTGTTTATCTGCATCATGGATTAATAAGCCACTCTAAGCATACCATTGATTTATCCAAAACCTGCTAAAAATCTGTTAGCTTTAAAACCTATATCATCATAGCCAGTTTCTGTTACATTTGTCTACAATTTTTTACTCACCGTTGCACGTAGAGAAACATAGATGCTTATTTATAAGTTCAAAGTCTCATTAGAGCACAGTCACGTTATGTCAGTACATTATCAATATACCTCTTCGACGAGCTGAGTCAACACTTATCATAATCTCGTAGGCGGTACCCGAATTTTGTAACAGTAGTACTTATAGTATTTTGGTACCATCACCTTGCTATGGAGAAAACTATGGAAGTCCTCGGAAGAAATTCCATTTATGGAATAAAAATTATAAAGTTACTCAACGTCGAATGTTTTCGTGTATGTAAATAAACCTATTATTTTATTTGATAATTGTAGAAAGAATAAAGATCTTTTACAAATCATTTTCCTTTCGAACAGCCAGCTTTCGAAAGAAATTGGCTTTCAATACTTTTTATGGTTTGTTGAAATTCTTCAATCCCATTTACTGCAGCCTAAAAGATTGTACTCATAAGTGTAATTAAATTGTTAATATTCTCGCAAGAGAAAAAGATATAAATACGTCTTCATCATTAGAAGAGATAAGTCCTTATCATTGACAGTAACTTTAAAGTTATATTAATTTTACTTTACCTGCTGAGTTGGGGCATTTCAAGTTCATATGGAAGCCAATAAATTTGCGTTAATCAGAGGTTCATCATTATGGTTACAACCCGAATTTAGGACCGGAATGATGACAGCCTCCTGGTATAAGAAACTTGTTGCAGAGTTTAATTTATATATTTCAGTAAACTATTAGTGGATCCCTTCGTTTTAATGTGTTGTACATTAGATATTGTTTCAGGTGCATGTGCTCTCATTAGACCCTTCAAAAGCGATTTTTAAAATTTGCCTATTTATTGACTTTTTTATTTAACGTGTTTATTCTTGATATTATCTTCTACTTTTGTTAAAAGCCAATTTCGCTACTCTCGCTGGACGCTCTTGCTTTTTCCCGCTAAAACAAATAATTAAAAATTTTACTTGTCGAATTTTTCTGTGATCGCGAGACTCAGCGCTTGACTCACCAGCCTCGGTCTGAGGTAAAGAAAATTCTATTAACCGATAATTTAGAAGCCGTGTTCTAATAAATTATTAGATTGTGACCCATTTTTCAAAAATTTAGGATTATTGATGTGTGAAACTCTGATTATATGTCAGGTAACGAAAAAATTGTCTCATATTTTGAAGTAATGAGTTCTCGACGCTCGTGAATGTCAGTACAATTTCGCACGTTTTGCTTTACCTTTTTTTAGCTCAGATGAACTCTATACTTCGTGTCTAGTGTCAATCTATTTATTTGAGCCGAGAAAGCCTTTTCCAAGTGTCACCTAATGCATTTGGAAGTTAAACGCGTCTTTCATAAACGAAGCTTGAATGTCAGCCTACGTCTACTTGATTATAGACTATCTGTCCCTGGATTTGCTTTTCACCTGTAACATGTGATTGATGTCTTCCGGTCGACTGCTTGCTGTATCATCAACAAATTCATCTTGGGAGTCATCAGGAGAGTAAAAAGCTGCATCCGAAGATGAGAAACTTAGCGGCGTATGCTGACGATCGTAAGGGATGCCACCGAATCCAGCTGACGACCCGATGGAAGAGCTCGGTCGCTGCTGCACGTCGTCAGTCGAACCGTTTGAGTAGCTGCGCGTTGGGCGACGTGTCTCTTGAGGAGACGAGGTTTTGGTCGGCAGCAGCAAAACGTCACGACTAACATATTGTGATACATCATCTACTTTTTCTTTCAGGTCGTTCATTTCCTGCTCGTTTGGTAGGTGGGGGGCCGTCACACTTTCAAACGAAGGTTCTTCACGAAGATTAAATTCAGAATTTTCTTCCAGATTTGAAGATTTAGTTTCAAGCTTTTCTATCGGACTAGTGACAGCGTTAGCCTCATTAGTTTCTTTATTCCTAATGTCTTCACTCAAATCGTTTCGAATGATTTCTTCAAACACATCTTCCACTTTGATTGATGATGAATTTGCTTTCTCGCCTGTAAAGTTTTCGTGTTCCGACACCAACGCTATTTCCTTAAGGTCTTCGTGATCCGACAGCGGTTCGGCATACTGTACGCACGGTGTTTCTGGATGAGGTTCTTCGATTGGGGGCAGAGCACTAAATGGCCTTTCGTCCATTGAAGGGTCAATATCTGCCACTTCATTTGTACCCATTGTGGCTACATCATCCAATGTATTAGCGAAGCTGATCTCTTCCACGTCTAGATGGAAAGGAGAAGGAGATTTCTCTTTCGGCTTTTGAACAACAAGATGATCCGATTGCTTCGTGCTCAGGGGTCGAAGAATCTCCACGGCCTCGTTAGACGTAATAATCTGAACTTCTGCGTGCTGAATTTCAACCACCGGGCCTGGAGTGGACGCTCTAGATATAAGATTTGACTTACGAACACGATTTTCAGCATCAGGTGATCTCTGCTCGGTAGCAAGAATAGTCTTATCTGAATTTCCAGGGCCAACAAGAGTCGCATCATTCGAATTACTGTTATTACTTTCTTTTTTCTCGCCAATTTGTTCTTTTTCAAATACTTCTTCATCTGCGGGGCTCGGTTCCCTGGGGCTACTCTGAGCTGACTGACTGTCTGGGGACGGGTGGCCGGGCGTTCTAGACAGTCGCTCAGAAGCGATCTTGCTACGAGACTTCACTCGGCCACTCAATCCTGTAACATACAGGAAGGGAAAGGAAAGTGAATAAAGGCTTTCGATAAGTAGTTTTATTATTTATAACAAATGAATTCAGCAGTTTCGTACAAAATATATTCATCCTAACACACTGCTGCTAACGCTATAAGGTTAGTAAATGACCACTGTTATAGAGGACCCTCAGCCGGAGATAGGCAGGGCTCATGGGTGGAAGCTAAGGGCGTTAACACACCACTCCAATTTCAGTCTCATCCTTGAAGTTTACCTTCACGCCTTCGGTACCCTCTTTCTCGATCCCTTTCGCGTTCTCTTTCTTTGTATCGGGATGACATGCCATCAAAATCTGCCGAACGGGATTGGGATATTTTGACGTCGCTGAGTTGACGTTCGAGATCATCAACCACATCGCTAGCTGAGCCGGAGCTGCCAGCTCGTCGTCTTAACTTTTTTTTGCTGCTGCTTCTACTTGCTGTTGACAGCTTCGAGCTTCTCTCACGCCGGTGCTCCCTTCCATTGTGGTGTGTTTGATGACTGTTATTTTTGCCTTCATTTTCATAATCCGACGGTTCCAGATCATCAACCACATCGCTAGCTGAGCCGGAGCTGCCAGCTCGTCGTCTTAACTTTTTTTTGCTGCTGCTTCTACTTGCTGTTGACAGCTTCGAGCTTCTCTCACGCCGGTGCTCCCTTCCATTGTGGTGTGTTTGATGACTGTTATTTTTGCCTTCATTTTCATAATCCGACGGTTCCAGATCTTCTTCGTCCTGCTCATTTCGTCGGCTGCTAAATCGTCTATGCTCACTTCGTCTTCGCTCGGTGGCTTTCTTCAAATGATTACGAGCTTGGGCCATAGCGGCCTGAGTTTTGGAACACATACCACACACCCTTGAACCAGCTTGGTTGATGAAAGTGCAATGATCGCATTGCCAAGCTAGAACACTGCCTGGATAGCCTGGCCTGGAGCTATTTATGATGTCGTCGTCCGCTGAAGGCGAAGTGGACGAAGTGTGATCGCTGTCAGACCGGTGAGATGACCTTGTTCGGCGACTCAAATCAGCTTGGCTAAAAGATCGAGACTTGCTGGAATTATGCGAACGCCGTGATGAAGACCGAACTGATGCTGCCGGTGAGGATGAAACTTTGCTAAAAACTGCCATCGAGTCAGGAATGGAAATAGTGGACCCTTGCATGGATCCTTGCATTATGTTCGGAGGTGGAGGTGGTGGTGGTGGATAGTAGCCCGGATACATGGGATGTGGCATGTGATGGTGCATGTGTGGTTGCCAAGGATAACCGGATACATCGCTGCCCGCAGATGACATGTTCATGGATAAGTTAGAGGCGGCGCGTTTCATGCCATGGGTGGGTATTGGCGGTGGGTACATCGGAGTGGGACCGTGACACATGTCGCATTGCGGTGCCCAGATCATCCCTCCGGAGTACGGCACGAGATTCAGCTGCTGGAAGCTCCCACTCTGAAAAAGTAGGATATATTGAACGTAAAGATTACTTCGAATAGTTCTATTGGTGCAAAAAAATAAAAATTCCACTCTAAATTCAGCTCCTTCGAAGATAATTGAAAATTACTGGTATTTTCGTATTTGAATCGAATTAACCTGTTATCATTTGGTTTTAATTGAGAGTAATTTCAATGTGTTATAGAATTAAAAATCATACTACTATACTGGGGAGTGTAAACTAACAATTTAATTTAATTATCCTGGCAATAAACAGTTTTCTATAAAATATTCCCTGCATGAGCGAAACAACGGTAAAGGGAAAATGCCTGTTGAACAAGACTTACTGGCACGCTGAATCTGAAACCGATTCACCAAACAAGATTCAGATTCGCTCAAGAAACAGACAAGTGCTCAAAAAACGATCTGGGTAAATTACCTTTGGTTGGCCAAGCATGCTTTGAATCTTCAAATGGTCACCGGTAATGTATCTGTGTCAGCTGTCCGTATTACAAATTTTCGCTGTAGTAGTAAATACGCTTAATAGCAGATGTTACAAGTCTCACTGTAATCAGAAATTTGACAGTTCTACAGTACATTTTTATTATCTAGAGATAGCGAAATTTGAAAAAAAAATTCCTCACCGGGTGCATGCTACCCATTCGAGGCACCAGCTGGTGAGGGTGCTGCTGTGGTTGGAAGGGCAGGGGCAGTTGCTGCTGTTGCAGTTGCATGGTGTTGAGATCACAGACCGATGTTGAAGAGGTCATACCCCTTCCTCCTCTAGAAGGTGTGCTGTTGATTTTACCCCCTGCTATTGATTGGGCGCTGTTAAACCTGCTTCGAGGGTTGACGAAGGGTTGTTCTTGTAGAACTTGAGGTGTGGTGGGCACGGAGTGGGTGGTGGACATAGAGTGGGTTGTCGGCTGCATATTCTGCATCCATTGTTCTTCAGACACACTTTGACTGCGGTGGCGGTTAGCAGAGTCCCAGGAGGCGCCGACGTCGATCATGGATTGCTGTGGGCAGAAGAAAAATGTATTCACGAGCTGAAATTATTACTAACTACAGTTCGATATTGCAGTCTTGTCATGTTATTATCATTCTGATATAGAAGACTTTGGTGAAACGGTTCTGAAAAGAACATTGTTCAAAGCAAAAAAAAAGAGCATTACATTGTTGCCAACGGCGTAGAATGAGTTTACTCAGCAACTAAATCCAACGAACACCGAACAATTGTCCTTTCAACTTCTAAAACCTAATGAATTTGCCGAAATGAAAAATGCAGATGCTTTGCTTATATAAACCTTTGAGAAATAGTGGAAAATTAAACTAACAGCATTTTGTTTGCGCCTGTTACGGTTCCTTCTTCGAATAACAGCTGGCAAGGAGGTGTCGGGCTTCAAGGATTCTTCACCATACTTCTTTCTCCCTTTGAGTGCAATTTCTTCGTCCTCTCGTGTTGGATGAAGACCAGAAACATCGAAACTGCAACTTGAAGGGACCGGAGAACGCAATCCGTTTTCACCTTCAGGGCGGACCAAGGATTCTTCACTGTTCTTCGCAACGTCTACACTTTGCTCTTCGGATTCTTCTGTACAAACTTGAGGGTATGACGTATAATTATAAAACGAGTAGTAATAGGAACTCGAGTAAGGAACAAATGAGCAAGAAGCGGACTTTTGTATTCCCCTGCTGCATCCCGCTGTTGGATACATCGCTGACGAGTAACCGTGTCTGAGATCATACATTATTGGTGGATATCCTACACTGGCTTCACCAGAACAATATCCACCATCTGAGTAAGAATAGTGGTATGACTGAGATGGAAAGCCAGCGCTTGGGTAGTTGCCAGTGATGGTTATTGGAGGGGGTGCCGTTGTTAAATATGAAGGTTTTTCGTGCAAATAGGCACCATCTTCGTCTAGTGCTTCTTCTATAGGTTCCGGGTTACGCGCATTGGATGGAAGCCACATTTCTGTAGGCAGTTTCTGCGGGGCGCTTACGTGCGGCTCTTGCTTATACGATGAAGATTTGGAGAGCCACATTCTTGTGTATAAATTATAATGGTTTAGTAGTAGTCGAGCACAAGGTTATAGTTTACGTTTTTGGAATGTTAAATAGCAATATAATTGCATAGAAAAATTCAACTGTTAAGACAAAATTTCCGCTATTCGCTTTAGTATTTTCACCAGTTCATCATTAATTTAAATTTAAGTAAATACAAATAACAAAGGGAAGTACAGTATAGTTCTTAGATACTTTGGTTTAATTACATACAAACCGAATAACGTAAAGAACTATACAACGGAACTCTCATCCAAAAAATTAGAAGCAAAACGTGTAAAAGTTGAAAAAACTTTATAAGCTTCCAGATGAAGCACAGTTGAAAGCAGGATGGCAACGCGTGGTGTCCACAGCAATGATTGCTTGACAACTGAGGCTTGCAGAGCTTCGAGTCACATACATATAATCATTTTTGGCTAGACTCTTACCCCTTGGCAAGGACAACAGACGCCTCCCTTGGCCAACAATTTCAGTCTACCGGAGCTCAATTTTTTAAGCACTGAACACCTGCCTTGATTCACCGTCTCACTCACACCTGCCCTATACCACCATCACACCTGTTCTATATCATCATCAAGCATTTCCACATTTGTCAATATGCACTGCAAATGCAATGAAGCGTCAGACAGACACTAAATTAATAAGATTATGAATATACTAGTAAATTACCTTCAAATTCAATAGCGACAGAACAAGCCTGAGGTAGCAAAAATTAAAATTCTAAATTGCATAAGAGTGACTAAAATCATTTTATTTTTCCTCTACAATAGCCAGCAGCAAAAATCATTAGAATTTCCCGCAGTCACGTCCTTGGCAAGGCTGGTAACACGTCTTACGGCGTACGGTCTTGTCAGCTGCCAAGGTTACGCTAATGAGCAAATTCGCGCAGCGGGACAATATCGCGTATATCTCGAGAACAAGCATACGCCGTAGCCCGGGTACAATATTGTTTGATATAAACGTATGTGTTTTTTTCTTTAAAATAAACTTAATAACAAGCATGTATTACAGTTCATTAAGACACTTTATTTTGCATGACAGGTACTCGCAATGAATGAAGCTTCTTTCATTGTAAATACTCACGATGAAGGACGCTTCGTTTCAAGGTAGGTACTCGAGAAATTGAGCAAACATTGTACAAGTTTCATGCGTTCACAGCGAAGGCATGCATACGGTTGTCTTGCCTAACTTGCAATCTATATGATACGGTAAAAACTGCAGTCATTATATAGTTTGTAAAAATGCCCATTTTATCACATGAAAAACTTGCTGGCTGCTAGCAGAATATTAGCTTGTATAAGAACTCTGCGCTAAATAACTCAGACACAGAAGCCGAAAAAATGTAACAGGTGATACCTTTTGGCTCTCTCTTTTGCCAACTTTGGAGAGGTGACAAGTTCAAGTTTGTCATTTAACGTCGCAGATACTGAGTCGAGTTACAATCATTACGACGAAGAAATTAAATCGCTAATATTTCAAGTAAAAGGATTAATTATTTCATGATAAAATTTTAGGCAGAAAAAAATTTGAAGAGGAGAGAGGCAATTTATCCCCTAAACATAATTAGATCGAAATGAACGCACAAATAATTCAGTATAGAATAAATATTCAAATACACATTTGCATTGATGCAAAACAATGATGCTGAATGTCGGATTGCGGAAACCACTAATTGAGGGTTAAACCATTAAAAAGAACATTACATCAAGAAAACAATATAAAAAAGCCTAGAAGCCTCAGTCGAATAAATCAACTGGCGAAGGCACGGGTTAGACGTGACCGCCAAAAACAGCCAGAATGTGGCATTACTGATAAAATAACTGAATATATAAATAAATAAAGCAAATAGTTTTAAAATATGTGCAGAATAACAATTTATTCTCTACGAACGCAGTGCATCATTTTATTACCTTTTGAGGTGATAGAATAAATTACACGAATGACTATAAAATAGAGGAATTTTTTTGGTACATGATAAATTTTAGTTTAGGCACTTCAAATCTTCTTGAAAATATTCATTTTGTAATTTCCAAAAATATACCTATTAATCATGAACACCTAATGCATGTATAATAAACAAAATATGAAGGTCACCATGACAATCGTGTTTTACTTATCATAATATAATAATAATATTAATTGTTTTACTTATTAAGAGTCTATCACTCTACACGAAACACGAAAAATTTCACCAATGAATTTTCCATCGTCAGTGAAAAGTTGAGGTTCCCGAAAGGGCGGAAACCACGTTAATGTTAATAATTGTTACTAATAAAGTAATTCGTGTTTACATAAGAATCGTTCGATATAGTGATCAAAATTATATTTATTTCTATGAAACTTTACTTCTTTACTTTTAATTTTCGAACGGCATCACGTTTGCCACTATGACTTGTATATCTTGACTTGCCAAGTAACAGCAACAACTGAAACAACAACAGTAACAGCAACGACTGAAGTAAAAGTTACAACTGAAGTAACAACAACAACTGAAGTAACAACGACTGAAGTGACAACAACTGAAGTAACAACAACTGAAGTAACAGCAACAACTAAAGTAACAAAAACTGAAGTGACAACAACTGAAACAACTGAAGTAACAACAACTGAAGTAACAACAACTGAAGTAACAACAACTGAAGTAACAACAACTGAAGTAACAGCAACTGAAGTAACAACAACTGAAGTAACAACAACTGAGGTAACAACAACTGAAGTAACAACAACTGAAGCAACAACAACAGATGTAACAACAACTGAAATAACAACAACTGAAGCAACAGAACAAATGAAGTAATAACAACTGAAGTAATAGCAACTGAAGTAACAACAACTGAAATAACAACAACTGAAGTAACAACAACTGAGGCAACAACAACTGAAGTAACAACAACTGAAGTAACAACTGCAGTAACAATAACTGAAGTAACAACAACTGAAGTAACAGCAACTGAAGTAACAGCAACAACGGAAACAACAACAGTAAAAGCAACAACTGAAGTAACAACAACAGAAGTAACAGAACAACAGAAGTAACAGCAACAACTGAAACATCAACAACTGAAGTAACAACAACAGTAACAACGGAAGTAACAGAACAACATAACAAAGGTCGACAGCGCGACATGGCACCAGGTGTCTCAGAGTCTAATTCAGGACGCACGAAAATAGGCTTTACTCAGCCGTGTCATTCTCTGGTGCCAGCCAACAATATTGCCAGATTCTTCAAAAAATATTAATAAATCAGCAGCTTAGCTGCTAATAACGTACTAAACAGTAATAAAATCTTAGAAAATATAATGCTGTTTTCTCCTCATTGACAGGAGGCTCGACCCTAAGAGAGTCACAATCTCCAACAGTGCAGATTTACAGTCAAGAAATGAATACATTCAAAATTCATGTTCGAAACTTTCAGAAATTTCAATGAATGATTTGCGCCAAATGACATTTCGCGATTTTCAGTCATTTTTTCCGCGATTTTCAGTGGCTGAATATTGCGTCACCATTTCAGATCGGGGTTTCACTATGTGTTCCTTTACTTTTCGAAAAATATGGTTAAATTTCTTAATATCTATTATGAGCTGCAATTGTGAATAAATCTTTGAATATGCTGAGGATGAAGATGAACTTTACTATGCAATATTTTAGTTATTGCATTCGTTATTTAAAATATACACGGATGGTTATCACAGTCAGCCCCAGTGCCCCCCGCAGAGCTGGCTGGGGGGCGAGGGAGCGCAGGGTATTGGGGGGCACGGCCCCGCCTAGCATCTTCGGTGTTCAGGTCCACTACAGTCTGCGGGATCGCCACGGCCAGCACCGACTCGCTTCTTCACGGCCAGAGAAAATGGAATGTGTGAGCCATGAACAAAATAGAGGACTTAAAAGTGTTGTAACAAGTGAGCAGCTATTAGCAAATGACTCCCAATTTTTCAGTAACTTAGGAATAAATACGTGTGTAAATTTCGGCGTGTAGTTAATAAAACATGATTTTATAAAGTGCGATCGTGTTTATTACCTAACTCGTGTTAAGTAGCGGCAGCTTGGGTATCATCAACTCCAGCCATGAAACTTTGATTCGTTCGGAATCATTTCTCCGAATTATACGATTTTTGTCACAAGATTCCAGCTAGGTTGGATCATTTGGAAATTGCACCAATGCCTGATTACAGACCATAACAAATTACTGGCTCATTTGCTCAGTTAAAATTAAATTCACGATGAAAAGTAATTATAACAAATTGTATGCTCGACAGTTTTGGTCATTTGGTACAATTTTACAACGGTTTTCTGTCACTCATTTCATTTGTCTTACCTAGAAATATTTAAAAAAGCTCACTTGTAGCGATTGTTGTAATTGTATGAATACAGTCTTCTTCCCGTCGAAATGAATAATAGAAACACACAAGTTCATCACTCACTGGCTGTTCGCGAGGTCAGGTGAAGTGATGGAGCGTATGAGGTTGCTGTGCACTTCGCCTCCACCATTCGACACTCCGCCTGTCGAGTTAGCAGGCCCAACAGTTAGCGGTATTCGATTAATGATAATCAATGTAACACGCCGTAGCTCATTGATCAATTTTAGGCATGATGATAAGTGTAAGTAATGTCTGCACTGCAGTATGGGATAATAAATTAAGCAATGCGTAATGATACTCGAAAATATATAACATCCATTTTAATCGAAGGAAACATTTTTCAAGGAAGAATTTTTGCTAAGAAAAAAAGTAAGAGAAAAGAAGAGTTTTTGAAATAATGTTCAATTACCGATTTTCAGAATTTACCGTAATAATGTTGCAACATTGCTGATTTTCGGTGCATTAGTTGTGTTGTATGTAATGCACAATTTTATTAATTATGCTCAACTTTTGTTCATCAAAGAGAACGGGATGGAATTTTCTAATACATGACAAACGTTGAAAACAAATCCAATAAATAATATAATTTCTTGTGCCTTATCAATAAATAACCGATAAAACTTACAAATAAAGGGAGGCCAGTTATTGTTAATAATTTAAATTACTGTAAGTTTACAGGACTCACCCAACGGTGGAGCAGGCAGGGGGCGGCTGCCCATGAAGCGCTTAAGGCTGCCCATGAGTCCTCCTCCCTCGGATGTGGGACCCTCACTGCTCCCGCTCTGTGGAGGGAATCAAAATTCCTGTCAACTTTCGTGTATGAAAATTCATAGTAATATTCCTGCATTAGGATAAATACAACGAGTGCGCGGAGGTCAGGCTAGCATGAATATGGACCTCCTCACTCAATATTCCGTTAAAATACACGAAATTGGTTAACGGTTCGTGTATGATTCTGACTATCAGTTAGTAATAATTTTCATGATGCCCTGTTTGAATTATCTAACAATAATGTTAAAATAAAACTATATCATTCAGAAAAATTTACATAATATGTATCGCTAAAGTAAAAACATGCACACGAAATCAGAATATTGGAAAATAGCAAGCAGAATATACAAGCGAACGAGTATCAAAGAATCGACTGCAACTACAATTGGATACAGAAATTTTCAGTTCGATGTTAGAAATTAAAGATTACTCCAACAATGATCAAGAAGAAATCCTAATTTAAAGTAGGTTAATTTCAGAACGAAATTAATGGCAGAGATATAGTTCCCCATTGGGAACTATTTAGAAGCCAGTTGCTCCACCTTGCTACTTAAAAACTGAAAAACAAGCTTATTGGTTTCAGAAGTGAGTAAGGAAATTCGTGATGAGCTGATGATGAAACCATTTGAACATCGATCGTTGTTCTCTCAGTTTACAAGCTACACAGAAAACTGAAAAAAAATTCTGGCATCAAGCGCTCTCAATATTCACAGAAAAAGTGTTTAAAATATATTGATCTAATTCTCTCAAGAACGCTCAAATTTTTGGGAATTATTAGTGTTCTACTGTATAAATAATGTATTACATTTAGAAGATAGTTAAATCTCAGAACCAAATACCGTAGAGTTTCACTGCAGTATGGGGGGCACGGCATAAAAGTTTTAACAAATAAGTTAGAGTTCGCCCTAGTTTTTGGCGCGAAATCAAAAAGAGAAAAATAAAATAATCAAATCGCAATAGAAATATGATTATTTCTCTGAAGGTCAATTATGCCTTCAATTAAATAGATGGATGGTATATGATCGAGCTGTGTTCTCCATGTTGGGTGGGTATGATCGAGTTGTGTTTTTCCTAGTTGAGTAGACTATAGGCTTGATATGTTGCTGATGCTACATCCTAATTTTTAGGCTAGAAAATATTTTAGCGTCTATGAAGTTTAGGCAAAACCGAATTAAATTTAGCGATAACATACAAATGCGTTTATTCTATGGAATAAGATGAGATCGCATGTTAGAAGCAGCCTTACGAATGCAGTAAAATTCAACTACTGGAGCAAAAACCATTCTTTCATGAGCGAGAAATTACTGAAAAGTTCTGGGACGGTACTATGTCCATTACTATGAGTACAGAGATAAAATAACGAAATGCATGTTCTGGTCACCGTAGACTTTTTGTGCGCCTGCGAGTAGAGCAACTCTGTACGCCGGACTGGTGGTGGAGGTGCAGGGGGCTGGAGAGTGGGACACTCGCATGTCAAGTGGTTGCAATAAAAGTTTGTTACAGCAATTTAACTGTACTTTAATATTACTTACGTTAGTTAATATAGTTTAATGAAGACTATCACAGTTTGTTTGCTTTCAATAAAACGTTTCCCTACAGAACGTAACGATATTCGTCACTCACAGAGAAAGCAATTGACTGTGAAATAATTTTAGACACCATTGGATATTTGGTTACAACAACAACAATCAAAACAACGTATATTTATTACGCCAGAATCTTCACGAGGCAAATAGCCTTGCAAAGCTAGAATTATTTATTACATTGAGCAAGAGTCATGTGAATAAAAACATGCGAGACAAGTTGCACAATTTTTATATTATCATAACAACTGAGGAGACTCAAAAATATTATAATCAGTTAAGAGAGTAGCAGAATAGAGAACATTCTTCATTTCGAAATTGCTTTTGAGATAGAGACATTGAAAAAACGTCAATTAATGTGGCATCACATGATGGAACTTGTAGCTATGTCACAATTTTTCGTTTATTTAATTCTTTCATTTTTAAACGTAACTTTTGAGTTAGAAAGTTAGTAAACAGAATTGTTAAGTACCTTGGTTAAAGGTGATCGCTCTATGGAGTCTTGCCGTAGGGACGCAAGGCTGGTCGAGAGTTGCTGTTAGAAACACAAATTTAGGATTGATCTCTCAGTAAAGTGTGGGGCAACATCTTTATTGAAGGAAAATTAACATCTTTAATTTGCTCATGCTGCAGGGAGGCTATTTATATAATATAACATCAAAAATAGGGACATGATAGGAAAGTGTAAAAAAGCTGAACGAATAACTGAAAGAAAAAAATTCGAACTTAATGAAAGAGGAATAATGAGCATGGTAAACGAAGTATCTTGATGCAACGAAAAATTAAAAATTCCATAAACAGCACCACGAATGTAAATACAAATAATTACCTAATTTCAATATATAAGTAAAACAAAATATATTACACGAGGCAAAAACATTTGGCTGCTTCAAATGCTAGTTTGCTGGTAAACTTTCTGTAAACTGTAAATTCTGTAAATTCTGTGTTCTGTAAATTCTGTAAACTGGGTGACAAGCGAAAATCCATTTCTGGTCTCAGCAATCTTGTATCATTACTGGCAATCTTGTATCAATATTTTTGCATCATTCCTGGTCTAAACAATCCTTCTTCATTACCGGTTTCAGTAATCATACATCCTTATCGGTCTCAATAATGGCGCATCCTAACCGGTCTCAATAATTTGCATTATATATTGAACATATGGGATATGACGTGACGCATGTTGCGCAGCGCCGCTCTGAGGTCATTGGGTTCACAGCAGTTTAAGTCCCGTGATCCCGGTTTCTCCACTTAATCCTCTAGCTACCACTGCATGTCATTCTCCGGGAACATAACTTTCAACGTAATTAAGTAACATAATACGTAAACTAATGAGCGTAGCAACGTAAGGACGATTGTACGCAACAGAGAACATTTTAAAGTTGTCGTACGGGGCGGTAACCATCAGTGCAAGTCGTTTTGCACTCACTAGGACTTATCCTTTTTGGGAAGTAGGCGCGTGACAATATTGCTCCGGCCACTCATGTCAGGCGGTAGAGGGTTAACTATCACTAACAACAGAATTGACCGTAATTTCTTACATTCTCTTATATTATTGATTGATTTCACCTATAGCAAACATTCTGAAAAACGGCATAATACTTTGCAACACAATTTGCTGTGGAATTGCCCTGTGATACTCAATTTTTCCCGAAGGATTGGATATAAATACAAACCATACGCGTTTCTGAGAATAGTTTTTATATCAGAGATACTAGGACTCATAAATCTAATCAACATAAAAAAATCTCACCTGATCTTTCCTCAGACCGCCGCCCCCGAGGAAGCTCCTCTTGTTGCGGCGGGGAGGGGGCTGGGGTGGGGGGACCTCCCTGCCCCCCTCCAATACTTTGGGGGGCAGCGGGGGCCTTACGCCCTCCATTGCCTGCAATAGCCCGAGAATTTATCTTCGTTATTTAACATTCTGGATACTTATTAACAAATCAAATTCAGTATATATGATTTATGAATGAAGAATTAACAAATAACCAAATTTTGACCAGCAAACGATTCAAGAATTTGCAATAGTAAGAAGCGCATGCAAGTTGGGGCACGAGGTGCAGCTGACCTTCCTGTGGTGCTGCGTGCGGCGCGGGTGTCGGTGGAAGACCTCGTCGCAGGCGCAGCAGAAGACCTGCCCCGAGCAGTTGTCGCACCGCACGGCCGCTTGTGCCGACCCGCACACCTCGCAGTGCTTGCCGTCGCCCCGCCCGTCTGGGGGGTTATTTTCTTACTTACACCTTATACCAATCAGATTAAAATTAAACCACTCTAAAACAATATTTTTGGTGCAGGGACGAATGAGTCAGTTTGACGCAGATATGCAGGTATATGTAGAGCTTATAACAAGCTATCGTTATCGACACACAAGACGCTAAACAACTCGTTGCCTACTTAACAAACGATGCCATACTGGTCTGAAATGAACAATGTTCATTTCAGACCAGTTCATTTCAGTTCAGACCAGTTTCAGTTTCAGTTCAGACCAGTTCATTTCAGACCAACAATGTTCATTGTTCAGTGTCCACTAGAAAATTGTTATTCTACTAAGCTTTTATGATGAATCGTTTCTAAAGGAAGGCAGCGATGAAAGTACCGAGCTGACTTTATGATATTGACAGAGCACATGTTAGGAGAATATTTAAATTTTTAGTTTGTTAAACCAAGAGGAAACCAATAACATAAAAACAAAGAAAATGTCATGTATATTCCCGTATCTAAACATAGCATAACATAGTAATATCGGCGTAGTATAATAGACTGAGTTGGCCTGGCGTCAATTCTTGTATTGCTCCAGACTTGGAGATCTGAGGAGTAGCCTCTCGAAGAGATCTATCCAAAAATTACGTGGAAGTTAAGAATCTGATGAACAGCCTCCTCTTCATCGAAAAAGTTTCGAAAACCAGCTTCAACATAAGTTCAACAAGTTATGGGAAACAAGTGCAATCAGTATAGAAGAGCCAAATTATACAAAACAGATTAAAACTTATGCATCAAAAAACGGACCAAAAAACAATTGTTTGTCTTTTATTACTTAAAAGTATAAGTCAAGTCTTGCTTGCAGATTTTCATGTATCGCAAGAATTCGCTTACCGCGGCTTCATAGTTCGCTCCATCTTCCAAGTTTTGCATTCTGAATTTCAAATCATTGGTAATATATTTTATCTGAATGGCTTTTCACTGAAGTTCACTAAAATTAAAGGATTGTTGAACGACATTCTGAAACTTTGACCGTGGTTAATAATAAAATTGACACTATTTATTGTACTTTATTCGACTTTGATAGCACATCTAAAGTAATGTCCATGGAGTTGAGGATCTTAATCATCAAATATTCTTCGAATCCCATCTTGCATGAGTTTTTAGTGAATAATTTCGAAATTGGTTCCTTCTTCGGGTATAAAGATGTTCTTCCTGCCCGACTGGGTCCTCACTGGTTTATGAATACAGTTGTGCGAGGTGCGCATCGGCGTACGTCGAGATAACGTTGCCAAACTTTAACATTAAGGTTGCTGAACACTGCAGCAGTTATTTTAGTTCTGAACTTTCACTAGTTCACTCCTTTATTCTGCTGCATGTGCGCCTTGACGCTGAACAACGCGACGTGGGTATGTCGGGTACAGATTTTAATATTCAAATTTCACCTACTGACACCTCGGTTTCATGTACTGAACTGATGATTAAGCTGATCTCCGTATCGTTTACGATGAGAATATGGGTAATTTGCTTTGCGTTTTCTTAGCTTTTAAATTCATTTCAATAAAACGTTGAACTCCATGTTCAACAGGTAGGTATTTGTTGAACTCCATGTTCAACAGCACATTTCACGTCACTAATTAGCCTATAACTCTATTAATTTTGTCAGGCTAATTTCAACAACATACGAGTTACACGATATTAGAAACTCTGATACCTACCGACAATACATCAACCAAATCAGCATTTTTCCGGCAGGTTCCACAATCACATGCTAATATTTATCATATGTAAATAGAAATATTTGCCAAATTAAATTTATAAATTTGTTAGGCAACAGATAAATAATCATTTATACACCTTTAAAGTTGTCATCTACCCAAAATGAATGTCAAGTAACGGTTAGTACATAAAAATGTAAGCGGCCCTCCACATATAAACATATTTTTATAGGAAACCCCACAGTTGTTTGATGGTTATTTTTGAGTGAACTTCGCAAAGCATATGCTACTTTACAAGCAAAGTATGCGGTAATTACTTATTTTGACACAGTATGGACTTTAATTAGGTGTCGGATCTATTTAACACTGCAGTTCCGTTAGGTTTTTCCAAAATCTAAATAAATTATTGAGAAATAATAAATAGCCAATGGAGAAAAGCATTTCTTAAGTATTTACGTTTTTCAAATAGAATCAAAGAGTTTAACAATATGTGGAGAATTATTTCCAATGTTTTTATTCCCTAATTTACATCGATATTATGAAACTAAAAATCAGAAGAAACGACATTTATGATCTCGCTCTAGCCAAACACTCGCATCCACTTCCTATAAAATCAGTCTTAGGTGCCTTTTGCATCAACTACATTCGAACCAACGTCGCCAGTTTACCTCGCGTTCAGAGTTTACGTAGAGATGCCATAAAGATGTTACAGATACAGATATGCGGCAGGTGTGTTGGAGAATTCATCCACAAGATTCACTGTTGTGTGTGGATAAGCGTGGCAATAATGGCAACTTGCCACTTCAGTCAACAGGTGGGGGCGCATAATCTTGGCGCCGGCTCGAGTCTTCACCTCAACCGACATTCGTTTTGGCGTGATACTCTCCGAACGAATAGCCTTGATTTGCACGGATGAATAACCAAAAATCGTGAATACTTTATATCTTACGTTACTCTTGTCAACGCCAGAATATTATTTCTACTTGGAACTATAATTCGCCTGTTTTGATTTAAAACCGTTACTGTCCTTGATGTAAGAGAACCAAATTGCAGGAATTGTAAATCTCCCTATTTACTGTGGTACAACTATGCTGGGTTCATTAATCCTCGATCGGTCAGTTAATGTTTAAAATTGTTTCTGCCAATGGTTGTAATATTACCTAAATCTTTAAACTCTGAAACATATAACTTTTGTAACAATTAACATATTTATCACAGACTTTCGTGTGATTTTACTTGGAACGGATACCTTTACATTCCTTTCTTCAGCGTGCGTGGTCATTCGCCTGGAGCTACCAAATTAAATTGATTAATTAAATTAAATCAGTTACTGAAGCTAGAAAATTAACACTACGACGGAAAATGTTGTCTCACCTGGCGTGTGCTTGAGGTGTATAGTGACGGGGCCAACTTCTTCATAGTCCGGATCATCTTTGTGCCGGCGGTTGTCGCCAGACCCCTGGATTGAACGATGAAAACTAGTTTTAGATTATTAATAGTCTATAATAAATAACTAACGAATATATGTTGCCGCAAAATCTGCATGCGTGAGCTACCGCAACTTTATTTGCGGTCAAAGTTTTGAACAACGTATTAAAAATATGAAATAACAATGAGTCTCATATAAGGCAGCAGGGCTGCACATACAATTCGCACGACACCATAAAAAGGGTAAGATTAAATGGACATTTTCGCCTCGAAATTATGTCAAACTGAATCTTGTAAATTCCCTAACACATTCAATATAATCTGCTTTCTATTCAGTCATATTTGAATCTAAAAATATTACACAAATTATTTAACGATGACGAATCTTGTTAGTAATATCATCGGTAATTACAAATATTTTTAAGGAAAATGAATATTTTAAAGATATCATTAACCTCTGGGACACTCACGGCAGGCCTCCCAAATTTCACTGAACTTAAAATATCTCCCAAACTAATGAACGCAACTCGATGAAACTTCACACACGTGTTCAACAGGTCTCGACGGTGATGTTTAGGTCGTGATCATTTTTCCGATTTCACTTTCGTTTGCGAAAGATTTAAGCCTAATATATCTCCTGTACTACTGCACAGATTTTTCCGTGTAAGTTGGAAACGAAGGCGAAATCGAATTTTGGTGCGCATGACCGTATTTAAGACCGAAAGCGTCCGTATGACCGAAGGCGGAATCGAATTTTGGTGCGCATGACCGTTTAACTCGAAAATGAAGGCAAAATTGTAAAAATGGTTCTGACCGAAACATCACAATTTAATATAAAGTTTTCCATTTGCTACCACATGAACGATTATTTTAATGCACGTCTTTAAATTAAATGAGCTAGAGTATAGCATATTAAATTCTATACGCTCAGGATTCTGTGTAATCATTTGAGTATTCCAGTCGGTGTGAAAATTTTCCATGTCGAAAATTTATTAAATACGATTAAGAAATGTTCTTAATTTCATGTCATTCTGTTATAGTAAAAATTTTTTCCAAGATAAAAAGTAGTCCATAACAATGCATTGAACACCGCTATGATAATAAAAAGGCAAAATAAATGCTTTATTTTAAAAGCAAATAACATGAGCGATAAATATGGAATTAACCAAAACATTCCTATTGAACACGTGTGCAAGGTTCCATTGAGCTGCGTTCATTAGTTTAGACCAGCTGAGAGTCCAGCCGCGAAAGTGTCCGTGAGGTGATATCATTGAGCGAAAATTGAGCCCCAACAATTTTATAGCAACAAATTTATATATTTGATACTACAATCTATTTGGTATAAATAATTTTTTTAATGTATCTTTAATAATTTATGTTTTTGAACATTCCAAGGAATTTAAAAGCTGAGAAAACGCCACCTAAATTCATCACATCTCCACTAAAGGAAGATATAAAAAAATTCTTGGCGATTTCTAACCTTTTCAATTCTCGTTGAACTTACAAGTAAAGAAGACGAAAGATTTTAGTTCTTCTAAACATGCCCAAATCTAATATTTTGAAGCAATAAATACATCACTAGTGGTTGCATGTACATGTTTACGTACGAACTCACCGGCAAACGGCGCATAAACTTAAGAGGCATACTCGTAGCTTTTTATGAACCCTTTACGGGGCAATTTTTCGCGTATCCGCCACGATGTCCACGGCGACTTGTTCGTTAGTCGATGTTTATTTTACGATTGCTTCACTTCACTGATGTTTGACTTGAAAAAAATTCTCCGGGCATCAATTCGACTTGACAACTACGATCTCCTGGCATCAATTAAGAGCGAATCCTTGCACCAAGCACACATTCTGTGGACGTCAAATTAATCAAATTCGATTACTTCTTCCAAATCCACGACTTTTATATACAATGCACATGTTTAAAAATATCCAGGACAATCTTGCTAATAAAATATCCATCATAAAATAATCTTGATTAACTTCTTTATTACTGAAGCAGATCCATGATCATTAGCATGAAGTTTTCGAAGTTCAACCATAACGCAGTTATTATATACACTTCACATAAACTTCCGAACGTTATGTTGCAATAAAAATTAGCCCATTTAGGGCAATTTGGGTAAAATTGTATTGATAAATAACTAGAACCTTGCAAAAGCTTATGGGTTAAAAATTGGGTTTACCTCAAGTAAACCCTGTTTCAAGCAAGTTTTTAATCATTTACAGCTTTGAAAATAAGAAATTTAAGAAGCTGGGAGCAGCTCAACGATTTTTCATTTCGTTTAAACACTTGAATCATTGATACTTTATTTAAGAAAAGCTCTTTCGTGCCACCATTACACTCAATAAGCTTCTTGGCTGGGTATTCTGGAAATTGTTTTCACATCACATTACAATACTTATTTTAAACGATATTTGTAAAACAAAACCTAAATTATCACACTAGTCCATTTATTACCCTAACAAAATTTAGAGTCGCCCCAGCTTCTGGTACTCCAAATCAGAAGCTGACACGTCTGTAAATTTTCACTGGGTATAGGGTTAATATCCACAATGGGCCTTTTCATGTTTGAAAAATTGTGTACTGAAATCTGAAGATCGTCAATTCACGCTGAAGTCATTCATTTTTTCATAATATTTTGCAGCACATATCACGTTCCCACTTTCTCGAAAACCATCAATCAAAATACATTTTTAATTTTTCAATAATCGTTTCCTCCTCACTTTTTAACTCAGAATTTCAAAATTTATATCAATATCACTTGCATCGTCATTTAAATGTATTAGCCTCGGGGTCTTTACTTACTGTCCTAAAATAAAACGCTCAGTCATGTTTCTCCGCCTAACCACCACCCGTATTATTCAATATTAAACAGCCCAAGTCCAACGGTTAAGTTTCCAATACCTCTCAACGATTGTGCAATGAGTATAGTGTAATTTATTATTGCCCTAGCGTCATTTACAGTAGCATTTGTTTCTATCGTAGAAAATTTATATAAGTGAGAATCTTTATCGCTACATTTTCTTGATCCATGCAGTAATGCCACCACTTGAGAACATGTATACGAAAAGTTCAAGAATCGGCAACAGGCCATGGGCCTATTTCTTCAACGCCGACACTTCTATTCTATTCTATTCATCGTTTCATTCACCTTAAAGCACGATATTTATTCATAAACCGATAAATTCCTTAATCAGGATAGCACTGCATGTCTTTATACAAACACAAAGTTATAATTTCTCAGAGATTTCACTATTCTCGCAAAATTTGAATAGTTAAATACTTGCCATAAATACCAATTTGGTCATTATAAAATTAGCACTGACATAATAAGAAATTAAATGGAAATTAACCCAAAATTACATGCCAGTCTAAATATCAAGACTGTCACCAACCCCACGTGCAGCACCACGGGACCTCGAAGAGAACGAGGGCACAACTGTCCAAAACCTTCGGGATGCACCCGCGGCGACAGCGAGGGGCGCCTGTGATCTGAGGCAAGCTTTGCCAAATGTGCTCGACATGCCGAGGGGAAACAAACATGGCGGCCACTTCATGTCAAGATCAATAATCAAAATTGATGTTCAAAACGCGGGACTAAGCACTTTGGACAGATTTAGGTTCGAACTTAGAGCGATAGTAAGGTAGCACCTCTCAGAATGAACGTTCAAACAAGACTCCAGTTGCAGAATCGCATAAAATATAAATAGCTTGTTCGTCCAGTGCCCAACATTGACTTGTTCGCACAGCTGGACGTAGGACATCTGCACAGCGCGTCAGAAACAAATTATTTGATATTCCATGCAATATCAAGGAAGATTATTTAACGTTGTAAGTTAAGAAATAATCGGTGAAAAATTTAGAATTTCTCACATTCTGTGTGTCTTACAGTCGACGGGGCAAAATAACATCAGACGGATATAGGAAACCGACCTAACCAAACCGTCATATAAGCATGGAAAACCAAAAAATTGCCATTAAAAATAATTCCTGTAAAAAAATCAAGTAAAAGACAAGCTAAACTACACTTGTTCGTAAATTATATAAACGAGGCGTCAAAATAGACATGTCAAATCTTCCATGATTATAAATTATATAAATGAGCTGTCAAAGTTCATTTAAAATGTCTCAATCACTCACAGTTTTCAATCGTAATGTCCTCGGAATACTATGACAGGCTAGATACAACTTTAAAATCGCTTGAGTCAAATGACAAGACCACTAACAACGACCATTAGATGTCAGGATATAACGGCAAGTTTGATTCCTTACTGCAAATTGCAATTGACATTCATTGTAATTCTGTCCTGAGAAGGATACCGCAAGTGATAACGGAGATTAAACCTTGGTAAAGACGTCGCTTATTAGGATGAAACAAAAAATAAAATTTATGTCGGTCAAATTTTACAACCACCATAGCGAAAAAAATTAAACCAATATTTTTATTGAACAAACACAATTTATGTCTTCTAAGTTGAATTGAGAAATTAATGAAATAAAAACAAGCTAGGATACTTAATTCATGCAAAAGACTCGCTTGTGGTTAGCGCCTTCCAGTGATACAAAGAATAGCATTGATGAGACGGTCTGATCCAATAATAATTTAAAATTTTAAATAATTACAGCCTTAACAAATAGCACTATTTAATTGAACTCTCCTCGCTACAGTAAACGTTTGGGTACGACAAAAAGCTTTCTCATAAGTGTCAACCTGATTCATTCGTTTCTTTGAGTGAGCAGTTCACTCGAAAAGATCAACACGAATAATTCAAAATAAACATTTGCAGCTATTAGCCCCCCATTATGATTATTTCAACGCCATTTGCAAGTTTAATTGTTAGCTGTAAATACGGATCATAGTTGATGCGCTGTGGAGGAAGCATAGTTATTATTCTGCTGCTAAAAGAGACTTAAATTCAATTTAATAATTTAATACTACTGAAAAACTTGTACCACTGAAATCGGAGAAATTTGAGTTTTCATACTGTGTTTATTGCTTGAGTTCTAGAGAATAACCAATAGGTAGATATTTTATATAACTAATTGATGAATTATTACTTAGATAAAGTGCCCAAGTACGTTTGGTACTCAATATTATATGAAAGGTTTTGAAACGATCTTATTTCAATCTCTCCTTATAATTGTATAAAAACTGTTTTTCATTGCCACACATTTTTTGAGTTACTCAATCACAACTCAGTAGAGAAAGCAACATTCATATTATTCTCAACCACCAAAATTCCACCGGGAATTAAAAAACCAAGTAAGCCTACAATCAATCATTCACTTTAATTCAACAGGGAGAGAACCGATCACAACTTGCGGTGTGAATGCAGACGGAAGTTGAGGCGAGAATCGTCAGCTGTAGACCCCTGAGCAGCGCCTAATTTTAGACCATAGAGGAAAGATGCCGGGTCTACACCCCAATTTTAGACCCAAATAGAAAATTTGCTTGGTCTACTCAGTGGGTCACAACGTACCGATTGATTCAGGGGTCAATTATGGAATTGCGCCTATAATTTGAGTGTGTGTTGTCTTCATGGCATTATATGGACATTCCTTTTATTACGAGCGTCTATTGACTTGGAGTACTCATTGCTGGATATTTTTACAACACTTCTCTTCAAACTTCAATTCTTGTTTGTTTGTTTGTCTGCTACAAATCTTAGAATCAATATTTAAAATACCTCTACCTGTCCAATCGATCTGAAATTTTGCACACTTGCTTAAAGTGGGAGACAATCCATGAATCAATTGACAGAATAGATAATATTAAAAATTAAAGAAAATTATAGCTAAAGTAATTTAAAAATTTAATTTTTATTATTTAGAACATAAAAAATCGTTGTGCATTAGTAACATCGGAGGCACTGGCCTCATTAGAAGTGTTAAAAAATGCATTTTTAAACGCATATTATTACTGATGATGTTACAAGTGGCACTGCACTATGCTAACATACGAACCAAGATCCCCTATATGTCTGGCATATTCTGTGGTGACAAATTTCTTATTTTGCATCATGAAATTTTATTATATTGTTTTAAAACTAGTTCAAAAAATTACTAAAAATTGCTGCAATTATATACTACTTTCGATGTACATGGACTTAGGTTTGGAAACACATTCGATGCACAGATCCAAAAATCTGGCAAACCAAAGTTAATCCTTGCATTGGCCTCGAAAATAAATTCATTCCCATTGTTCATCAAGAGATTGCAAATAGAATATAAATAAAATAATATGGCTTAGATGAATTTTTCAAAATAGTCTATCGAGCCTTCAGTATTTTATTCAGATATAAGCACAATTGGTTGCGTTTTAATCAATAAAGTTACAGATTTTACCCTTTTTAAACTAGTCTTAGCCCTTTTCTCGGTCCTATGCCTTTTGTAGGAAAAGCGGCATTAATATGCAGTTAATGTATCCATACACAAAGGGTTAAACTGCAAGGCAATAACCTAGATAATAAGACGATCTTTCACACATAATCGTACACGCACATAATCGTATACATTGCGCATACTCATAAGACGGTAAGTCAATTCAGCCGCAACTGCAACCAATCGGCGGAAATAGAACCCGACGCTTGATCACAGGCCCTATTTTGAGACGTGCGTGTGAACAGACTGACGTCAATGCAAGAAACCTCACAACCCTCTAATTTGCCAAAATAACCACGAAGAGGACAATTTTCACTAGAAATTTTCGACTCTGGTATCAAAAAATTTTGGATGAACCGAAAGATAGTTCCGCTGATTGCTACTGATAATATAATGGATACGGCGATGTCTCAGGAGTAGTTTAACACTAATTGTTAAGCAATGTTGTTGCATTTAACAAAAATAATAAAAATTGAAACAATTATGATGATTTAAGAGCTGTCTGCTGCGCCACATCTCCAGCTGCTGCAGGGTGCAGTTGCTGCTGCAAGCTGCAGCTCCGTGCAGGTGCTGGAGGTGAGCCAAGTTGGCACCCCTCTATGTCTTATTCTCATGCCATCCCTTACGAACGATGTGAATCATTGCTGATCTTGTCAAGGTATTGCAACAATGCATCATAGCATAAGTTTCCATTAAGGAACACATTGATTCTGATATGGGAAGAAAGAGAATACAAGCAACGGGCGTTATCATCCGAGAACTTTATAAACGCAAGAAATCCGTTGGCCCACATATATGACTGTAGTGTACATTTTCAAACTACATCGATGAAGTGATAACTTTGGACTTCAAGTAACTCCGAAACACATATGAATATTGTGTTCTGATCTTGAAAACATGAACCATACGCTCGAGCGTTTCAAGAGGAGAAATTATATTTAGATGATTAGGCTGAATATAAAAAACATTTAGATTTAACATGGATCTGCGCAAGCGATTTCGTCTGTTGATGCTCACTGACCAAGTGTGAAGCTAGATGGTGCTGTTAAATAAATAAAGCAAATCCAAGCAATAATCTTGCAAGCTAAATAATAAGATCCAACTATTAGGAATTCCAAATTCATTCTGATACTGAAGATAATCCTGAGTTTCGCTTCAAGAAATTTGGCTGGATTGAAACCATCTTTGTATCCATATGAACTTTATTATCCAAGCAATCTGCCCTCTTTTCTTTTCACGATAATTATCAACGAATACTTACTTGCAAATCATATGCGCACAATCTTGAAAACTTCCTCTAAGTTTGCCAAAAATGGTGGACAGAGATTGGTTAAATATTTTACAAACATTTATTCATAAATTAGTAAAATAATATATACACATCCAAATGGGAAATATAAATTTTGTACCTACTCACCTTCACTGTCGTTGATGATCGACGCATGTCGCAAGCAGATCGAGTTAGTTTTTCATCCTTAAAACTCTCACCTTGTGCTTTGTTTCTTGTTTAATTTAATTAACAATCGGAACATGAAATCAATCCATATACACATATTTAAAAATCAATATGCTTTTTACCACATTTTCACTGCGGTATTGAATATTTTCTTGACGAACACCAAACTACACATTATAAGAAAGCAACTCTTTTTCGTGTGTAGAATTTTTTGTTGCTCGAGAAGATGCAAGTTTATTGGGAGTCCAATGACCACATGTTACCAGAAGAGCAATGTTAAGAAAATCACATTCAGCGAGAATTTGTTGTTAAATTAGGTTTCATATGAAGCTCGTGAATGAATAATTCCCTGTCTGATGAAGTACAAACAGCCGATCGAAACTTTTAATCTTTTGATGGCTGAGAAAATGCCGGCCAGTTTTATTAATGTTAAAAAAACACTTAAGACAATTTGGGTACATTATAATTTTGTTTTGCCTTAAGCATCTAGGCACGTCATTATTTCATACGCAGTATTATACTATTTTATACGATGTTTTTCTGGCTAAAAAAATATTAGTCAAAACTCAAAATCTCCTATAACTTTAAGTTTTCGAACATGTCTCACGGAAATCTAGAATACGTTTTGAGAAAACAACAAATTAACGATAAAAATATTGTTGAGTCAGTCAATAAAGTACTTGAATGAACTACAATAATTGTTCACCTCATAGCCGCACACTGTCACACCTGCCACTGCTCTTACACGACCCCAAACCAAAGTTCTTGACGTCCCCAACTGAACTCCGCCCTACTTCCCACGTGCGGTTCCTCCGAGCTACCACAAGTGATGCATATTCATGTAGCATGCTGCGCAAATTAAGAGAGTTTTCTAATCAGTGGCGCAGAAATATATTCTTTTGACAAGCAAACTAAATTTTTAGGAATATGTTGATTGATAATAATATTATTTCATGAAATTTTCATTTAACGTTGATATAAATTTGAGCTCATACTCAGTGAAAATTTAGGGTAATGATCAATTTACAATCGGCGCATAACTTTTAATCCGCATTTCGGTAACTGTAATAAATGTGTTTTTCTTTCCGTGGTGGCAGAAACGGAACATTTGTTTACAGATGACGTTTACCTTACTCTTCCTGATCCTAAACCCGATGTAAGGAGAAAGTTGCGTTCACGGTTCAGCACGAAAACGCGTGTGTAAATTGCGTTCTCTTAAGTAAGCGGTGAATTATTGTCAGTTAAAGTTTCATTTCTACTCCGAACAAATTTAATCTTTTAGCTTGTTCCTTCATAAACTCAACTGTCTTTCTTCATTCAACTTTCAAGTTCATTGAAGATTTGTCACAATGTCAGTCTCACAGTCTGCTTTGGCCTTTGCAGTTTGCTCAATATTTTTCTACGTTTTTGTTTTCTTTCTTTGACAAACTGATGCACACTTCTTGGACATCACTCACAATACATCACTTGTGCAGTTCTTGGACCTTCAAATGAACTTTAGGACCAGAAAAGTCTAAATTTTTTATTTTTAATGTACATGCTCCCCTTAACTTAAGCTTAACTCATAACTGACATCTGTTAACTGTCTGATTTACATGCTCCCTTAACTGTGGAATGTTTATTTTTGCTTATAATTTTACTAGAATTTCATACAATATTCCAAATTGTTGACCTTTTATTAATTTAATAGGCATTGTTTAATTTTTGGATTCCCAATCCCAAAGCAATTACAAATTACAATTAGTAAGAGGCTAAAACTCCAGAAGTTGTGAGCAGGTATGGATTATTTTTATATGTACCTTTTTGAGCTGTAACTAGAGCTTTTAGTGTTTGATAAACTATCTCCTACCTATTTAATTGTTGATATAAGTGCAGTTGGACAACTTGGACGGTTGGACCCACTGTGCAGAGAGTGGATGAATATTGCAAGATCTTTGGTGATGCTTCAGTAGCAAAATTTACACCTTCTGAAGATCTTGCCGACACATTTAGAATGAAATTCTTGCATTTAATACATTTGTCAGTCTTTGGCCAACTATTTAAAAAAAATTAAGGTTTCTGGTATGTTGGATGGATCAGGATGCAGTGAAGCTTGTATGGAAATCAGTTGCAATGAGTTCCTGCCAAAAAAATGTAAACATCAAGTTTATGATTATGTAGTTGCGGTCACATTAGAGTGGTCAGACTGAATTATCACATGTTCAGTTGACACTTGCTGTACAATCAGACTGTTTTTAGGGTAAAATTAGTTATTTGGGGTAACATGTTCATGCAACCTTGTAAATAAGTTTGTGGCTTGTAAATAGTTTTTCATTACTCAGCATAAATGGCTTTTCATTAAAAATTACCCGGCAACACATCTTAAAATTACCCGGCGACGCTTAGAGCTTGAAAACCCATATATTGGCGACGCTGCATCCACCCTCTGCACCCTGGAGTTGGACCACAAAACCCAATCTGGAATTGTCTATGGCCTAACTGGTAACTGCAGCTGGAACTAGACCAAAACCGATCTGGAATATTGATCAAAAATTTTCTAAAATCACAGAGAATGTATTGTTTTTTTGGTAATTTTTCAGAAAGGCAGGTACAAAATGTACTGCTTTTTCTTATTTTTTACAGATGAAATTGAAATGAAAATGGGTAAATTATTTAAAATCATTAAAATTTTTGTCTCATTCATGGGTTGCTTGGTGAAATTTTATACTGGTCATTTAGATCCACTAGGGCTGCCTGGGCGCTCCAGTGCTAGGTACTCACTTGAGGAGCAGTGGGGGACTTCAAAATGAAGGCCCTCTAACAGTGCTATTTGTTGAGAATGTGGCACTTATTTGTTGAGAATGTGGCACTTATTTGTTAAGAAAAAAGGAGTTATTTGGGTGCTGGAGTGCTCTAATGCTCTTGTCCAGCCTGTCTTGCTCTTGTTGGACCTGGACAAGCACTCTGCTGCTGGCCCGCTTGTATTGGCTTGCGCGGCCATTCCGCCCCTATTGGAGCAAGCATGCTCCTATTTTTGGCCACTGCGCCTCTCATTTATGTGATTTAGAAGACATTGAGAATGCTACCATGATGGGTGGCTACTGCTGAATTGTCCAATTTGAATACTATACTGTACTTAACACGTTTCCTGCGACGGCTCTTTTGCTGCTATGCACGACACCTGCGATGTGACCCACCGGTGGGTCCCAGTCTTCTTTCCATTGTTAGTGGGTCCCATCGCATTACAAGAAAAACATTATCTTCAGATGCGATGGGACCCACCCGTGGGTCACTGTTTTTCTTACCTAATCAAGCTGTAACATATGAGAACAAAACTCTGACAACCTCACTCCGAGCTATCTCAGATGCAACTGAAGTTATTGTATATATACCACCGTCGCAACAGGAGAATAGCATCGATATTGGCCGTCGCCGTACACGTAACACAGTGGTGACCCACCGGTGGGTCACATCGCAGGAAACGTGTTAACTCACATTGCTTTTACTTCTAGTAATGTAGGCCACTGAAGTATTGAGATAGTTGAGGGGCTGTTGTCTCTCCAAATAATTCTATCTAGCATCCGTAGGTAAAAGCTTTAATAAATCCTCTTAACAGTAGCTCGTTGATGAAAATCAGAGATAATTTTTAAAGAATACTTAACCTGACATTTAAAGATTACCTAGCCTTGAGATTATAATTAAGGATAATTTTTATCAGAATAAATTGCATTATTTTCAATTCAAGACATCAGTGAATGTAAACTTCTTGTCATATTGCTGGCAGATCTTTGCTGAAAAATGGTGGCAACACTTCGAGAGAAGCAGCTTGGTGAGAGACAAAAACATCTGTAAAATATAACAATATAAGAATGTGCAATGCTATTCAATTATTCATTTATTTTTTTTTACTTGTCATATTAATTTACATACTTGTTAATCATAAGAAATTCTACAATTTATTTTGATTTCCACAAATTCTACAATTTTTACTCATTGTTAATGTTGAAATGGTTTCACTATAATCTGTGTAGGTACTCAAAAGCTTTTTTTTCAGCTTCTCTTCACAACATGATCCAGTTGAACAGCAACTCTGCCAATAGCAATGAAACTGTCTTCTCTGTCTTGATATATGACCGCCATGGACAAGACATCATTGCACCTCTCATCTCTGTCAAACAACTCAGACAGTTGGGTGTCACATTGCATCTGTGAGTTCCTCCTGTTCAAGCAATAAAATTATTATAAAATTTTTCATTGGTGGTATTCAGTATTTATATTGTTTTCTCAGGTAAATATAAATATGCATTTCTGTCATATTTGTGTTATATTGCTCTCAGAATTCACAGTCCTCACTTTAACAGACCAATTTCTTGTGGGTGCATATGTTTGTGCACAGAAGTCCTATATAGATTGAATCAATTTTACAAATTTAGTTATGTATCAAATTTATACATTTTTATTTTTTTCCTTGCTCGACTATTTTGTTTGGTGAGGTATTATATATACGGTACCTATATTCTGTTAGTGTTCAATCATTTTCAAATTGAGGTTACAAATGCATTATCCCATTGAATATTCAATTGTCAGAATTCCCTGTGCTTCCTAATTAGGTGTAAGTTCCAAGAATCTTTAACCCAACTTCACTTAATGAATTTCATTTCTATTGAGTAATGTCTGGAATTTATTAGTAATTTGAAGAATGTTTTGTTGAAATAACTAAGCAAAAAATAAATATCAACATATCTCATTTGTTCTTTATCAATTTTCAGCTTACTGCATAGTGAAAGAGGAGAAGTTCCTGATGTTCCTGCAATTTACTTCTGCCAGGCCACGGAAGAGAACTTAATACGCATATCCCAGGATCTTGCTGCAGGGCTCTATACTACCTACTACTTGAACTTCAGCACTCCCATCAGCAGGCACAAGATGGAGGATCTTGCCCAGGCTGCTCTCCTTGCTGGAGTACAGGCTGATATAAAGAAAGTGTGTTCTACACCAATGAGATATTGTATTACAAAGAACTGCTATTCTGAGCCATGTTAATAGTTGACAAACATTATCAATCCATTATATTTTGAGGGTAGATATTGCTTTTTGTTATCTTAGTTTGATAAAATCCCGGTTGTGGTAAATGCCACAAAATGTTGATGATTTTGCAATAGTTAGCATAGATTATTCCTCAGCTTATGGGCCAAAAGAGTTTCTGTAAAAATTAAAAGTTAAAATTATTTTCATTTGTTAATTTAAATAGTCCTGATGAATTCAGTACAAATTCATACTATGAAATAATCAGAAACATTTTTGCATGTAATGAACATAGTCAATTTTTTTCAGGTTTATGATCAATTCATAAATTTCATCTCACTTGAAGAAGACATGTTTACTCTGAAACACCAAGGATCAGAAGCAATATCTTTCTATTGTAAGTTATGCCCATACTATATATATATATAGCTTTTTATTGGACTGAAACTTGTTCCCTTATTTAGCAAGGATAAGCTACTGTTAGTTTAGCCGTATATATGCATTAATATGCTTAATTTGACAGCTCATGTATATTCTGTTTTTGTGTGTGAGTTCTCAATCCTATACTAAATGTGCACAATTTATCACAATAATTTCTCGGATTTCACAACTTCAAGCTTTCACTCTTACTAATTGTTTAATTATACATTTAACTCCGCAGCCCTGCACAGGCGCGACGTCCAGGACGCTGACATTGAGCTCATCATTGATGCAATTGTGGATGGACTCTTCTCTGTATTTGTCAATCTGGGTAAGCAATGATAACCTCATTTCCATTTCGTCTAGATTTCATCCATTATTTAAGATTACATTTTTGTAGCTTTAGATTTTAATATAAGGTAATAGTTGTGTAAAGTATCTTATTTTTTAGTTCACATTGATGCCAGTTATGTTCAATTTTTCCAAGCCTTCATTTTGATCCCTATTAGCATGCATATCAATCAATTGATAATTTATTATAGTTTGGCTAAACATAGATTGTGTTACTGTTTGATTATAATTATCTCAATGCACTCAGGCGAGACATGTTCCTTTATCAATATAGCATTTGCTACGTCCATCCCACACGTCGTTTTCTTTTTGCCACATGAATTCCGCACTGTATTGTTTGATACGAGCATTCTTTATTGTGTTGTTTGCTACGTGCATACCACACTGTGCTGTATGCTAGGTATATGCAGACTACATTGTATTATTTTCTACGTTTCCACTGTTATTTTCCACAAGCTCGAGACACTGCTCTTTGCTCTGTACATACTTTATGAAATGCATCGTTGTTAATTAATATTTTCCTGCTCGCAGGTCAGGTTCCAATTATCAGGTCACAGCGCAACAACGCAGCACAGATGGTGGCAGAGCGGCTGGACCGGAAGTTGCGTGACAGTCTAAAAGACACCCGCAACACTTTCTTCAATGCCGTGCCTTCGCAGGGATTCCAAGCAGGGCACCTCAAGTGATTTTCTGGTTTTTAGCTGCTGAAAGAAAAATTCATAGTGCCAATTATTTTCCTTGATGCCTGGCATAGGGATAGCTCATGTAAATTGTATGTTATTCAATGTGAAACGTGAGATATCATCAATTCGCATTCTTTCCGGTTCTTTTTTCTATCATGGTATTTACGGAAGGCCCATGGCTGAGCTATAATAAAATTAAACCTACTATTTTTATTGATCTGCAATCATTAGACGATTTGTTTCACTGCAATCTGTTCCTGCTGTTTTTATGGGATAATGGATATAAATATCTAATTTCCTTAACTTCTTGTTAGGAACTCCAAATGATTTTCTTTTAAATTTCCATAGCTAAAGCGCATTTGCTTCTAGTTTCCACCGACCGCTGCTGGTGCTGGTGGACAGGACGATGGATTTGGCGACGCCGCTGCACCACCCGTGGACGTACCAGGCTCTGTGTCACGACCTCCTCGCGCTGTCTCTCAACAGAGTCTCGTTGCAACTTACTGAGCAACATGCACGACAGGCAAGCTTCGTCATGACATGATAAATTACATTTTCCTTGCTGTTTCCCAGTTTTAACATTTTGTGAATCATTAAATGTATTTCTGCGGTCAATGATAGTTTGCAATGATAGTTTCTGTGCGTCTCCTATTGTGTTTTTACTAGTCTTTCAACATCTCATAAAATATTACGCTCGCCAGACATGCTCGTTAGGATTCTGCATTCTATCATTGTCGTTGCATACTACTTGAATTATTCCATGACTTATTTTTTTGCAGAGTCCTTTGCCCTTTAGAATATTCATTGTGCCTCGTTTATTTCTCGCACTCTAGGCAAGCTATGCAATATCATATTAATGTTCTTGCCTTAGGAAGTTCTATGCTCTAACTAAACTTCTTACTTGGCCGTACCTGGGGAAAATAAGTGTGTGCATTAATTTTAACGATTCCATTTTTAGTGCATTTTCTTATTTATGGAAAAAAATACACTATTGTGCTCGCCATGTCCGTCTGTCTGTCCGTCCGTCCGTGACCTCAAGTTTTTGCCGACGAGAAAATGCGCTCTCTGTCACTCACTGCAGTGAGTACTGAGTTATATTTTTTTATCATACCTGGAGCAAATCACCTCCAAATGTTGATTTTCATGTCCCGGTTGTGGCATAACACTGATTGTTAATCGATCTTTTTTATTATTTTTTGACGTACCGGTAACAGCGAAAATAAAATTTAAAAATAGCCAAAGATTAGGACACAATAGTGCAAATGCTTTTAAAAATTCGTGTGAACAAATGGTACGATTTTGTCACCTAAATTATTTAAACTTAGGTTAGAATATTATCCATCAGTTCTCTGTCCTCTATCCGGCGGGGTTGTAGCGCATTTTCTGATTTATGGAAAAAAAAGGCGCTTTTGGGCTCGCCATGTCCGTCCGTCTGTCTGTCCGTCCGTGACTTTACGTTTTCGTCGACGATAAAATGCGCTCCCTGTCACTCACTGCAGTGAGTACTGAGTTATATTTTTTTATATCCACTTGCCTCCAGGGCGCCAAACCGAAGCATGGAGGCAGCAAGGAGTATGACCTGGGATCTGACGATGCATTCTGGAACACTCACAAAGGTCAGTGATACACGTAACTTTAAATGTTGAGTAAACTTCTAAATGCTCTAATTGTAGATTATTCTGGCATTCAAATCACCTTAGAAGTAATTATAATTGTTTTCAAACGTGCAGACAGTCAGACAGTATCACGCATAAATATTGTGTCAAAATGTTGAGATCTGAGTGGTTTTAATGAGTTATTAAGTTCATAAAAGTGATTATATATATCGGAGGAAGATATCTTTCATCGAGAGTTGTTGATTAATGAGAGATAAACATAGTGATGAAAAAGTGCATAGTGACTGAGTGAAATGTTGCAGGAAGTCCGTTCCCAAACGTGGCGGCGGCGGTTGAGCAGGAGCTGGAGGACTACAAGGCTGCCGAGGGCCGCATCAAGGGCCTTAAGAGCGACCTGCCCGAGACTGCCGACGACGCCGTCGACCTGCTGCTGGCGGACAACACTGCAAAGCTCACCTCGGCCATCACCAGCTTGCCCGACCTCCTCAGGAAGAAGGATAACATAGACAAGCATATGAGCATCGCCATGGGTTTGTTGTGAAATGAGCATCACCGTTAGTTCGTTCTTATATGTTCATCGCCATTCGTTCGTTAAAATGACATGTGCATTGAAATGGATTCGTTTTAATGACATGCGCATCACCATTGGTTCGTTATAATGATATGAGCACCGTATGGGTTCTTTGTTGCTATACATATATATGAACATCGTCGTAGGCCCGTTGACGTTGAGTGATGATATTTTCAATTCCACTGATTGGTTACACGATGAAATGAGAGAGCTGAGTGTTTGAGCTTAGTTTCGAGGTTGGTTTCACACCTTACTACGCTGAAAATGCTGACCATTAAATAAGTATAGTCATGCGTTCTGAAAAAAAAATCGATAGAGCTGGGGTTCAGGCTGTTTAAGCAACAAACCTGGTTTTAAGTTTGTTAAATATTCTTTTGGAGCAATCCTAGTTTAGTTAGCTAAGGATTCGGTTAGACATTAATTTGTTGGAAATTATTAATGTTTTCATGTACGGTTTATTCCAGTGATAATTGTTTACAATGGGAAATTTGTGTGTTGATATTACCAAGAATTTATTGAAATAAAAAATGAACATTCCTACAGGTCTCTTGGATCACATCAAGAAGCGTAAATTGGACGTTTTCTTCGAGGCCGAAGAAAAGATCATGGCTCGAGCTACTCTGGATAAGCCATTGACTGATGTAAGAGGACTCATACTTCAAATGTGAACTTAGAATCCCTAATATAACATTCAAAATCGTTTATTTACTGAAAATGTCATATCTTGTGCTAAAGTGTTGCATTTCTGTGATTCTTTTAAACATGACTTTATTTTGTTTCAGCTGCTCGCAGAAGACGGATGCGGTTCTGCTTCCGACAAACTACGTCTTTTCCTTATCCACTACCTCTGCAGCAGCAATACCAGCCACTCTAATGCCCCGGGTACTCTATTTTATAGATAGATAATGCATCTTACCCTAATTTATGTTTGTCTAGGTCTAAATAACTGAGGTCTTATCAACAAACTATATATATTATTTTTTAATTATTTGAATCATTTCGTAAGCATTTGCTCGTTCAAATCGTTCTTGCCTCCTTGATCTAGGTTCTTGATTCTGTCCTTCATATTAATTTATTTCTTGCCTTGTGGAACTTACAATCAGGACCTCATTGAGTGTTTCGAATCGGCATCACCTTGATTATTTCAAATTATTCAAACAATTCACGAAAAAATCGAAAATTTTACGCTGGATTTATTATTTTTAAGTACATTTTAGTGTTGAGGTATTTTCTTGCGAATGCCTATTGATGCTTTCTTGATGCAGGTGGCAGTGGCAGCAACAACAGCTGCAGCGACGCAGACATGACAGCGATGCTGGAAGCCTTGCAGGCTGCAGGGGCTGACCTTAAGCCAGTAAACTACATGAAGCAATGGCGAAACATCATGAAGGTGAATCGCATTCTAACAATAATAAATGTGTTTGCCTAATTAATTACGTAATTAAAACTTTATATTCCCATGACTTCTCTAAATTATGCAATTATTATTTTTCATTATTCAAATGCCTTCATTTATAACAGTGAGATTATCTTCAGCTCAGTAGCGGCGCGTCTCCGGAGTATGGAGGTGGCGTGACCAAGACGGTGTCGATGTTCTCGAAGCTCCTCAACCATGGCTCGGCTCTCGTCGTGGAGGGCGTCAAGAACTTCGTGCTCAAAGAGAACGTAAGTGGCTCACAAGTGCTGTTCGTGTGCCTTGAGTTCTGTCTTCGCATTAAGCTAAAACATGCGTTACCAAAGTTCTGTTTGTGTGTTGCAAGTAATCTGTTCTGAAACTTCAGCCAGAATAGGCGTTACTGGAGTTCTGTTTGTGCGTATGCACTGCTATGACTTGAGAATATTAGCTAGAATGTACAAAAAATTCTTCAAATTTCTAATAACATCTGTTATTTGTTATGGTTATTGTGCCGCAAATATGTTACGGTTATATACTTAGTTCAGCAGATAATAGTGATCCAGGTCTGGTATGATGGTCTACGTCTAATGAAAGAACGAATGCTCAATTTCTGAAATGTCTTTGCATTGTACTCAACAATTTAGAGATTTGACCCGGGCCTAACGGTGCGCATTGGAAAATACATTTGTGAATCAATATTATTGTACATGAGGATAGTGAACTTGCAAACAAACTGCTGCGATAGCTGGAAGCTAGCACTGTCTGAATAAGCTAGGACCGTGATAGGTACTAAATTTCTATTAATGCGGGAACTCGCTAGCTTTAAATTTGTCGACGGATGTACGTAGAAGCTGCCGGTGACTCGCATAGTCGACAACCTGATGGAGCTGCGGTCGTGCGAGGAAGACAAGAGCTTCTGCTACCACGACCCTAAGTTGCTGCGACCACAGGACGCCAACAGTGCCTCCGCCCGCGCACGTACCCCATTCCAGGTTCTTGATTATTTTAGATTTGAACTTCAACAATTCAGATGTCCTTTTTCGCCTGCCGTATTTCACTATTCAAGTAGATTTTTATCCAAGTGCGTCAGTTTATATGTTAAATTCTGGTTTATTTTTGAATTTAGTCATAACTATATAGTTCCTTGTGTTTGCAAGACTAAATAATTTATGTGTATGTTGCAGGACTGCATCGTGTTTGTGGTAGGCGGCGGCTGCTACACGGAGTATGCCAACCTGCGCGCCTATGCTGGACGGAAGGCGTCAGCCGCGCCTGTGTCGCGTCGCGTGGTCTACGGCTGTTCCGAGCTGCTCAGCCCTGAGGGCTTCCTCGCGCAGGTAATAATTGTTAAATCACTCCCGCAGGAAGTGATTATTACATCACTCGCGCAGGAAATGATTATTACATCACTCGCGCTGGAAATGATTATTACATCAGTCGCGCAGGAAATGATTATTACATCACTCACGTAGGAAATTATTATTGCATCACTACCAGAGGTGTTCTTAAAAATTAATCCCGCACAAGAGTTCCAGTCGCTATCGTCACTCCATCACAAAACCACTGGAATTATTTTCCGAAATGGGCGGATTTCATTGATTCAGCAAAATTTTTATGATCACTCCAATTGATTCAAACTTCTTCATTCTTAAAAATTTGCTGCTTAGACAGTATGCGCAATAATGCTCGTAGTGTCTGACCATTTTGTGAAAACTCATGTCAATAATCTTTTTTCCCATTGTAACTATCGTGCTGGGGCTGATGATCGTTCGTTTTTTCAGCTCTCGAAGCTTGGTGCTGAGATCGGATCGTGAAGGGAAGACAACCACGTGTAATCGAAATTATTGGGCTCTTCTATTTATTTTATTGATTTTCATGGCTTATTGAGGATGATCTTTTTTCATTTGATTTATATTGCGTTCTAGATTTACAAAACTATTATATTCTATCTCCATTCTTGGTTAACGAAACAAGGTTATAATACACGATTCCAAGAAAACAAATATTATTTACCTTAAAAAATGGTAAGGCACAATGCTAAATACAATTAACGTAACCGTTTGTCAATGACTAAGGGTGTAATTTTTTTAACGCTACTTCTTCCAATGTTGATTAATATTGAGTAAAGCTCTCCTTATTAAGTAGCATTGCAAAATTTTCTAAACCTAATCCCACACCGATGTACATTATATATATGCAGCATAACAAACAACAACGCCTCCAATTTGCTCGAGCTAATTTGCCCAACCTATGAAATTTTACTCGCAAATTCAGTGTAAATGGAGATTTAACGGCTACATAGTTCAACAAATGACTCCATAACGTTGAGCATAATACGAACTTATTTGTTATTGTTAGCAATTTGCTATTCTTCATTTGTTTGTTAAGCAAATATATGAATTAGGCAAGTTGACACGAATAATGCTTGACCAACATATATGCACAGAGATGCCAGCACTAGAAATGTAGTCCATTAAACTGTACTATGAGCAATGCAATACCTATAAAACAAATATATATACCTATATCGGGCATCAGCGCAACTGTAAAGCGCACAACCTTCGGTTCAATCTAGGGGAAAACGTATATATTATATCTATATATATTTATTCCACTTGTTTTCATATACAAAATTATTGTACAATGATGTGAAGTAATCTAAAATTGAGACAGAAAATGATATTACTGAATCATTTTCTTACCAACGGAGAACAGGTACCTTTTAAAATCTAATTTAACTCTAATCACTAAATTTTGACGGTCTTCTAAGGTTAAACTCTGCATCGCTTCACCAGCATTTTTACCTTTTTTCTTCCCACTGCTTTGCGCCTGTAGTGTATTTTTGGTGTCAGGTAGTAAGCCCTTGGCTATAAAGACTTTAATTTTACCGCTCGTCCCGAAGTGTCCGTCAATGACACCCTCTTCTCCAGTAGACAGGCGCACTTTGAGTCCAATGAACGGCTGCAAGTTAGTGTCCTTGTTGAACAAATTCCTGACTATTACTTCTGAATCGTTGTTAAGCCTCTCGACGATCCCTTCTTTAGTCTTATTCTTGAAGACCTTGATGTTTGGAAGTTGAGTTTCTGCATATTCTTTGACAGAAAAAATTTCCAACACTGTTCCTTTGAATGCCAATCGACACATATTCGTGTGAGCATCCATGTCCAGTTTTGATCCAATGATGAAAGAATTTGGTAATACCGGCACGCGTCTCTCCAAATGCAGAACTGCATACTGAGCTCGAAGTTTGCAGTTCTCACTTGCCTCAATGGCCTTGACATCCATGAGTTCCTCCTGATGTTTGTATTCACGGTTATAATCAAATGAATCATCAGGACATTCAACTTCGGAGCCAAAGAGGACTATCTTAGACATCACAGTCTCGTTGCCAACGCTAATATGAAACTTAGCTTTTGTTTCAATTGCTAGCTTATAATAAGGGATCTTTACCACGCGCACAAGTAAGGCATATGCCGATTTAATAAAACCGGGAGTACATGCAAATCCTCTTTCTAGAAGTTTGGGGTCGAACTGAGTAACGCAAATTCCTACCCGATCACCTTGTATGGCTTTTTCTACCGGCTTTCGAAACATTTGCATGCTTTTAACTTTCTTAGAAATGGCAAGACTGGGAATTTCGATACTATCGTTAATAGCTACAGCCCCCTGCAGCACTGTGCCCGTCATAATAGTGCCCTGACCTCTGATGCCAAAGCAGTGATCAACTGCAAACACGAACGGACCTGCATTGCTTCGTGTGGGGACATATATCATCTCTTGAATAGCCACAAGCAAGTCTTGAATACCAACAGGTTCTGTGTCGAGGCTGTTGTTTTCAACACCTCCTCCCGGCTTGGCTGCCACAGGTACAATCTTGACATCAGAAAATTTGGTGGACTGAAGTGCCATCCTTATTCTTTTGGTCATTTTCTCTGTCATGGCTGAACGTTTGTCGAGAGGGAGTAGATCGACTTTATTGAGGACTACAAGAAGATGGCTACAGAGGATTTCTCCAATGACAAGACATTCAGCAGTTTGAGTTTGTATTCCCTTAGTGACATCCACAACAAGTATCATGGCGTCAATGATTTGAGCACCAGCAATGATTGTTCGGATGAGTGATGCATGACCAGGGCAATCTACTAAAGTTATTTGTATGTTTGAAGTGACAGATGCCACGGATTGAGGAGCAGGCAAATCAAAGCAGCTGAAACCCAAGTCCAATGTGATGCCCCTCTCCTGCAAGCACACAAGTAATAAATATTTTGTATCCATCTCACTGACAAAGATGACTGTTTAAAATCCTGCACAATATGAATTATCCCGAGTCTCCAACTGTTGAATTTAATTTATGGACAAAAATGGAATGTTTCCACATTTTTTTTTGTGCATGGAACGATTTTATTTTTGAATACTTTAAAAAAAATTTAATGGTAACAAACAACACATGGCATGTCAGTGCAATTGATCACCAAATACACCAAGATCATATTTTTTATGTCCAGCATGTACATAAATGAGCTTGCAATGTTTGAAAAAATCATAAGGCTAAGAAACATTGCACTTGCATGAAGGAACATCATTTTAGGTGAATTATGATACTGTTGTCTCAGTCAAGAAAATAATGTGCATATTTACTTACTTGTGATTGTGGGTTTTTGTCAAAGGCAGCAGTACTGGCAGTAGTGCTGATGCAGCGGCTCAAAGTTGTCTTGCCACTATCGACATGACCAAGTACACCAATATTGAAATTGAACATTTTAACTGAGGTATATCGTACCTGGAATACAAAAAGTTAAGTTATTTGCAAATCAGCAATTTAGCTAGTGAAAACAAAACATTTGGGAAACTTTTTGGGCACCTTAATTGCATTGTAACAATGAAGACATTTCATCTGGAGTCTGCAATTCAATACCTACCAGCATGGAACAGACTCAAAAGAAGTAAATCAAAAGGCTATGTAAGTGGAAGCTTTTGCATTCGTGATGTTGCAGGTCATCATAATTTCCAAGTCCAAAGAGCAATGGAATTAAGTCAAACTATTTTGAAAATTTACAAATTACAAATGCCTAAATTCTTTAATACAAATTTCTTGTACAACAGCAAACCCAAACAGGATCAGGCATGTGTTTTGAAAACAAGAAATACAAATATGCAAGTGGCAGCCACTTGCCAAACAAGAGGCATAAAAATAGCTGTTTTCCTAAATTCTAGGTGCATGTCATGATTTGAAATAAGTTTAGCTCTCTAGTATAGGCAAAATTATCCATGCATAACTAATTTATATAATTAATCCATTCAATTTGTTATGTGAACGGAATATGTTGTTCACACGGTTCATCTTCAGGACCTCTTTATGCAAACCATTAATCTGTAATCTTGGGTCTTGAAAGTCATTTAAAAATTTTGAATCAATCTGAAGTTTTGAAATAATTCTGGCACATGTATAATGAATAACCAGTTTTGAGAAAAATTTATATTACCATATATACCTACATGATTTTGTACCATTGTTCCACCAAAACTACCAAGCTCCCACAAAAATCACTGCTCTCATCAAAATTAATGCAGCACTAAATGCTGTCATGGTCATATCTTGCAACTTGCTTCAAGCAAAAGAGTTCAATAAACTTAGCCACAAACACTAAAAGTGTGTTCTAAAACAAAAAATATTCAAGTATATTTTATTTCAGCATTTTGGTTGAAACAAAAAACAATAATAATAATAATAATGAAAATCAGCATACTAAGGTGAAATTTAAGATTAGAGATAGAACTTACAACTACAAGTCTGCTAATGATATTGCTGCTGAAAAAATATTATTTATGCCTTAGGACAAGGATTGTGACTCAAGAAATAAAATCACTACCTAAAAATTTTGTTACCAAGTAGTGAACTACCTAGCAAATATAGCTTAATGACTCAAATACCAGTCACTGAACTGTTTATATTTAAGATAACTGAACATTTGGCACTAAGAAAGTGGCCCATGTGGATTTTTTAGCCTCATTTAATGTTAATGCCACCTTAAGAGGACTGGCTACCCTCCGGAAAAACTTCTACAGTTATTATCCGATCATCATGAAACTTCACATACATACGTAAAATGTAAAAAAANGCTTTGTGGTCATTACTTAGTTATCAAACCTTAAAAATCACAGTTCTGGACAAAATTATACAGTTTTTAGTAAAGATTTTGGTGAAGAACTGAAGAAGTATTATATGGTTTTAGAGAAGAAAAATTATATGGTTTTTACTTTTTAGTGGTGAGATAAGCCCAGTATTACCCCAAGTGGCAACTTATGTGGCACAATGACTTACACTGAACAGACCCAAGGTTGCTTCTAGTAAATCAACAAGCACATTAATGACCAGCCACACAAAGAAGCACCAATACAGATTACAGACCAAACATCATTTTAAACCACACCCCAATCCCACACACACACAAAACAAAAATATTAGGGGTCACTTGCAACACCTCCGTGACATTTGGCCCTCACATCAACAACATAGTGAACAATGCATACCTACCGTCAATCAGGGCTACTCGGGACAAGCGGGGCTACTCAGGACAGGCCTCTGACACGGCGTAAAACTGTTGTAGTAGCGAACCTAATTGGAATATTGCAAAACTAAAAATAGTGTCGTAAACGTCAACATTTTTCCTATCTATGTAGTACCTATAAAGGAAGTCAAAAAATACTACAATAACTACATTTACTTGCTTCAAAAAATTCCTGAAAAAAATGGTGAAAAACTATATTTTGTAAAGTTACAACTGCTAAGGTATGTAGCATAAAAAATATTTGCCGTATTAAAAAATTTAACTTACGTAAAAGTTGCACCCAGGTGTCGGCTTGAAAACGTAATTGACAGAATTTGCCTATCTCATTCCAAAAAGAAATGGCAGCCATTTCCGCA